ATTCCTGAAACGGCGGCGTTAACCATTTAAAAGCTTTATATTTAAGAAGGTGGAACACCTGGCTGCTTCATACTTTGTATATAGATGCCTTATGTTATGAAGTTTCCGTCTGTCATATGACCATTGTCCTTGACCTCATTTTCATGGTTCAGTGACTACTTGGAAAAAAGTTAAGATTTTTTGTAATGTTAATTTCTCTTTTATTATGATTAGTAGGATAACTATATTTAGTATGTGCGTACAGTGCAAGGTCCTCATGCCTGTCAGACCTTTTTCATCTGACCTAGACCTCATTTCATGGATCAGTGAACAAGGTAAGTTTTCGTGGTCAAGTCCATATGTCAAGATACTATAAGCAGTAGGTCTACTATATTTGGTGTATGGAATGAGTGCAAGGTGTATACGTCTGTCTGGCAGGTATCATCTGACCTCGAACCCATTTTCATGGTTCATTGGTCAATGTTAAGTTTTCATGGTTAAGTTTGTTTCTTAGATACTATAGGCAATAGGTCAACTATATTTGGTGTATGGAATGATAGTAAGGTGTGTATGTCTGTCTGGTAGGTATCACCAGACCTTGACCTCATTTTCATGGTTTATTGGTCAATGCTCAGTTTTCATTTACAGACAGTCTGGGATTAAATTTTGTTGACATGATAAATTTGTAAACCTTCATGGATTGTTATGAAACTTGGACAGAAGCTTATCTTCAAGACAAAGAAATAACATCGATAGAAAAAGTTTGATTTTTTTTTATATTCTGTATTTTACTGATAAATGAACTCACTTTTTAAGTCAACACTACACTTTTATACTGATAGCAGCAACCGTAGGCGAGACGCAGGGTTCCGCGTAACCCCTTACAAATTTTATACAAGATTTTTGTTATGAAATACCAGCTAAATAGATCACAATATTGAGCCTGGCGGCCATGTTGAATTAGATCGCAATTACAAATTATGTAACATTGCTGCCAACTTTAGTTCCATTTAGTTCAGAGGAGAAGACTAAAAAATAAAAAGTTAACAGACGGATGACATCAGGACACCTTGACATTTAGCTGGGTGAGCTAAAAAAGCTGATTGAAAAGGGAAGCGTTAATACGCCAAACTCAAATACTGTGGATATTGGTAACTTTTTGTTGACAATTCTAAATAGAAATAGATCCCTGTAACTGTGTAAAGATACATGTTTTTAAAGACACGTTACTCTGTCCAGTGCCAAATATTTTAATATTGCACACGAAAGGCATTTTGCCTTCGAAGCTTTTTAAAAATCCTTCATAAATAAGAATTTACACGAAAACGAAAGGAAATATTTTGTATGAAAAGGTTCTAATGACAGCAGTCCACATGCGCTTCGGGCATTGGTCCCCTTTTTTCTTTTCCTCTTTTGTGTTTAATATTTATAAGTAAATTTTATATTTCAACTTATTTTCACTTATTTACTGGGTCTATCTTTTTATGTTATTACAATAAAAGTCGTTTACATATATAACCTTCTGCTGTTGTAATATCGTACGGATAAGAACAAGAACATATTCAATAAGTTAAAATATTAAGTTCACTAAAAAAATTATTAAAATTAAACGCACAAAAAGGGGGGATTAGGGGTCCCTACCGTAAGTGCATGTCCTCAAATCGGATTGAAAAATTTTAAGTATCGACACCAGGAAATTTTCTTATCATTTAGCATTAGATAAATAAGACAAGAGCCACACACCCTGTACCGGTATCGTCCATCTGGTGAAAAAAATCGGCTGTTTGCTATTTAGTACTTTTTTATGCACATACCATAGTTACTCATTGTATTTCTGATCATTTTACCAATTTATATAGCTCCTATAGGTTTTATAGTTAACGACCAAAACATCGTCGGTGCTGTTTTAAGCTAGGGGTCATCCGACTCTTTTACAAATCTCATTTGCAATAATTTTTTTATACAAGCTCCTGTAACACATTTAGAGACAACCATCACAACTCTGACTAAACAAATTGTATTCAATTGTGCAAAAAAAGAGATTTTCTCAATATTGACTGATATTTCAATTTTTCAAGAGAAGGACACTGATTTTTTATTTTTTTATTTAAATAATTTTGGCATTTTTTTTTTCATTATTGAAATTTAACTTAATAATTTCCGGAAAGGTGCATTGAAAATGCATGTTTTCAAAAACAAAATTTAATAATTTTTTTTTTTTAATTCAAATTGGTGTTCTTTCTTCATTAAAATCAAAGCATCGTCGGTGCTGTGATCCGGCCATTTTTTGGCTACAGGTAATTGGACATTTTTTTCATCTCTTTTTCAATATTTTTCTTGCTACAAGTTTCTGCGATATTTATATAGAGACAACCATCACAACTTTTGATAAGTGATTTGAGCCCAAAATGTTTACTTGTGTTTAAACAGAGAAGAAACTAAGAGACTGAAAAAATAACAGACAACACAAGGATTGAAGCATAGAACGTCATAATTTTCATAATTATTTCACCAACACATTACCAATGTTATTTTTCCTTTTAAAAATCACCCCTTTCAGCTCATGAAATTCTCAGAAAAAAGGTGTACGTCTTCTAACTTGAAGGCATATCTACTAATCAAAGTAATCGAAATTACTGATGGAAAGACTGGACGAGCTGTTTCAGTTTTTTTCAGTTCGATAAAACAAGCTTGTCTCCCTAAATCTACTTGTAAATGGTTGCTTTTGGGAGTGTTTCTATGTTTTAACATAGAGTAATGCATATTTGTTTAATGTTTCTAGCAAATTAGTTATAATTGTAATTTAAAATAACATTATTGACTAATATCAGATGATTATAACACTGATTTTACAAGTAAAATAGACCCTGCTTTCGTTTTTATACATATTTTAATTTTGTCTCTTCTTTGCAAAAAAAATGCATCTTTTTAATCCGTAATCATTTATCTTTGATACATTACTTACAGATTATTTTATATCTATATATATAGCATAGATCAAAAGTTATTATAGGTATACAATTGACATCAATAATTGACAATACATTGTGTATTAAAAGATATAAATAGAGCTTTATACTGTCTATTTAATTATGTAATACAATAGATATTAATTGAGATCAATTAAGATTTGCATTGATGTGGAGGCGATTCTATTTACTACCCCCACCCAGAGACATATAATACATGTATTATATGTCTCTGCCCCACCTTTGAGTGGAATTGTTTGTAAATAATGACAGTTAGTTGTCCATCATACTGCATTGAATCGGTACTCTTACTTGCCCAAGGAAAGAATTGGAATAACAGCATTTCAAAAAGATGTGGGAATCAACTTTGATATCAATATACATCTTGTACCAAATTTTATTAAATAGCTTACACAAGCATAACATACTGATAAGAAACTTTCATTATTAACTGATTAAATTTGATATATTAATTTTTCACATTAATTAATAAATAGAACTTTCTTATAAATTTAGATTTACAAAGGAACTATATGCAAGTGTATATTTAAAATAAAGTAGCTGTTCGACGAATACTTTCTTAATTTGAGGGCAAATAACATGTCAACAGTTGACAGGAGTTGATTAAAACGGCGTATAAAGTTTTTGCAAGTCATCAAAACGCATAATTAGTTTCATGATATGTCTTCAATTTAAAATTCTGACCATCTCAAAATCTGGAGTGATCACATAGATCCAGCAAGGGTGAATTAAAATTCAACATCAGAGAAGGTCGATCTGGTCGTGTTGACCATTTTTGCAGTTTAAACTTTAAACGTAGCTCCTATATTTTTCACAACAGCCGAAAACAGCAAAAATGTATATTTATGGGACAATAACTTCGACGGACTTTTCGCCAATTTTCAAGGTAGATAATCTTGTGCGGATCCTTTTTACATTTTACACTTTTAAACTAGCTCCTATAATTTTCACAATAACTGCTAAAAATCGGGGAGGAGGGTCCGATATTTCAGGAGCAATAACTCCAAAAAAGAGTTGGGGTTTTCTCTAATTTTTAGGGTGAATACATCTTGTCATGCTGATCATTTTAGCAATTTACACTTTTGAGGTAGCTCCTATAGCTTTTGAAACAAAAAAAATAATCAATTTTTCAGGGGCAATAACTCCAAAACAGGAGGGCTGATTTTTTTCAACATTTTCAGAGTAGATATAACTTATGTTGACCATTTTTGCCCTCGTCTGTTTTTCTCTTATTGCTATAGTTAAATGTTAGCCAAATCTGTAGTTTGAATATTAGGTCTATTTTGAAACGGCGACCATGTAGTTGGCATCATATAGATGAATATATATTACGAGCATTAAGTCGCTTTTAATTTTAAAACGGTTAGTCTTTTTTCCTCAAACTTCTCGTGATTCAGAACAAATCAAGTAGGATATTATAGAGTTTTTTATAAGCTTAGTCAGACAAGAAATATTAGTTTCAATTGGATTAATCACTTAAGGTCTATTTTAAAAATACTGGATATAGATGAATGGATTCAGCAAATCTAGATCAGTTAAAACTTAAAAGTAACTGCATGTGTAAGGTAAGACACAAATATGATTTTGTCCAAAGCATGGTATGATCAAAAAGAAAATTCATGAAGAGGAGAATGTTATGGTCAATCAAATCCAAGAAGCGAGTCATTAACAAAACTAACGTGTTGTAATAAGAAAATACTCACAAAAACGGGAAGATTGACAAACTTCCCAAAAGAAGAAAGAATTCGCCACTTATATGTATAATTAGTCATTATAATATTGGTACTGAGTATCATTATCTTTTTGAGTGTCAGTTTCTAGGCGTAGGTCGTAGATGTTATCATTTAAAAAAATGATATATAGGTTTATAAAAGTTCTATAATGTCCATCATACTAAATTGTATATTGTTAATATATATGCCATTATGACATTCCCCTTGCAATACAAGTATGATGTGTCTAAGTTACCCATTAAGTTCTTTCAAGACCTGAAAGCTATTATATTTTTATTTTCAACCAATGACTGAAAAGAACATTTTATCACCTTTATTTGATTATCATATAACACGTACAGCATTAAAAGATATGTTCATTTAAATTAAAAAGGTTATAAACTGCAAAAAAGCTTAACACGTAAATATATCCGTAACAATAATATTTGCAGACATCTAAAATTGGTACATGCTATGGTAAAGCCACATTTGTAACAACAGCTGTATATGATTTAAACATTTAAATATATTAGAAAAAACATGGAGTTTGACAGATGCCCCTGTTCTTAAAGTTTTCTTCTGAAAAAAAAATCTGTTAAACTTTAACCTTCCATATATATTATTAAGTCACAAGATGGAAGTATTAAATATAATACTTCCATGGTCACAACATATCTCTTTAGTAGTATTTATCATCATATGAAGGAAAATATATGTGTATTGTTCCCTAGGCTCCCTTTTTTAATATTAAAAACAATTATTTATTTCTTCACTAACGACGACCAGCTTAAATGTGAATTGTGAAAGTTCCGATATAAAAAATAGAAATTTGCTATTACGATCGATACCAGACCTGTCTATCATTCATTGGTCCCAGTTATGCAAGTGTATAATACAGTGATACTACAAATGTATTGAGGCTAAAAACACTCAAACGAGAATTCGACTTCTCTTGGATAAGAATGTGCAATAATCTAATAGAACAAAACGGCAAAGTAACCAGTGTGAGCGCTTCTTATCATTTGGTATATTTGCCAACTGATCTAAACGTGGCAAAAACGATCCCTACGTAGTTAATCAAATTTCAAAAAGTTGTTAACCAACCAACATGGTCACTGTTTCTAGATATAAAAAAATACAGACAAAATGGTAGTTTTTAATGGCTATCTCTGTGAATATGATATCTGATTTTAGTATGTATCGATGGATTATAGATATTTTACTTGGTTAGGGCCAAATTTGAGTTTGAATCTGTTAATTTTTAGACATAAACGACCCTTAAAAATCCCGAAAAGGAGATTTTTTTATTTACGAGGTCTGTATTGAACCGATACTTGGTGTATAATTGAACAATTTGGCTTATTTTGTCCTGGATGTAATACTTATGACTTAATAAATCCACTGGACTAAAAAGAAAATTATAAATTTTCTGAGTTATATCCATCCTGATTTTTAGCGCACTATTTCGTATTCAGTTGTTTAATGAGCACTTTTATTATTGTAAGATCATGCCATCATTTGACATACAAAACTGGTATCTTTTTGACGATTTGAGCTTTTTGTAATTTGAGCAGTTTATGGCTTATTCCATCGAGACTACGTTCATTGAACACGGGTAACTCTTGTAAAAATTGTTTATTAAAATGCAAGTGTTTATTAATGGTCTGACTATATATTCATTTAAATGTTTGCTTAATTCTGCCTAATACATTGGATGAATGCAAATCCTAATTCGTCCAACTGAACATGGAAATGATTTGACCTTGTTTTCCCAATCTCAGAGGTTCAAACAAAGCTTTCAATTGTAGTTGGAAGTGACATGTACCAGACGAGCTGTACGGTACATCACCTTGGAACATAAAGTTAATGCATCCGAGTAACTAACAAGGTTAAATTTTATGCAGTATGCGATCGATCGCATTATGTCGACAGGATATTCCTCCGAGTTGTGTTTCTTTTGTACAAATTTTTAAAATGCAAAAGGTCTCAGTCGTCAATTTACATATATAATGTAATTACTGGGATAACAAAGGAGCGAAGAAAGACCTTGGAAATGTACATTGTACAAATAGATAACCAATACTTATGAGAATCATGTAAAAATTGAAGTTTCTTTTCATATATACTGCATGTTTCATAAGTTTTATACCCATGCATACCTACATATACTAACGCGTCTAAAATATGTTTGTGACTAGTCTACTCAGTGTCCAATTCCCCAAATAAAATGAAAGTTTTGATTGATGTCGGTAGGTTGAGCTTGTCTACTATTTTTGGAAGATTGGTCTGCCTTCCCAAACAGATTCGTATACGATTTCGGCAGTATTCCGTCAATGGACGCGGAACTGCAGCAAGGTTTCTAGTATAATCGACCATGTCCGGTTCTAGCGCAGTCATTTTCTCCACAACTGGCAGGTGATTTCTCAAAATATTTAAAGTTTCTTCACAATAAGCAGCGACTAAATAACGAAGAACCTGCCTTTTCTTTTTGTGGACGGCATGTTCAATAGGATTGCATGGTCCACAGTAGCTACTTAATGTCGACTGTACATTGTACCTACAGTTAGCATTCAACAACAATTTAACAGATTCAATACTAAAGCCGTCAACAGCAAACCATAGCGGCAATGTTCCGGCATCATCTTCAATGTCTGGATCAGCACCACGTTCAAGAAGCAAGGCAACAAGCTGTGGACAGTTATAAAAAACAGCTTCATTGAGTGCTGTCATACCATGTAAACCTTTAAAATTTGTATCTGAACCAGCATCAAGCAAAAATCGAGCCGCCTTTATCTGCTTACCGTTCACGGCTGATATCAATGGCGTTATGCCATCTCGATTTTGAGCATTAACATCAAATCCAGAATCAATTAGCTCCTGGCAGCATTCCATGCTACCTCCAGAAGCTGCGAAATGAAGAAGAGAATTTCCGTTTTTCGGTCGGACAACCAAATCAGCACCATTTGATATGAAGAAGCGGACGATACTTGCCTGGCCTTTAATAGCAGCATTGTAGATCGGTGTACAGCCTAGTGAGTCTTGGGCATCGATGTTTGCCCCGGCCTTCAGTAATACTTTACAACACTGAAGGTTTCCCCTTTCTGCTGCTAAATGGAGAGCTGTTCTCTTGTTGTAGGCAGCCATATTTACATTACATTTTCGATTAACCAAGAGATTAATTATTTCGTCGTGACCATTCAGGGATGCCATCATCAATGGTGTAAATTTACGTATATCTTGAGCATCTATTTCTGCTCCTCCGTCTAGTAAAAGACTACAGACCTCAACGTCTCCATGTTGTGCTGCAAAATGTAGGGCAGTGGCAGCACTATGACTCATTCGATTTACATCGCAATTGTGACGAAGAAGCAGCCTTAAAACTTCAACAAACCCCTTTTCAGCAGCACATATTAAAGGTGTGTTCCCGAATGTATCTTCCTCCTCGAGATCAGCATTTGCATTTATAAGAAGGCGGCAAACTTCTAAGTGACCGTTTTCAGTTGCACAATGAAGTGCAGTTCTTTCATGGTAACCTCTACGCCTAACAGACGCGTTTTTCTCAAGCAAGTACTCAACGATTCCCAAATGACCATTTGTAGAGCCTAAAATTAGCGGTGTATCTGCACGTGAGTTACATATATTTATGTCACACTTTGAATCTATTAGAAGACGGCATATTTCCAAATAACCATCATTTGAAGCATAATGTAACGGACTGTTTCCTATGGAACCACCTGCAAGATTGACATCAGCATTCCATCTAATGAGGAGATCGACAGTTGCACTGTGTCCGCCTCTGGATGCTAGAGTTAAAGGTGTATATTCCTCGTTGTTGTGGACATTAGGTGATATCCCAGTCTCTAAAACAGCAACAGCGCAGTCAATGTTACCACTACCACAAGCGAAAAATAAACCATCTTTTAAATCTGCTTGGCTGTATTGATGTTCAAGAAGAATTGATCTCAGTAACTGTACATTGTTTCCGGTAATGGCATCAAGGAGGCTAAAAAGTAAACATCAAAATTGATCAAAAAGTCAAATGAAGAAGTTCGGCAAATTATTTCTTATAACAATAGAGGATTGTTTATTGTGTACTTTAATACATGCAAATAGCATCATACAAATAATGACTCCAATCTAAATACTAAACTTACTCATGAAGAACTACGTTCATCGAAAGCTCATATAATCGAAAGAAATTTTAAACAAAACATTATTTTCGATTGATCGCTTTCTGTTTGATTAATGTCCAGTAGCAATACAAATTTTTGCAAGTTTTGTTTTAAATTAACCCCATTGTTTCACACTTAAGATTTTTGTCCGCTTACCGACCAGTTTGCTGTAGGTAAGACCATTTTTGTCCCTTATTGCCCCTACTCCTTTGTACATAATTCTGTGGAAGCAATATTGCATACCTGGTAAAAAAATGTTTGGAGCTATTCCAACCAAAACTTCTTCAAATACTGAACAGGTCTAATAAAATAAACAATTTAATCAGTACTTTTTGTGTAATATTTATTCTTCTCATTGTTGAATAATAGGGATAACCACAGTTTTGTAAGACCCGTGCTATATAGAACTCAAATCGAGGAATGATACTTTTTTTAAAAGGCACGTGAAGTACAGGACACTTTGGGAACTTTAGAACAATTCTTTAACTTTCAATAATGGTCAACTGGCTCGGTGGTCTCGTGGTAGCGTTCTCGTAGACCCAGTTCGGTTGTCCAGGTCACACAAGACGGTCGAATCGGAGTCACAATAATGTGTCCCGAGTAGGGCGATTATCTTCCTATGGGCGTTTTACCTTGTGAACTAGCAAGTTGAAAATCTAGCTCAGCGTGTCAAACTAGTTTGAACTTCTTGAAATAAGTTGGATATTTTACCTAAACAGTTAGTCACCCTCAAGGTAATACCGTCTGTAGACGATATTTGACAAAATTACTCGGCTTAAAAATTAAAACAAGAGTGCACACGCTGAAATTCTCGCCTGCTTTACTGACCATTGATTTTATATGCTGAAAGTCTTAAAGATATAGATGTAATTAAGTATCACACAAACTTAACATTTTTAAAGATCCATAACAATGAGGTCAGATAAATCATGTACACATTACAATTAATTCATACACCAAATATAGTTGACCTATTGATTACGGTAACTGAAAATAGACTAAAACACAAAAAAGTAACATTGACCAATGAACAATGATAATGGGATCAAGGTCGGATGATACCTGCAAGACAAACATGTACACCTAACAATCATTCCATACACCATATATAGTTGACCTATTGCTTATAGTACTTGAAAAACAGACCATAACACAAAAAATTTAACATTGACCAATGAACTGTGAACTATGAAAATGAGGTCAATGTCAGATGAAACCTGCCAGACAGACATGTACCCCTCACAATCATTCCATACACCACATATAGTTGACCTACTGCTTATAGTATCTGAGAAACGGACCTTATGTAACTTAAACCTTATTACTGATACATGAAATGATGTCGAGGTCAGGTGAACCCTGACTGACGGACATACGGTTGAAGGCCGTACGGTGACCTATAGTTGTTAATTTCTGTGTCATTTGGTCTCTTGTGGAGAGTTGTCTCATTGGCAATCATACCACATCTTCTTTTTTATATGTAGACGTTGCAAGGAACCAATTTTACAAATATGGTTATCCTATTGCTCATAATAAGTGAGAAATTCACATGACAAAAAAAAAAAAAAATAAATTTAAGCAGTCGTTGAATCATGAAATGAGGTCCAGGACACTGGGCATATGACAGACGGGAACTTCGTAACATTAGGTATACAAATGCATACAAGGTATGAAGTATCCAGGTCTTTAACCTTCTGAAACATAAAGCTTTATACAAATATTTTACACCGCCGCCTCCGGATAGTAATCCCTAGGTCTCGCATACAGTTATTTTCGTCGCAGGCGAGACAAAAAACTGGCCTTAACTTTATAAGTTCGAAATATCTTTCAGTTTTGACTAAAATAAAAAAAACTAAAGGCTCTAAAAAGCCTGTGTTGTACACCTAAGTCTATGTGTATCTTCAACAATGGATACTCTCTAACATTGTGGACTTGAATAGAAGAATAGAACTCATGACAAAAATCTCTCTTTTGTTCATCTTGTATTGCTATTTTTTCTGTTTACAGTTTCTCTTATCTTCTTAAGTCCTCCTCCCCCACCCTCCAAAAAAAAAGGGTGTAAACAATCGCAATTTAAAGGCAATCACTCCTATACAGAGTCTACTCACAATATCAGCAAAATTTTACTTATTTGTAGATATTGTCTTGTTGATCATTTTTGCTTTTAACGTGTCTGTATCTTTAATAATTTTCAACATAGTAGGCAAAATGGCAAAACAATGTAAAACTTATCATTAAAGAGCAAAACTCCAATAAGGAGTCGACTGAAAATTTAGGAAAATTTACTTATTTGTAGATCCTGCTTGTTGATCATTTTTGCTTATTCAAGTTTTTATCTATCGATTATAGTTTTCAAGATATTAGACAAAAACGCAAAAATTGGTAAAAATCGTCATTAAAGGGCAATAACTCCAATAAGGAGTTGTCAGACGATTTCGGCCATTCTGACTTACAAGTAGATATTGTCTTGCTCATCTTTTTTGCTCTTTAAAAATGTCAATCTATACGAATTCAATGACATCGAATTATTCACTTGCAAGTGAATAATTCATTAGCAATGTTTCATAGCATATTTTGACAAAATTGAACCAAACTGGCTGCTTACATGTACAGCGAATTATTATTTCACTATTTCAATTTCATTAATGATTAAACAACAAAAAACAACATATTTTATTTTTTTCATAACTCGTAGCTAATGCCCCTATAAAGAGCAATAACTCCAATAAGGAGATATCAGACATTTATGGTCTTTAAATTTATTTGTACATCTTATCTTGCTGATCATTTATGCTATTTAAAGTTTCTCGTTATCTATTACTAGTATTATGTTCAAGATAATAGGCAAAAATTGGTAAAATTCGTCATTAAGGGCAACAACTAAAATAAGAAGTCGACTAACAGTTTTGATGAAAATTTACAATAGGTAGATATCAACATTCTAAACATTTTTGCCACTGTCAGATTTTTTCTTTTAAAAGCGATTTTTGCAATTTATTTCACAGTTAGGGGTCATTTTCAAAATGAAAAAAAAAAACAGGGACATAGTGTTTAATTATAACAAAAACCTTATACACATACTTGATCTTACCCAAGGTGATATTCCACAAAGCCTCCGAGGAGCATATATGGTAGAACGGTCGATTTGGGTCTATTCTACTATGTTATTGAAACCCTTCAACAACATGGCGGTAATACAACTCTTTACATTGTTTGTTCTTTTCGAGATTTTCCCGTAAATGTGCATCTAGGGAGAATAGTTACGATGATTCCCGCAAATTTGTATATGAGGAGCATACGCTTTCCCGCAAATTTTTATCTAAAACACCAAAAGAGGGCAATCGATTTCCTGCAAATTTGTTTATCAGATTGCCGAAAAGTATGATGGCATATATAAATATATATATATCAAAACAATAAAATAAATTTCGTAATCAATTTAACCTCTGACAGCTCATTGGGTAGCACCTGTCTCATGATAGATAAATAAAAAGTATTTATTGAAACAAACAGATGCGGGGTATAAATATCAACAGAATACGTGCCATGTCGGACAAAGAAATTTAACAAATACTGTTATAATTTGCCTTACAACCTTATTTTTAATTATGGAAACAGTACAAACATTAAGACAACCACGAGGTACATAAAAATACCTTGGCAGTAAATAAATTTATAATGTATAAGTACAGAAAATAATCCGGGACTGCATGAGTCCTCAGTATAACAGCTTCGGTGTGTACCTTGTGATTTTGACAACATTGTGACATACTTTTTTTATTTGTAACAAAATAATAAAAATAAAGTTTTAACCTTAAAACTAGCTATTAGCAAAATTTATTTGTTCAAAACAATTAAAAGAATGGACATAACATTGTTCAAACCAAACCCCAAATATATATCGGAAGTATAAAGCATGTATTTCATATTACATACGGCATACCAGTACATTTTCGTTCTCCATATCCTTCGATTCAAAATTAGACAAAAAATTAAAATGCGTAGCGATGAATCATACTTCGATTTCTAGGATAAATGTAAAAATATTGAAATTTCTGTAAAGAATATAATTTGGATTATTTAATATTCAAATTCCACTAGGTTGCATTAACTTTCCGATTTTCGATCTCGGGAAACAAAGATCAGGGATATTCCATAGCTTTTTAATACCTGTTCCCCCGAAAACACATATCCATGATATGCACATAATGCTGACTTACTGCTATAAACTACATTTTTGTGTATGTGTTCGTCAATTGAAAGTCCCGTTACGATAAATATGGGACCTGTAACATGGATGATTATGGACATACAAATTAATGAATAAAAACTAGTAATTGTAACATGGACGATGACCGGTCTATAATTAGAACAACCTCTAATGAATCTTGTTTTGCGATCTCAATATTATATGTTTATATCATTCTTGATTAAGGAATATTGAATCATTCGGGGAAGGGCATATTACCTCTTCTCTATCCCATTTTTAATTTCATAAGTTTTAAATATTAAAAAAGTAATTGTGTCTAATCTTATTTTACATAATATTGTATTACACGTATAAGCAAGACAAAGATTACACAAACATTCTTAATGTTATCTAGGTTGTGTGATTAACTAGTGTTACATTATCCAATTGCTTTTTTAAATGTAACTCAAACCCGAATATTAATTCCACGTAGACCGTCGATGTTCAAATCAAAGTAGAATATAAGAATGAAATCTTTTAAAATGTGCCACCATTTCGTACCATGTCGAAGATTACATTTGTACATGTACGTATGTCTGTGTAAGCATTAAAGTCACTTGCACTGCAGATCGGTAATCTCTTTTAACATTAAAAGTATATATATGAGAGATGAGATATATGTCAAGTGCAACGAGACAGCAACCAAACATAACAATACAAGCAGAAAATACACCATTAACATGATCGTATTTACTGCATAACTACTAGAATTTATATATCATTATACATCATTGGAAAATGAAATGTGTCGTTTCTATGTGTTCACATGCATATGATGTATTTGATTATTTTGGTAAGATGCCAAGTCTATTTTCAACAATATAGTACGTCTATTTCCATGTTGTAACATATTGTAATATAAACTTAAACTACAATCATCTTAAGTATGATCAATTGTATATGTATTTATAATACGAACACGGCGAAAGTCGATAACCATCAAATAACCATCATACTTGAAGGCAAGCAGGCGTTCTAACATTTAAAAAAAAAAAAAGTTCTTTTTTGAGAAAAATGCTGACTAAGAGAATTTATACGAATAAAGATACATAAGCCCCGATGTTCAAATATCATTATATGTTTGCATCTTACTTTCACTTTCAATTTACTCGAAATCAATGACGATGTTGAATCAAAGCAAATGAATCTTTGAAATGTGTCATCGTGTTGTACTATGTTGAAGATTAATATTACATGCATGTTGTAGGAGGAAAAGAAAAACAAAAACTATGTATGCCATGTTCACAAAGATAATTTTAAGCCTGAAAGTTAAGGATTAATAGCTGCGATTAATACAAACTCTTTTGACGGTAAAGCATGAAAGTTTATCGAGGTTCCTGATATTATAATGAGCTATGATATTAGCGTAATGCAGAATGAACAATTTCAGTGTATTCCTATGAATTTAAAAGAAACAAAATGCTTACCCGGACATTATCAGTCTGTGAACTGAAGCAAATACTCATTCTACAACACTGTCAAAGCATAAATCGTAGTTCATCAGTCACAAATTCAACCTGTTTACAACAGAACATATTTACTTCCGGTTGGCAAGGGGAATAATTATTGTTCGCGCCAGAATTCATAAATTATACAAATACAGATCGTTGCATTACAGATCATTACATTCTGTTAATACTGCTGCCGCTGGTCTAAAGAAGTCGTGGAAACTAAATGGACTGGAAAGCGGGGACACTTTTTTTTGGTAGATGGGATTTATATAAACTAGTTCTTATATGTCTATATTGATTGTTCCGTGTATACTTTAATCAAGTTAACCTATAAACTTTTAAGGACTAGCAAATTTTTGAATGCCACATCCAATTATCATTAAAATGAGACGAGCGTTACATGTGAAAGGAGATGAAGTACAAACTGTATGACTTAGAGGACTACGGGTTCTTCTACACATTCAATTAAAAAAAACAAAGGTCGCCTTAAACAATGAATCGTGAGAATGACTACATGGACCATTGAATGCAGAAGTTGTGTTAACTGTTATTAATCAGTGGAATAATTCGATGATAGTTTAGTTTTGATCGCACCAAATGTTCATATCGGAGGATGATAAAAAGGAATAAACGTAAAATAAGAATTTGATTTCAAAATGAACGAAAAGTATTTGTAACTCGTGAACAGTATAGAGTAATGGTTTACATTATTCACATCATTCACGTTGAATAATGATCTTTCAGCACCAACACACTTGGAATAAAAAGTTAATAAAAAGGTTGCGGAAAAACACACTCACATGAATATTTTTTTCTGGTTCTCTACTGATTGGGGTGATCATGAGTGTTGGATAATCACAAAACTATAACTTCAGCCAACAATGTATTTATGCGCATGTCCTCGAACGAGGATCTTCGAATTCAGGTGTCAGATGCTGATCCAGGATTTTTAAAAAGGGGAGGGGAAACTAGGCAACGTTAGGAGTCCGACATGTAAAAGGTCTATGCATTAACATTATATATAGTTCCATAAGCCCCCCCCCTCAAAAGATTGGTTTTGAGATTTGGCCAACGTATTACACACGGTATATCACATCCTCATGTTTACTGTATTATAAGAAGATGTGATATGATAATCAATGAGCCAACTCTCCACCAAGACCTAATGACGTAGAAGTTATCAACTGAAGGTCACCGTATGACCTTCAACAATGGGCAAAGCCCATACCGCATAGTAAGCCATAAAAGGCCCCGAAATGACAAATGTAAAACAATTCAAATAAATGGAGAATGTGTCCATGGGACACAGATGAAGCTCCCGCTTGCATTTAACGTTATAACGGGACATAACTAGAGAAATGTAAAAGTGACGCCACCAAAATTGGAACTTGATCTGTGTTTTATGGTAATAAGCATTGTGTGTATGTTTCATAACATTTGGTTGAGGAAACGAAAAATTCAGCAATTTTCAATTTATAAAGGGGCATAACTCAGGAACGGTAAAAGTGACGCAACCCAAATTCGAACTTGATCTGTGTTTTGTGGTAATAAGCTTTACAGTTTTAACATGGCATTTGGTCAAGGGAAACTTAAGTTAGAGAACGGAAACCAATTTAGGGACGTACGGACGTACATACGGACAGGAGTAAACCTTAATGCTCCCTCCGCTACGGCGGGGGCATAAAAATTTAAAAAATATTGTGTTTTTCACGCTCTATATAAATTTTAGTATAAAATCGTCCTAAAAAAATTGTTTCCTCCGCTCGGCGGTATATATTTAATTATTGGGAATTACGCCCCTCTGGATCCGCTCCTGATATAGTTAATATCTGAAAAGTTTTATTTAAGTATTATTATGTGGTTTAGAAGGAGAACGGATACAGATGTGTACTATAGTGTGAATATGTGACATTCAGACAAGGTCCATGTCAACCTAACATTTCCCTTTGGTTTATGTACAAAATGGCACATCACTTTTATTCTGTATTTTTACTGTTTTGATATTGTAGCACTTAGAAAATTTCGTAATACACAGGCCTACAGAAGGGGTCATAAACCTTAAACACTGACCTAAAAAAACATTCATTTGTTTTTTAAAGTCAGGAGTGGGTATATTTTTCTTTTAAATATATACAATATTCCAATCTATGAGAGCATTTGATATTTAGTGTTGAATTAGAACAGGATTAAAAAGATTACTCTGGATAAATATAATGAGATTAAATTGTCAAATACTACTACGTACCATACTTAATCGTGTTACACATTCTTAATCAGATCTACAAAATGGCTGCAGTGTCAGATCACTGGACAAAATTTTAATAAACGAAAACAAGATGGAAAATATTTAGTGGAACAATGATTGGAATTCCTCCCAAGCATTTATATGAGGTATCTATAGCAACATAGTATATGGGGTAGTGAACTAAACTTTCAAAATTGCTTCAAAGCTCTTATACTGTTCGTGAAGCTTCACATTTTTTTACGAGTCACTGAAAGAGTTGGCAAACAGTTTCACATGTCAGTTTTTCAAATGCTTACACTACAGAATATAAACTAGAAGGGGCCTCGGTGGTCGAGTGGTCTAAGTAAGTATCACTAGCATGTTAACACTGAGGTTGTGAATTCGATTCCCGCACGTGGCAGGTGCGCTCGACTTCAATCTTAATTGACAAAGATTGTAAGTTTTCCTACCGTAGGTCGGTGGCTCTGTCTCCGGGCACTCCGGCTTCTGTCACCAATAAAAACCGACCGCCACGAAATATCACAATAGTGTTGAAAGTGGCGTTAAAGGTTCATGTGGACCCTATGGCTAAAATGACTGCGTTTTCACCTCAAAATTTACTCTGAGTACAGACAAACCTGTGTATCTGGAAAAGTTTTAAGGCATAGCATTCAAATGCATTTTATGTTATAGAAAATTAAAAACTTAAGGAAGCTCCCATTTGATTTTTATGGGGGGTGGGGGCTAGGATGAAATTTGAAAAAAAGGCAGGACAGGAGTTTTGAGTAAAAAAAAGGCAAAATGAGCAACTTGGCCAAAAAAAAGTCAGGATGACAATTTATGTAAAAAAAGTCAGGATAAACTAATAAAAAAAAGGCAGGACCGAATAGAGTGAAAAATAAAAAGGCAGGACAGAACAGAGATTACAACTAAAAAAAACACAGGACAAAATTTTTCATCCTAGCCCCTATAAAAATCAAATGGTAGCTCCCTAACTGGATGATGCATTGCACTTTCTTTCGTTCCTACCAAAGGTGCCAAATAAACAAAGTTGGGAAAGAGGTTTGAGAACTTCCCCACAGGTAATAATTGAAGTGAACTGTATTGATTGACATGGACAATTGAGGGACAATAGATACCGGACAATAATTGTAAACTGTGTCACTGACTGGACCATATCAAGTGACACTCAACTGTTTGTTAATGTTATCATCTTCTGCAAGAACAAAAAGAAGTGCACAGCAAAATCCAGTTAAGTTTTTAATTTTCTAAATTATTAAATGCATTTGAATTCTAGTTACCTAGAGCATGCTATGCCTTAAAACTTTTCCAAATACACAGGTTTGTCTGTACTCAGAGTAAATTTTGAGGTGAAAACGCAGTCGTTTCATCCAAAGGGTTCACATGAAACTTAAACTCAAACCAATCAATAAACTAGTGCATATATTCTGTGTTATTTTGTGAGTGTGTTGATTTGTCTGTTATAATAATAACAAGCAATCTCCAAGTACTAGTAGATGTACTGTTTGCAGTTTACGCTACCTTGTGTGTGGTGTGATGGACTTCATTGTTTTTTTTTCTGCATTTGAGAATAAAAACTTCAAAGATTTATTCACGTTGAAACATGCAACATTTAAACAAAATAAATAACAGAAATAACCGAAAATATATTGGATACTAATGAGAACTAATGTGTAGTCAATCTATAGACCACGGCACAGGGGCTTTGGGCATATACCCCATTTTTTCTTATTCCTTTAATTTGTGTTTAATTTTTTTATGGTAAATATTCTTTAATATTTTTACATATATATATTACTTAAGTGTTTTGGTTCTTATTCAAATGATATTACAGTAACTGTTAGTTTATACATTTTTCTCCCCTTTTTTATTGTTGAAAAATATTTACTAAAAAAAATAAACATTAAATGAAAAAGGAAAAGAAACAAGGAGGCCATTCCCAAAGCGCCAGATGGCCATTAACAATTGAGAATTTTAAAGTTAAACTGGACATGTAAATACGTTCGATTCCTCATTAACGCCTTTGCAATACGCACTAACATGTTTAAAAACATCTATTTCATCATTGTTTTTTTCAATTTACTATATTGTAGCTTTGTCTGTTGAAGATGATCTATTAAAAAGTGTAAACCATGGGGGACACTCAAAATTTACCGACTCTTCAAGACAAGAGACTTACATATATGTCAAAGATAACTCGTAGAACAAGAAAAATTACTCAGATTGAAAATGACATGTTGTCCCGAAAGAATGATGTTTATTCCAAATGTCTAAATAAAGAAAAACAAAGTTTGAACTATAGGACTTGGCAACGTGCCAAACCATTCCGAGAATCACTTCTTCATGCTCGTAGTATACAGAAATGTATGAAAAAACACAAAATATGTGACTGTTTCATAAATACACCAGAATTTAATTATGGGATGTATGGCGGACTCCGTCTGCGGTCGTTGAGACACGAAATCGAGCAAACAATTAAAGAAGCACATCCAAGAGTTCGGCGTCAGCGTGACGTGAAAAAATTACTTGCTGACGGAAAGGAAGACGGAAGACTGGTTGATTATGATAAAGTTCAGAAGACTCTTGACAACATCATAAATAGACAATATGAAACAAACCTTTTTGGTTTGACATGGAGCCCAACTGGATATGATTTTAAGGGAAATAACACCGGTCTACGTTTACCACCACTTACAATGTCAAGAGAAAAATCCAGAGAATTTCGCAGACCGAAGTCTGGAGGAGTTCAAAATCGACATAAAACGTTCATGATAGAACCATCAACTACAAGGTTTTAGTTACCTTTGTTGATGCATGACACATTAACAAACCGAACCATGCACGCAAAGAGTCATAGTTGGAATTACTTCATGCATTAAACATTCTTAATTTGTGAAGTGCAATTTAATTTATCAAACTTTCTCTGAATTAAAGTAAACACATATTTACAGTCGTTCCGATTATATCAAGTATAAAAATTTACTGGTCTTTTTGGCATGTAATGCATTCATATTGACTCTTATATTAGCTCATAGTAGTTATCCAAATCACATGCACGAGTTAAGACATGTGCCTTAATTCAACAGATACATATTTGAAGCCAACACCAAATTTGAAAAAAGAGGAGTAGGGTATATGCCAATAAGATTGTAACCCAATAACACATGTTACCCAAAATAGTCATGAAAAACTCACCATATATATATGCAACTTTCATCAACTTTTAAGCATCACCAACTTAATGCAAATTCCAATTAAGCCCGAGTTAAAACAAGACAATAAATTCAGCAGAGATTCTTAAATATCTAAAGTCAAATTTTCGCTGGTTAAAATAGGAAGGAGAGTGACATCTACAAACAAGATTCTGTATTTTGGCCATGAAGGGAACATGTTATATTCATTAAAAAGCGAGTTATGTTTTACATGGGCACATATTTTGCTGATTCAAAAGACACAAATCATAATAGAGATGTAGAGTTTCAATATGCCTAAGGTAAGCAAACGTTAACACCAAAAGTGTACTGTGCATAACAGTTTTGATCACTAAAATTGTTTAGGTATTTGTTTCTTCTAAATAACGTTATGCGAATAATCAAATCTGATATTTATTAACATTTACCGTTTTCATAGGATAAAACTAAACGGCTTGAAACAGTCGAAATGAAATTGTTATTAATAATTTATAAACAATAGAATAGTTAAACCCACTTATGAGTAGAGAACCGATTTTAATTGTCCATGTATAGTATAGTCAACTGCAGTAATTTCTATTCACCATATTCATCTTATTTGAATTGACCTAGCAATATCGTTTTTTGAAATCGAAAAAGGTAAGTATTGCGATTTTCAATTAAAAATTGTTGTTAAGGGTGTAAATGTTATCTAAAACTATCATACTTCTGATTTGGTGAGACTTGATATGCAAATTTAAATATGACAGTGTGTGCTATTTCAATTTTGTGAAAACATTAGATAATTAAACCGAGAGAAAAAATGTGTTATGTGTGTATTTTAGTCTAGATGACATCTAATTAACCATCGAGGTGACCTCCGAAGACTGTCGACGATCATATAACCCGATATAAACATAAATATAGATATAAATCGACAGCGAACACGTGCAATTGGATTAATTTTTCTAGGTCTGTTTGATTTCATATTACAGGTTTTAAAAAAAATGTGTTAATCATCGTGTTTACCTGTATAAGAATGAGTGTTTGTGGATCGAATCAGTCAACCAAATGGTTTACCCTTGTTTCACTTTCAATGTTGACATTCTTTTCCTTTTATTAGCTGAACACGCCTTGTTTGCGCGTAACCCATCTCCAGCTAATGGGTTAAATTGAAGGTCACATGAATACGAATTCAATCAGGTCGAATTATTCACTTGCAAGAGAAAAAAAATCATTAGCGATGATTCAGTCAGTGGCGGATCCAGAAATTTTCATAGGGGGCACCAACTGCTAAAGAGGGGCCCGCTCCAGTCATGCTTCAGTGATTTCCTATATAATCAACAAATTTTTTCCCACAAAAAGGGGTGGGGGGGCTGGCACCCTCCCTCCCCCTAAATCCGTCTCGGATTCTTAGCTTATTTTGACATAATTGAACAAAAACTGGCTGCTAAAAGCGAATTATTAATTCACTATTTCACTTTCATTAATGATTGAACAAAAAAAAATGTTTAAATCTCGTAGCTAATGCCCCTTAAATATGAAATATTCGTCTCTTTACGCTGGGAACAGTATATCAATATATATGTTCCTGCTTTACGTCATATAAAATATGGAATTACATTTTTGTACTTTTATAAACAGTTGTTTGCTAAAACAGCATTTTTGCTAGATTGATTTTATATTTATTGAAAACATTGTATATAAAAGCTATTAATTACCGAGTAATTCAACAAAAAAATTTGATAATATAATTCATACTTTTGAGATTATCCCTTATATACTCTAGACTCTCGACATTGTAAACATTTATCACACATATGTAATGTACACAGGTTATAATTTAAATATCAGATTGTAATTATTGACAGTGATACTAGATAATCACAGGTACACAAAACAACTAGATTCTCCACACATACATAGTAAAATATTTGTATCGGTAAGTCGTCTTAATATAACATGATAATAGTATCGTTTATGATAGCTCCCAGATAGACACGGTTCTGAAGATAATTGAGTATTTCTGTCTCTGTCCAGTGTCATAGAACAGAGGTAGGGAAAGCGAAAGCACCTCGCAATCACGCCTTCCAAATGCACGATGGCTAAATATTTTGTTTTTGCAAAAGCTTATGGAACTGTTTAGTCTGTTAATAGATGTATGTTTCATGATACATCTGTGGTATGTTAGTACATTGACAAGATTAAGATCAGTCTCAATCCCGTAATGCCTCTTCAACTAGAAAGGTCATAGCATGGTAACTACACATGATGCTTACAATCCTAGTAAGTATGAAAAGTTGTTGGGCTAAATTAAGGTCTCGGGTGTCATGCTACAATAGGCAAACAGTCCCATAAATCCCACATGAACAGTCATATCAAAATAGCAGTATGGTCAACTACACACGATGACAAACATTAAGATATGAAAGATAATAAACTGGCACCAGGTGCCATAATTCTACAGTTGACTCAAAATGATTAAATTTTCCCGTAAAATTTATCCAATCAATATGGCGATATAGTATTGTATTAGTATAGAATACAAGCACAATGAAAAAATCCCCCTAAGTATGAAATCTTACAACGAATGGTCACAGTGAAGTAGCGTTCAGAAGGTGTCATTATACTTTAAAAAGGCAAAAACTGGTTCTAATTCCACTTAGTCCGAAATTGCTCTGACGTCTGACGACCTTTTAAGACTTGTTGGGGCCGTACTGAAAAGGCCATCATGCAGACTTCAGAACAATCTCGGATTACATCCCACTACTCCCACTTTAACAGTAAAAAATTGTGATATAGTATGGTCACTTATGTACGATACAAATCAATCTAGTATACACGCTTTCGAACAAATAGTATCTGCGAAGACATTTAACGTTCACATTTAATTTGTTAAGAACGGATGAAAATTGCAGATCCTTGCCATTTTCAAAATTTGTTAACGAATGCCAAAATGTGAACTTTTCAATCAAATTTTGAAGCAAAAAGTTTGATACCTAAAATGATATGGTTTTCGATTTCATTTAAATGAATATGTTGTCGATCTTTTTAGGGGTTGGGAGGATATTAGTAACAATAAATAAGTCGAGAAAATTAAATTGATTATATAAGAAGGTCCCATTGCAATTTTATGGAGTTTTAACGAAGAAGTCAACGGAGGCTGTGTGGTTATGTCACCTCAATTTTTAAACTTATTTTGAAGCAAGAAATCATATATCTGAACTGAAATTTAAAACATTTTTTATTGTAAAAATGAAAATACTGTAAAATGCGGGGTTGTGAGGTAAAATACACAATGTAACAAAAAAGTTATGACCGTTTAATCTATGTACCCCGTTCATTTTCATTGATAATCAATCTGCCAATAATGATATACAACTGAAGTGTAAAAGTCACGTGATGACCGCGAAAGAATTGTTAAACGTGCTGTTTTCAATTTTTTTTGGATATGCGGAGAAACAAGAATTTGCACGCGCTTGTCGCGTTTAAGGATACTCCCAAAGTATCGGAAACTTGAACAGAACAGGAAGTATGTGATGGACTAATCCAGAAAGCTCTGACATGTTTCAAGTCATCACCCACTATCTTCAGTAGTGCTGGATAAATGCGCAATGCAAATATAAAGTTCTTTAACAATATTTAAAACAAAGTATTGGCAAACATGACGTAAAAGGTGTCCGCATGCTTGATCCTTAAAGTGGCCACAACTCATAACAGTTAGGCTGCTGACCAAATATGACATCATTCTGTTCGATTTTTTTTTAGTAAAGTGAGATGAACAACAGACAAGGTGATTACAACTCTGCTTGTAAAATAAATCGGTGATAAAATAGAATTATCTGTCTTATACGGAAGCCGGTAAGTGTCAGGGTGTAGTTTTATTTTTAAACCGTTATAACGACTTCGCTAACTTGTTATAACGACTTTTAACAAAATAAAACGACACCCTGACACTAACCGGCTTCCATAGAAATCCATAAACCGTACAGTATATAATACTCTTTTTACATACGAAATTATAAATACAAAATATAAAATTTATATTTAGATTCGTGACCGAAATTGATTATATTATATAATTGTTTCTAACTCTGTTATTATTTTCAATATTTCTAACAAGAACCATGTCACCCTTCACTGCGATGAACCAGCACAGAATTTGAAAAATCTAAATGACGGTTGTTAAACGGTTAAATATTCTCTTGTTGAACCGGATGGACAAACGATAATTTCTGTTTCAGAGTAGTCGATCACAGTTATGACAGAACACGTTATACCTGATTATATAGCTGGAGCAATTGGAGGTATGTACAAACATTGTTGTAAAGAGACATGTATTTGTTTCACTCACAGAGAGGTATGTACAAACATTGTTGTAAAGAGACATGTATTTGTTTCACTCACAGAGAGGTATGTACAAACATTGTTGTAAAGAGACATGTATTTGTTTCACTCGCAGAATCAAAATGTGAAATTTGTTAAAACCTTCTGATATTCAAATATCAAAGTGTTTTTAAAATCCATCATAAAGTTATGCACATTTGGGATCAAATGTCGTTTACTTGAGAAATCAAAGGGCAATGTAACCCGACCACTGGTTTTCAGTGAGTTGCAGGGATAAAAATAGAAAAGTGATATAGAATTGTCTTCTATCGAAATCTGTTAAAATCATTCCATTTGATTAATCCGACCTTGAAAAATAAAAGTTAAATGTCTCTTAGGAAAATATAGTCCGAGATTGCTCTGATGTCTGACTCCCTTGTTTGAACACTTATGTATTATAAAAGAAGGATACGAACTGAAATTCACCTGTTATTAAATACATATATAGTATAAATTGTAAAGACAATACTGAAGTGTATTTTGAAATATAAATACTATACCTAAAAGTTGTGACGTGTTTTATCAGAGTACGGATTAAAGACATGTTTGAGCGAGGAAAATAATCAGTCCTGTTTTAATAGGGGTAGAAATTGGACAGCGATAAGCGAAGGGAGCACATTTGAGAGTTTGTCTTGAAGCTTTTTTAGAATGGTAATAAACTAGGAAGCAGTACATGAAATGTATACTGTAGCACGGCTACTTGTGAACTTTTTGTGATGGGAGTATTATAATATGTGCCCTTTAGTTCCAACGCTACAAAAAGTAAGATAAACTAGTACCTTACAAGCAGAAAATTGAACTTCGATGAAATATAAAGCTCAATCCAATTTTTACAAAGCACAAGATATATGTCATTATTAACTCGGACCTAACATTTAAGAGAACAGTAGATTAGTAAACTTAACCTCAGTAACATTTTGGACAGAAAACCAACGAATTTTAAAGCGATTATTGACTTATTTGTCAATCTTTTTTCCATGTTCTTTTATATCTTACAACGCGGAAAACGATTATGTACGCATTCGCAGTAGATTGAATTTTTTTAATGTAAAAAAGTTGAAAAGGTCAGAAAGCTCAGAACCCTTTAGAACTGATCATTTAAACTGACGATAAACCTTGAGAATTTCTTAAGTTTGAATGCTAAAATACCCTTCATACATATGTGTAAAGGATTACAGGGGTATTTGTCAGTGAGCCAGCACCTCAGAGTACAAAACAGACAATAGTTTACAGGTTTTTATACGGTTTGCAACAATTGACGTGACTATACATTTTGACAATCTCTAAATCGGCAAAAATGAAGATATAACAACGGTATAAAAGTTAAAAAAAAGACAATTAACAGCAAAAAAGGAAAGAAATCAATAGCATACCACCGAATACTCTCAGTTGCTGAAAGCAAGCTTATAATTCCTAACCATAACGTCCAATGAAGAGAAACGTGTAATTTGATATAGATATGAACCTAGCTGCTTTGTACTAGACGTTTATTTTCTATTTAGAGATTGCTTTATCAATATAATACATGATACATATTTATTATAAGGTTAAATCCTAACTACTCTTCTGCCTGTCGATACTTTTATTTTTGGCATTACACAAGTCATGTCTTCTTTGACTATCCATGGCGTTAACACACTAAATCCCTGGGATGTGTTTTAATTGATTTTAGTCTCTGGTGCATGATTTTTTATTATTAATTGTTTTTGGCTTTTAACTAGCTTTCAGTAACTGCGAGTACTCTCAAATCGTACTTTCTTGTTTATTTGACCTGTTGACACAATTTTAATGCAATTCTGTTATTCAATATTTACTTATTTTGTGTTATATCTCGATTCACTATTTTTATTATGTACCACCTTTGATAAGTATTTAGTATGACGATAAATTTTCACTTCTGTACTCGTACTGTGGACAACAAATTTATTTATTTGGTAAAAAATGTTTCCGTACTCCTGACAACAAATTATTATATTTAAATTTACCTGTGTACGTTATTTTATTTAACGCCAATTTGTCACAGGTTAGAGTCGTCTTTTTGACATTGTTCCTACATCTTTTTTTTTATTTATATTGTATCTATAATGTGTCATAGATCAAACTTATTCGTTCAGTGTATGTTTACTTGTTTTTGTTAATATGTCTTTTTGATCGAGTTAAGCCATTTCAATTGATATTTCATAGTGTTTCTTTTTATGCTGTAATGTTACACTACTGTTTCAGTTTGGGTGAAGGTTGGCGCCTGTTAAAACGTTTAAACCCGCTACATTTGAATGCACCTGTCCTAAGTCAGGAGCCTGTTGTTCAGTGGGTGTCGTTTGTTGTTGTGGTTCATAAGAGTTTCTCGTTTCTCGTTTTTTTATATACTAGTAAATTAAACCGTTGGTTTGCTGTTTGAATTGTTTTACACTAATCATTTTGGGGCCCTTTATAGCTTGCTGTTCGGTGTGAGCCAAGGCTCCGTGTTGAAGGCCGTACTTTGACCTATAATTGTTTACTTTTTATACATTGTGACTTGGATGGAGAGTTACCTCATTGGCACTCATACCACATCTTCTTATTGATATTGACACAACGAGCCGATTTTCATAACGTGTTTATTCATAAGGAAACAGTCCACACGATGTCAAATTATTATTCCGGGACATATTCCGGCCACTCAGAGCCGACCAGTCTTTATTTTTAGTGTTAAATGTTTCGGTTTTGCAGAGAAGCAATGACATTAATTGTCAAGACTGGTTAACATGACCAGCATTTGAGTCGGGCATGCTTCTAGAGACCATCGAGGCGGTTTTGTGGTATACAGTGTATCAGTTTATAAGACTTTTTTATGTTATAATTCGCTTCTTTCTTTCTTTTTTTATTAGCTTAACGAGGCTTTTTGTCATTTCTTAAATTCCTGTTATTGTTGGCCTTAATCTTTGGAGTGATAATTATTAATTTCCCATTACCCGAGCTTTGCCACAGTGTAATCAGAACCACCTATGTCTAGTGTCAGATATAATGTTAAATTATTTTCCAGGAGCTTCCGGGCTTGTACTTGGACATCCATTTGACACAACAAAGGTATATGTAACTATACTTCTAATATTGAAGTAGCAATATAATGCAACTGTCACTATCTGGAGCAATGTCAAACAGATACATAGAGTGCATTTATTTCTAACCAAAATTTTGTAAACGTTGTGTGGCGTTTGTTGTTGTTTTCTAAACGCTACAAAAGTAGAAACAAATACATTGTTCAATCAGTGTTAACTGACCTGTTTGAACTTCCAATAATGCATGCACATGTTGTTGGTAAACAGATTTTTTGCAAACGTAGAAACAAATACATCGTTAAATCAGGTTGAAGTTAGAAACTAATGTAGCGTTTGTACTAACAAACGATGAACGACAAACTGTAGACGCATTTTTAGCGAGTGCATAGTTTGTCAAAGTTTATGTAAACTTTGCAAACGTATGTTAGAAACAAATGATAAAAAAATGTGCGCGCTTAGCCGTTTGCATCGTTTGTGTTAGAAAGAAATGCACTTATAGATCAGAAGTCGCACCTCCTTTTACTCACTATTATACATATATATTAAGCAACAGTTCAAAGTTTGTTATTTTTTCATTAAACTGTTTAAAAGCATGACTAATTTGCTTAATCACATCACAGTACTAGTATTAATAGGTAATATTTCTAATATTTAGACTTAATCCAGCCTATTTTGAAATTGATTTTATTTCACTATTGTTTAATTTTTACCTATTATTAACGATTTTACTTTAGGTACAATTACAGACGCAACATCATGGCAGTCAATACAAAGGACTTGTGGATGCTGTAAAAAATATAAGTCATCAAAGTTTGGTAGGTCTTAATTCTAATCCAATGATTGTATTAAAAAAAAATATTTATATTTGTCCTAAAATAAATTTTCTTCTGTCAAACTAAAATTTATCTTTATCTACAAAGTATCCCTTTTATTTGGATCTTCTATTCAATATACTAGTATGTGAAAGTCGTCTCTGCTTTAATGTAAAATGGGATACCGAAAACAGTGGACAAGGGATCAAAGCTACCAAAAAACTTGCAACTTGGTTAAAATTTACACACGCATTTCAAGCTCCTTAGGGTCAAAAGATACCAAATCAACTAAAAAAAAACCTGGTTCAGTGCATTCATCATCCAACTTGATGACCAAGGTTGAATGTTTTAGAACAAAGGTCTACCGAAAAGGTGCATAGCAGCACCTTCCATTGGATCGTTATTGACGATGTTTTAATTCATTCCAGGTGCGGTTTGGGGTGGGTCGCATCCGGCGTGCGTCTCCCTTTTATCGGGAATTATTTTTAAACATTGAATGTTCGGCCAAATTCCAGATCTGCTGAATATAATTACCATGCAAAAAGTACAAATACCATACCTGTTGATGTTCAATAAGCGGTCAAAGGTCACATATAGGTTAAAAGTTCAAATTAAAATTCATTATCGGAAGCCAGACCACGCAATGAATCAACATGGAAAAATAGTAAATATAAATACGTTAAATTTCCCCAAAAGACCCTCAATAGTAATGCATTTTTATAGAAAGCTATAACTTTAAATTCAAAAGCTTAATATTTACACTTTTCATTTTCCCAGTCTAAAACATCGTTAAGGACGAAGAATTTAAAATTTTAATTTTCGTTAAATAAGGGTCAAATTTTGAAAAGCTAATAAACAAAATGAAAATTTTTGTTTGTTACAAAATAAAGTAACTATAACACGAGAGAAAATGGGTACGATAAAGACCAATTTGCGTAAAAGTTTGTAATAAATGTGAGAAAGCAATGTCTTAACTTTTAATCATAAGATTGTCATTTGTAATTGTTTTAGTATAATTGATATTATTTCACACAAAAGAGCAAAATATTTCTTCTGGAAAAGATTTTGGCTCTCCAATGATAATGTTGACCTCATTTTAAACTGCATTGGCGTGATGGAATCTGGACCGATTAAATCTGTACAGTTGCAGAGATAAATTAAGTTATTTCATATCGGAAAAGAATTAGCTTCTCTTATTGGATAACAAGGGGCCACATGACATTCTTTATTTTTCAGTAATAAATTCCATCGGTCTTTAACAGAAAAAAAAAACGGACCAGAAAACTGACCGGTCGTTAACGGACTTTTACATGTTAATGACCAGTGGGACGTGGTTTCTCTGTTTAGAGTGATGTCCCTTTAATAAAACGCAATCGCGATTCGTTAATTATAGAATTATAGAAAACTTTATTTTGTATTCATATACTGAAAAATTGCACTTAAATGAATGGCAGTGACTTATAGTAATCACTATGACTGGTCTTCACTCTTTCCTATAGAAATCGTAAATTTATGAGAATTTTTAAAAACATGGTTCCTCAATGAAATAAACATAATAGTTATTGAAGAACTGGTCATTATCGTGATTCATGGACTGCCTTTAGGACAGTTCATATATCACGATAATGACCAGTTTTCAATAACTATTATGTAAATAATACTTCAATTGATTTCGTTTTCATTTAATCTGGATCTTTTGTATTATTACTTTAACGACCTTTTAGATTGAAATCATTGGCCGTCATTTAGCTTTAATTGTTTTGTGTTTGTACCTTTAATATTTAATGATTGTACCTTCAACTAGTTCTTAATTTTTGTAAATATACGGTTTTTTTTCCAGAATAAAGGATTTTTCCGTGGAATGTCTTATCCTTTATTTTCCTATGGTATAGTGAATTCCATATTTTTTGGTGTTTATGGTAATTCCCTAAAGTGGTTAGACAGACATGAATCTAACAAGAAATCGTCTTACCTCAACATATACTTGGCTGGTTGTATAGGTGGTGCAGCACAACTTGTAGCTCTCGTTCCTGTAGATTTAGTTAAAGTTGTATTGCAATCCCAGATCCCTCACGACACATCAGGTATGTAGAAAGGGATATGAGATAAGTATTTCGAACATGTTGATATAATATAAACGATAGTCTATCTATTTTTCATTTACTATTGTTAATTATTCATTTTTAGATGGTGACGTTCCCTTGTCACCATCTTATGGTGTTTATACATCTCAACTTATTCGATTCGCTCGTGTATGTAATAACGTATTTGATTTTAACGAAAGAAATCTCGGTTTTTCTGAAAAATTATTACACCAGGGTTTTCGATATCACAAACTAGTCAAAACATTTACTAAATTTTATCATCGGTACAAGGACATCATTCGTAAATATAAATTAACATGCAGACATCTTATACATTCAGGTATTTCACATCCAATCTTTTATGATAATATTCTTTACAAAGCACAAAAATGTCGGCATTCACCCCAAAAGCTAACCAAACCTTTAAACAGACTTATTCGGAAGGGATATAGTTACGATACTGTTGTCAAGTCATTAAGGATTGCATATTTTGGTATTAATATTGATTCACTCATAGGGTCTTTGCATCGGAAATAAACACATTTATTCTAAAACCAGTTGTTGGCATGATACGGGTTATGTTCTTCTCATATATTGTATGATGGTATGATACTAAACCCCTAACGGGAGGGATTGTACTTGATTGTCATATGATGAAGACATAATCTTTCAATCAGTTTAATTGAGGTCTGGAGTTAGCATGTCAGTAGCTGCTAGTAGTCCTTTGTTAATTTATGTATCATTGTCATTTTGCTTAGTTTCTTTTGTTACCTATTCTGACATCGGACTCGGACTTCTTTTAAACTGAGTTTTAGTGTGCGTATCGCTGTGTGTTTCTTTATTCTACATTGGCTAGAGGTATAGGGGAGGGTTAAGATCTCACAAAACATGTTTAACCCCGCCGCATTTTTGCGCCTGTCCCAAGTCAGGAGCCTCTGGCCTTTGTTAGTCTTGTATGTTTTTTAATTTTAGTTCATTTATATGTTTTGGAGTTTAGTATGACGTCCATTTTCACTGAACTAGTACGCATTTTTATTTAGGGGCCAGCTGAGTACCACCTCCGGGTGCGGGATTTTCTCGCTGCGTTGAAGACCCATTGGTGGCCTTCGGCTGTTATCTGCTCTTTGGCCGGGTTGTTGTCTCTTTGAAATATTCCCCATTTCCATTCTCAATTTTATCACAGTACAGTAGCTTAATAACATTTAACAAATATGTGAAAGAAAAGACACGAAAACACATATCACAGCGCTTGAATATGTAATTTTAGTGAAAGTTTTGCAATAAGAATAATTGTCTTATAGAAATATCGATCGCTTTATATCCCCACCCCTACATACTGGTTTACCCCTTTCTGTTCTTCTGTACAGAATACAGATTACTTACCCTAGCTACATATGGTATGATGACGTGAAGAGGAAATAGTAAATAGCTCCAGTACATGTAGATCCAATATATCGCATATATCCCATGTTTATATTTTTTTGCTCCATATAAATGAAACTATAAGAAAATTAAAATACCAACGCATTACTTAACAAATGGTAAATATCTTAAAAAGTTGATGTAATTGAGGGACAAGACAAAAAGGTTGCAACTCATACAATGGACAACAGTCAATCATATAGAATTCAAAAACCCGTCCGTCATTTCTTGGAAGGTCGGTGGTTCTTTTCGGGTATTCCGAATTCCTCAACCAACTCAAACTGGCCGCCAGGATATAGCCAAGAGTGCTGTTTCAAAAGCGACGTTAAACGCCAACAAGCAATCAATCAATCATTTCTTTGCTTGCAATTTCTGTACATTTATCGACTTTTTATTACAAATTTAAATCAGTGAACAATAAATCAATCAGAAAATTTTATTTCCGTGAAAATCAGTGTGTAGAATAATATGTTAGAGTATAAAACTTTTTTTCAGGAAACAAAGTAGACAACGCAAAATATTTTAAAGGGCCAACTGAATGTGCAATACATATATATAAAACCTCTGGTATCTTTGGCTTTTATAAAGGCTTAATACCAAATGCATGGAGAGATATACCAAGTTATGGACTATATTCTCTCTCTTATGAGTCTTTACGTCAGACCATGATACAGTATGGATGGACAGATTCTAAAGGAATTATAGCAGAGTTAATTGCTGGTGGGTGTGCTGGAACAGTGACTTGGTTTTCTATCATGCCTTTTGATGTTATTAAAAGCAGATACCAGGCGGACTTAAAAAGGGAATACAAAGGGATATTGGACTGTGTATACAAGAGTTACAAACAGGAGGGAATAACAGTATTTTATAGAGGATGTTTAGTTACATGCCTAAGGGCTTTTCCTGTAAATGCTGTAATTTTTCTTGTCTATTCTAAAACTTTAAACTATTTGGAAACAAATTTTTAGAATTAAATTGATGAGTATATTCATATACAGTATCTGAGAAACGAATAATATCACGAAATGGACCATGAAATTGAGGTCAATTTGGGATAAACCTTGCAAGACGGACATGTGAACACATTTCAAGAATTTTATTCACCAAATATAGTTATCCTATTGCTTATAATCTCTGAGAAACGAACTTGACCCAAAAAATTACAAATAATTTCGTGAGAAATTTACGTATTTAAGCAGTCACTTAACCATGACAATGAGGTCAAAGACAACGGACATATGACAGACAAAATATCAGAACATTAGCCAGCTGTTAACAAGATATGAAGTATTCTCACTAAAATCCTTATATAAACGATATATAGCCAGGTCGTCAAGATGTCAACTAAACATCTTTCAAAAGTTGTAACAACCATTCTTTTAACAGTAAAAGACAGGCTTCATAAATATTTGGATGATGTATTAGTTCAGTGGTTGTCGTTGGTTCATGTCTGTCATATTTGTTTTTCGTAAATTGTTTTGTTATAAATTAGGCCGTTAGTTTTCTCTATTGCATTGTTTCATATTTTTCATTTCGTGGCATTTTATAGCCGACTATACGGTATGGGTTTTTCTCATTGTTGAAGGCCGTACGGTTGCCTAAAATTGCTAACATCCACTTCATTTGAACTTTGGTGGTTAGTTGTCTCATTGGCAATCATAGCACATCTCCTTTTTTTTTTTAGATATTCAACCAACAATTTCAATCAGATGTGGATTCTAAAAAAACAAAAATTTAAAGGTCTCTAAAACCTTCTATCACAATCTTTACAATTTTGATTTTTGTTCTACCCTTTCCACTACTATTCCCCATGCTCACTTGAACGATGGATTACATCGTCTCATTAAACAGAGCTTTTTCTTAAAAAAAAGGGGATTTTATATGCAAATTCCTTTATTTAAGTCATGAATGATCTTACTTTGCGAAGAACCAACAAATACACCGAAGGTGATATCATTAAAATGAATTTTATTTATCGACAAGATTTTGTTGAGTTTGGTGGATTTTTGTCGAGCCTTCGACTTTAGTCGAAAAAGCGAGACATAGCGATCCTACATTCCTTCGGCGTCGTCGTCGTCGGCGGCGTCCACAAATATTCACTCTGTGGTTAAAGTTTTTGAAATTTTAATAACTTTCTTAAACTATCCTGGATTTCTACCAAACTTGGACAGAAGCTTGTTTATGATCATAAGATAGTACCCAGAAGTTAATATTGTAAAAATAAAATTCCATTTTTTCCGTATTTTACTTATAAATGGACTTAGTTTTTCTGCCGGGAAATATTACATTCACTCTGTGGTTAAAGTTTTTAAAATTTTAATAACTTTCTTAAACTATCCTGGGTTTGTACCAAACTTGGACAGAAGCTTGTTTATGATCATAAGATATTATTCAGAAGTAAATTTTGTAAAAAATAAATCCATTTTTTCCTTATTTTACTTTTAAATGGACTTAGATTTTCTGCCAGGAAACAACACATTCACTCTGTGGTTAAAGTTTTTAAAATTTTAATAACTTTCTTATACTATTTTGGATTTGTATCAAACTTGGACAAAAGCTTGTTCATGATCAAATGCTAGTATCTAGAAGGAAATTTTGTTTTCTTCCAGATAAAATTACATTCAGTCTGCAGTTAAAGTTTTTAAACATTTATTAGATTCATAAACTATCCTGGATTTTTACCAAACTTGGACTGAAGCTTCTTACAATCAAAAGATAGTATTAAGTGGAATATTTTTATTGATTTACTTCCTCATTTTTGTAGAGCCTACGATTAACAGAAAAAGTAGGCGAGACACTGGGTTCCGCGGAACCCTTACGAATTTTTATTTCAACAGACCGTCGGTATTTCAATGTGTACTAAGTGTGCATCCCTACTGGGCAAATTAATTTTTGTACTCATATAAAGTAGAACTTAAACAGAACTTACTTAAAGACAAAAAGAAAACAGCATCTTGCAAAATTCTTTAATTTCACTTTCAGATATATTGATGATGTCCAGTCACTTAATAACCCAAATTTCAGAGAATGCTGGAATCTCATATATCCCAGTGATCTTGAGATTAATGATACTAACGAAACTATGCCTGCTCCATATCTACCTAGATGGATTACTGCAAACTACAACTTATGGCAAACGTGATGATTTCAACTTTCCAATTGTCAACCAAGATTTTTTAGCAGTAAAATGAAAATAATGATTTGCTTCCGACGCCCTTTTCTGAATTGACCTTCACCAGGAGCGCTCATAATAAAAAAAAATCAAAGCCATAATGAATTACTACCTAGAAACGTGAAGAACTATATGAAAAAATTCGTAAGGGTTCCGCGGAACCCAGTGTCTCGCCTACTTTTCTGTTAATCGCAGGCTCAACAAAAATGAGGTCGCAAATCAATAAAAATATTCCTCTTGATACTATCTTCTGATTGTAAGAAGCTTCTGTCCAAGTTTGGTGAAAATCCAGGAGAGTTTATGAATCTAATAATGTTTAAAAACTTTAACTGCAGACTGAATGTAATGTTAACTGGAAGAAAACAAAATTTCCTTCTAGATACTAGCATTTGATCATTAACAAGCTTCTGTAAAAGTTAGGTTCAAATCCAAAATAGTATAAGAAAGTTATTAAAATTTTAAAAACTTTAACCACAGAGTGAATATGTTGTTTCCTGGCAGAAAATCTAAGTCCATTTAAAAGTAAAATATGGAAAAAATGGATTTATTTTTTTACAAAATTTCCTTCTAGATACTAGCTTTTGATCATAAGCAAGCTTCTGTCCAAGTTTGGTACAAATCCAAAATAGTATAAGAAAGTTATTAAAATTTTAAAAACTTTAACCACAGAGTAAATATGTTGTTTCCTGGCAGAAAATCTAAGTCCATTTAAAAGTAAAATAAGGAAAAAATGGATTTATTTTTTTACAAAATTTACTTCTAGATACTATCTTATGATCATAAACAAGCTTCTGTCCAAGTTTGGTACAAACCCAGGATAGTTTAAGAAAGCTATTAAAATTTTAAAAACTTTAACCACAGAGTGAATGTAAATTCCCAGCAGAAAAACTAAGTCCATTTATAAGTAAAATATGGAAAAAATGGAATTTTATTTTTACAAAATTTACTTCTGGATACTATCTTATGATCATAAACAAGCTTCTGTCCAAGTTTGGTAAAAATCCAGGATAGTTTAAGAAAGTTATTAAAATTTCAAAAACTTTAACCACAGAGTGAATATTTGTGGACGCCGCCGACGACAACGACGACGACGACGACGACGACGCCGACGGAATGTAGGATCGCTATGTCTCGCTTTTTCGACTAAAGTCGAAGGCTCGACAAAAATGAGCATAAAAGAATAACCAAATCCATATAAGGTCAACATTGCCTGAGGGAGTTCATCTTCGCTAGCCAAGGGTTACGATCCACTTCCCTCCTCTCCGCCCTTGGCGGATTGAGATAGAATTTCTGAGACACAAGGTAATGATTTTCATTGGTTGCAGTCGAAACTCGCTGCATCCAATCAAAAAACGCCTATAACATGATCACGTGTAAATGTAGAAAGTGTATGTAAACAATGGCCACGTGCTTATTGTGCAACAAGTCTTTACATTCCTAAACATACGACTATATTTAGTGACAATTTGAATGTTATTAATCAATTAATAGAAGTTCCTGTGTATGTTTCTTGCACAAATGCGTGAATGTCGACGTATATTTTCGTCATGTTTTACCAAGTGTGTAGAATCTAGACGCTACCGTGTTTTTACCTCCAAATCGAAGAGTTCAAGTGCTACCATTGGTCAAGAATAATGTATTCGGAATGGGCGTGACTTTAATCTACCGATAGATGGCGCAACATTGTTATCACAAATGTTGGCTTAATCTGCCAAGGGTGGAGAGGAGGGAAGTGGATCGTAACCCTTGGCTAGCGAAGATGGAGGGAGTTGAAACCTTAGTTTTTTTGATAATTTCTCAACTTATCAATGGAGAATTTAATTGCAAAAATATGGTATTTATATGTCAGCACCAACCACTAAGCTGGTGATACCATCGGGAACTAACAGTCCATTCTCAGTGATATCGACCTAGTGCTAGAAAAAATGATAATATTTGGTTTTTTTTTATATAAACGCGTGGCGTCTGGACCGCTTTTCTTATTTTTCTTCCATTAGGAACGCTCATAATCAGTAATACAAGCTCGTGCATGTTCATACTATACAAACTTCATTAACAGGGTTGTGCTGTTTACACAAACACTGCTCCAACAAAATTATTAGGAAGAACGACTGAAATGGAAACTACTCAAGTTTTACAGTCACCATCACACATTGGTTGACCAATACAATGTGTATGTGTCTCAAATCACTAGCGACACATTTTTCGATTGTCTCCTATTCCAAATTGTAACATTTTGACTGAGTGTGGATTTTTTATTGCGGGTGATCGATGCATAGCAGGAGACGCTTACCCTGTCGACACATCTGGTCATGCTCCTTTTCGAGTTCATTCATCTCCTCAGTTTTTGTTTACCTTGATTTGTATCTTCTAAATCGATTTATGAGATTTGAACAGCGGAAAAGTACTGTTGCCTAAATATTCTTCCTTCTGAAACATTTTAGTCTCCGGCGAGACAAAAATCAAAGATGTCTAAAACATATGACGAGCTACATAACAGACACATGTTCAATGTCATACATCAAAAACTGAAATGCTATGTACCCAAAAGTTGAGAAGATAATAATATAAGAAAATTTCGAAAAGGTTTATGCCCAGAGAATTACAGACACAAATACTTCCAGATGAAATGATATACAAATTCTGCACTTTGATAGCCATACCAAAACACAGACATTTATCAGATTTTATCATAATAAGCCAATTTAACCCTATATTCCCAGTATCATTATCATTCATACACAGCAAATATTATGTAAGTAATTATTGTACACTGGCATGACATTCTGGTCAAACAAAAACTGAAATCACAACATAACACTTCTGTTGATTAAACAAGTACTAGTACTGCCACTTACAAGCATGTGCAGGTATACATAAAGTAAGAAAACTATGGTTTTTTTCAACCAATAGGCTCGTGTATCTATTCATACTAACATAATATGACAAAATCTGCTAGGGAATTTCCAGAACTTGTAAAAAAAATGATATCTTGGTAGACTGAAAGAATATGAGAGGCTTATAAAATAAACTAAATGCAAGAAGTGCTACATATTTAAACCTATTATCTAGATTACGTTAAAGCCATTCTACAAGTAAAAGTAGAATAAGGGTCAATACCTTATATTTAAAAGGGCATTAACTGTCAAGTTCATGTTCACCGAACTGACCCAATTTTCGTAATTGATTTAATGCATACTAAAACGTATATCCAAATTACAAAAAGTCCATAAGAAACAAATAACGAAGCATGGACTCACTATAATATATCAGCATTTAGTGCGTATTTTAGATTAGAAACCATCTTATCATCCATCTAGATGACCTCCGGAGACTGCCGACGGTATAACCTGGTATAAACATAAATGTAAATATAAATAGACAGACAGGCACGTTAACTCCTACAATAATGATTTTTCTAGGTCTGTTTGATTTCTTGCTAAAGATTAAAAATATATGTAAATCATCCTTTTACCTGTATAAGAATGATTTTTGTGGACCGGATCAAACAACGAAAGTGTCATTCCTTGTTGCTTCTTTGTTTCACTTTGTATGTTGACTTTCTTTTCTTTATTATGAATGAACATGCTGACCACATGATGTCCGAACACATGCGCAACCCATCTCTACAAAAGGTCAAATAAAGGTTGCATGCATACGAATTCAAATGAGTTGAATTATTGACTTGCAAGCGATGTTTTTTTTTAATCTTATTTTGACGAAATTGAACCAAACTAATTGTTAATATCAGAATACTATTTCTTTATTCCGCTTATACAAATGTTGTAAACAAAACAACATCATATTTTAATTTTTTGTCTAATTCGTTAATAATGCCCCTTTAAAGGCTCAAATGCATTTGTACAAGAGATATATATTTACGGCCCTGTAATTGATCATAGGTGTTGCATGATAGAACTATGATCCCATGCATTCTTTCATATGGTAAAAATCTCAATTTGTGAACAATTATTAGGCACAGGTCATCTTTGATTTCTAAGTTTGCATCATTCTGCACAACGGAGTTAAATGCTTTAATGTCAGAAAGCATTGACTTGAGGTAATAGTGACCTTAATGCTGCGCTACACCCCAAGATACATCTCTGCATCAGTTTAGATGCTTATCTCACATAATAGTACTAAAATATGACTTAAACAAGGTCAATAAAGCATGAAATTGAAGCCACAGTGACACAATTATGCCCTAATTCTAACCTAAAATACATCTCTGTACAGGTTTAGATGATACTATTACATTAAAGTTAAAGAGATTAACCTAGACATAAAACTCAAATTAAGTCAATGAAGCAATGAAGCATGATTTGTAGGTCACAAGAATAGAGCACATTACTTATCTGTTTCCAAGATAGGATTTTGAAATAAACTAAAACATCATCTAGGATGTAAAACTTATTCAAAGTCATTGAACCAAGAAAAATCGCAACATAAAAGACAATTAGATGTACCTACAAAGAAAGTCATAACATTTTTAGCCTCCTAGTTACAGGTTGTTGACAAAGAGGCAGACTCGGAAGTGCACACACACAAACACCCCCCCCCCCACACACACACATACATACGATTTAAATATATGATGCGTACTGATTGATATTTTAGGCTTAGATGCATGATGTTTTTATTAGTTGTTATTGGCTTTGAACTAGCTGTCAGTAACTGCGAGTACTCTAAGATCTGTACTTAGTGTATTTTTGTTGTGGGGATGTATAAGTACCCCTCCACGTCCGGTCTGTGTTTTAATTAGATGTATGTCTGCTTTGTATCTATCTGATGAGTTAAGCCCTTTTCAACTGATTTTTATAGTTTGTTCTTATATTGTACCGTTACACCATGTCCCAGTTGGGGTAGGGTTGGTGCCTTCAAACTAATTTAACTCCGCCACATTCTGTAAGTACCCATCCCAAGTCAGGAGCCTGTAAATCAGTGGTTGTCGTTTATTGATGTATATCATATTTGTATTTCGTTCATCATTTTGTACATATATCAGACCGTTAGTTTTCTCGTTTGAATTGTTTTACATTTGTTATTTCGGGGCCTTTTATAGCGTGACTATGCGGTATGGGTTTTACTCATTGTTGAATGCCATACGGTGACCTATAGTTGTTAATTTCGGTGTCATTTGGTCTTTTGTGGAGAGTTGTCTCATTGAAATTATACCACATCTTATTATTTTTATATTAATTAATCTATAAAATCAATACCAAAATGTCTATTCAGAGTATTTAATTCTATGGACTTCCAATATTTTTATTGTAATTCTTATTATTATTGTCACAAATTACATTGTTATTTAACAAATTTGTATATTGTTTATATTTTCAATACATTGTTTACCTAAATAGTCGATTTGTCTTTAAATATAATGTCAGTATAATGCACAACTTTGTTTAGGACAATTCTTGGCAGGACAGTGCGTTTTAGTAAACTGATATGAAATATACCTTCGATGTAAAGTCTGAATGAATAATTTTTGGCACCTACATTATATATATCAAAATGCATAACACAGTAGAACATCATTTAGAAACAATGACATACAATATAAGGGTTCAGAAACCTTAGGAATGCTCATAATGTTAAAAAACCTCTTGTTCATATTGTAGGCTCATGAACTGTTGATTTAAATAAGTATCTTGCATGCACATAACACCATAGAAATATAAATACTACCATTGCATTGAGTAAGATACTTTATTTTCTTATACAGTTAAAAATCCATGTAGTTGGTACCGCAAGAATAAAAGTATTTCCTCATTATAGTAACAAAATAGCATCTGTTAGAATTTCCTGCAGCTTTCAAAAAGTGCAGGAAAGTGTTTACTCAGAGAGGACTCAGCGTGATTGACAACATTTTTACGGCTCCCTTAGTTTGGAGGACTACACTTTAAGGGCACTCTTACTTCCTTACTTAATAAAGATATATGTTTTGAATAGGCATTTAAACAAAACATACCATTATTGACTCATATTTAATATTTGAAAATATATTAGATTACTAATGTCATATCTTTTTGTAATAGAATGAGTTGGCCCAAGGGCCTCCGCTCCATTATATCCCAGGAATTGACAGTTATTTGGACTTTATCTATAACAGAACATAGGCTTGTTTTTAAGTTGCACAATTGTATCAGTGTCAAAAACTTTTTGGGTCTTTAATGTTTACCAATCAAAGCTACTTGTACATTGGCTTATAACTTTGCAAAATTTATTAGGTCAGTAATTTTGTTCCAGTTAATTTTGTGTTTTTGATTGAAACTGTGTGTGTTGTTGATACAAGTAAACTAATGAGTTAACCTATAAATAGCTAAATATCTTTCCGACGATCTGACAGCTGATTAAGCGTTGCAATTAAACTATCTGTCAGCGGTTCAATACCTTTAATCAAAACTTATATAAGAACAGAAAGAAAGCCGTCGTCAGATCTCACCCAATCCCTCGATCAACCAAATAGAAAAATAGTTAAATGTAAATAAAAGGAAACAGCAGGGAACCAAACATTTCTACAAAGAAACATTGTGTCATGAAAATTGGTCAGGACGCTGTGCCCTCCCATTTCCTCCAGAATGAAACGCTAATCTGTAGACGATCCAATCATATCACACGTTTTCGTGTTTCTCTTACAGAGATTGGGTTGTTATAAGAAGAAAAATTAGTTTATGCAGAGCATAAGGAAATATAAACTTTTAACAAAAAACAAAATTTCAAGTGTGGAGACACCTAAGTGAGGGGACACTTCTAACAACAGTTTTTTATGATCATGGTTTGTTTCAGTGACTGCATGGCTTTGCCAAATCTACATAATGTAATTGAGAGATTAAAGATATCGAAAATTAGAAAAAAATAGTTGACTAAAAAATTGTTGCACGGAATCAAAAACAGTTAAAGAATATCTGCAATTGACTGATCTATTACATAAAATAGCATACAATAATCATTAAATGTCATGATCTTACACATTACTTTGTGTAAATATATTATCTGTGATGGGTTGTAATGTCCAACCACCTTTGCCATCTAAGTGTAATTCTATATGATGGAATTGTCTTAGACTTTCTCTGTGGCCCACACTAATAAGCGTTATTCCTAATTCTTTACATTTTAGATACATCTTCTTTTCAGCTTCTAAACCTATTTGACTGGTTGATTCATCTAAAGCTGAAAAATAAAATCATCTTGTTAGATAACCCTTTACAGTTTTGGTTTGTATAATACCATTGGCAGCAGTTTCATTATGCAAAGAAAACCTGTTTTAATATTGTATTAAATAACACTAATACCAAAACATTCTGGTTTTCATTTCCAAAGTTCCTGATTGATTAAAACGTGCAAATTAAATTGCGTATATTATATTATTGTAATTACTTATTATCTCTATAACTATGACACGAGTTTATCAAATTATGAGCTTAAGATAATTTTTTCACAAGTTTTTATCATTTATTGATGGTAATACTTGTCAAAAACTATGATTTTCAATTTATACTAAAAAAGTTTGACAACTCACAGTATTTTTACATAAACCCAATCAAGCTAACATTTAATCTAGCTCTGCATGCTATCTTGACTAAGATGCTACAATAAGCCTTTTCCCCTTTCATACCTTTATCCGATTTCTCGGTTTAAATATAGTTAAACATATTTAACATTCGTAATTGATTATACAAATTACAACTGACAGAACAAGGTTATTCATATATACCCCAAATTTCAAGCTAATATTTGTGTTTTTTTTTGGGGGGGATTGAGTTATGATAAAACTAATAATTTGACTTGCTAAATTTCTCTATAGCTATTTGGCTTTAGTTTTTTGATTAAAGTCAATTCAATGTTCAAGGTATCAAGGTAAGTTTAATGCAGTATATTTAACATTGTTACCTGCTACTTTTGGTTGGTGATAGAATAATCGAACAAAAGATAACCTCTTCATTTCTCCTGGAGACAATTCATCATACCTACACACAAAAAATATTGAAAAAAGTTAAATAATAACATATTTATTTTCATACTGTTTAATCAATTTTTTGGGGGGGATGTTAAATATTCTTGGCTGTCTACTTTTTTGAACGAATAAATATGAGGTTATGAAGATGTAGGGTATTTGTCAATAAGTAACCAAATGTAACAATTTAAGACATTAACGATGACAAAAGTAGACCCTAAGATGATGCGTTTTGACCAAAAGTTTGTTTTGTTTTTTCATCCTCACCAATTCCAGTCTGTTTCTATATCCATGCCAACCCTATCCAAAATGTTAGTTAGTCCTACAAACTCTAGATATTGGTGAATCCTATCATCATATATAGAAACTAAAAAACAAAGATAATACAATTCAAAGAAATCTAGATTAATTCTTATCGTTGCTGGGCTTCCAAAATGTCGTATATGACTTTTTTTGCTAAATCTACTATTTCACACAGACCGGCTTGGCGAGAGTAAATCTCTGATATTCCAAAATGTCACACATTTAGGCCAATCAAATCATTTGAAATGATACATGTGACAAAATTGACAATCTCAATTTGTTTTTAAAGTTTGCTTTCCATAATGTTGTATGCAAACTTGAAAATTGTTGTATAATGGCTTTGGGAATCAAACACTTTTACATTTCTTTATTTCTGTGAAAATAAGGTAGATTTTGTGTTATCCAGAGATGTCCAAGTTTTTTTCACAGCTATTCACATATGACGTTTGGACGCAAACATTTCAACCAAATTTTCGAAGCCTGTTTGTGAGAATTTTTTGTTGTTGAAAAATTAGTAATTTCTTCACTTTGGCAGCCCAGCGACGTTATCTTATGTAAACATTTTAACTAGACGTATAAATCGGGCAAATAAATGTTTTGTAAATATTCAAATCCATAAGAAAAATGTTTTCTCAACAAAGCTTTTTTGCCATAATGATAAGAAATTTATAGTTCAAATGGACCACAAATAAATAACATCCAGTAATAGTATATAGCTACCAACAGAAGGTTCTTTATCTTCTACTGGAAACATTATCTGAAAAGTACACATGAATTATTTTTAGCATTCTATAGGTTGCAATTCTGTAAATATAGACAATGCAATTTCCCATAGGAACTCCCTTTGCAGCTAAAACTGTGACACTTTTACTATGAGGTTTCGTGAAAAATAATATCCTAGAACGGAAAGTTTATATGCACTACTATTTTATTCAAAGGTCAAAATATAGGGCTGTGCGGCATATTTTCAACATTTATATGCCCTGAACTTCTAAGAGTTTAAACTTATACTAAAATTCTATACTACCCTTACCTACATTATTGGACCTCCTAAGAATTAAAATTTAGGCGCTACCATGTTTTTCTATACTGGTTACATTCCCAAGTGATGTCTCTATGAAATGAAACACAGAGATCATAAATGGGAACCAGTACGTTAACAAATTAACATATCTATGAATATTATATATCTCCCCAAAAGAGGCGTGGTTTGAAAAACAGCTGTATTTACAAAGTGCAACCTATACAAACATTTATTCAAATAGAAAACACTCTAAAAACACTTTTTCTCGCAACAATACTTATTTATCAGAATTATAGCCTTAAAGAAATCACTGCATATACTCTAAGTTTCCCTTTACAGTACATTTTATACCCCTACCCCTGTTTCAATTTTTTAAAGAATTTGAAAACAAGACTTTAATTATTGCCAGCTTACCCTATGTGCATGTTTTCTGACATAAACTGTCTAAAACCTGTTTGAAAATATTCTGATAACAAATTGAAAGCATTTCAAAATACTATAAATGTAATGTTTACTAGTTAATCATTCCAACATTCAAGATTATACAAAGTATCCAATCCTGCCTGTGTCTCCAGTCCACATCTTACTGTATGCCTATTTGTCAATGAAAGTTCACAATTTCTGCCTCAAATGGTCAGTTTAGAATTCATGTTACAACAGTATCATCCCTAACCATATATCTAACATAAGTTAGTTAATATATGAACTAGAAGTGTTTAAACAAAGACATATTTGCAAAAGGTGTATTTATGAAGATATCAGTCTGGTGCATAAATTCACTAAAAGTTTGATAGAAATGACTGCTTACATCTGATTTTTGCATAACTTCCTAGCACAGTTATTGTTTTCTTTACAAAAGACCTTTAAAATAATAAAATCATAGCATTTAGAAGTTAAATTATCTGTTTTATGACCCAGGGGGAGGCATTTTTCTCTGTTTTTTGCCCCTGGGGCCTCACATTTGCTTAATTTTTTCCCTGTTTCTAGCAATGTGGAATATTTGGTACATATTTAGGATAGAACACACTATTTAAGTTTTATTGAGGTCTTTTTGTAATTCTAGCTTGTACTTTTTATGCCGCAGTCACAAAAAAGTACATTTAGGTGTTACGGCTTACTTTTGGTTTATCGACAGGACAAAAGTACCCCACCAAAAATATTTAAGAAGGATCAATGAGTTGCAATGACTGCGAAGAGTAAATATAAGCACTTCTAAACAATTTAAATTACAAATAGGCATATATTATGAATTTATTTTTAATTCAGGGCTTTAAGTAAACAATGCATACTGTAAACTGTGAATTTATGCTGACTCATCATAGTTTAGACCCAGGATTTTCTCAATCTTCATGAAATATTTATAAAACTTCATATTTGAGTTAAATTCTTCAAAATCTCTGAGATAAACAAGATTTTGTGAAATTCTGTATGTTCTAATTTTTAACCCTATATAGGTTGCAATTCTGTAAATATAGACAATGCAATTTCCCATAGGAACTCCCTTTGCGGCTAAAACTGTGACACTTTTACTATGAAGTTTCGTGAAAAATAATATCCTAGAACGGAAAGTTTATATGCACTACTATTTTATTCAAAGGTCAAAATATAGGGCTGTGCGGCATATTTTCAACATTTATATGCCCTGAACTTCTAAGAGTTTAAACTTATACTAAAATTCTATACTACCCTTACCTCCATTTTTGGACCTCCTAAGAATTAAAATTTAGGCGCTACCATGTTTTTCTATACTGGTTACATTCCCAAGTGATGTCTCTATGAAATGAAACACAGAGATCATAAATGGGAACCAGTACGTTAACAAATTAACATATCTATGAATATTATATATCTCCCCAAAAGAGGCGTGGTTTGAAAAACAGCTGTATTTACAAAGTGCAACCTATAGTAAGATTTATAAGAGTTTTCATGTATGGTTGATTTTGTTATATTAACTTCGTTTTTTTAGGAGGGGGGGAGTTATGTTTTTCTTGACGACAGCAAAAAGTTGCATGCAAGTACACCCCAAAGAATCATCACCATTGATAAAAATAATCCTTGCTCAGTTACATAATGAAACACAAAATATCATAAAACAGATCTGAATTGCACTTACACGATACAAACATCAATATTAAAGTTCAATTAAATAATTTTTTAGTAGTCAGTACTTCGGTACTGACATGATTAATAACAAACCTTTCTAAATTTGCCTGTTTATAAATTTTGAAATTATAAAGAAACTAAGGTTTCAATACCCCCAGCCAAAGTTGGCCTTAGAAGGATTTGGCTATTATTTAAGGTCATTTTTTATTATATAGCTCTTAAACTGTTTCGGTTTTCTACATCCTTGGCTTTCAAATATTCGGCTTTGAACGATCCTGATGAAGGTAAATCCATTAAATTTATAACGTGTTGTCTTCATTTTTTAGTACAAACGAATAGTAATATATAATGAAAATAATAGACGGAGGGATTAAAGAATGAACAGACAGATAAGGTCAACGTCATTGCAGAATACTATCCATTCCTTAGTTTGGGATATAATAATATCATTAAAGAATCATGAATTGTCTGAATGAAAAGGTTGTTTAGAGAAACTTATAATCAAGATCCAATTGAAGTCTAGTTTTCACTGGCTTGACATGAAATGTTAATGTTATTAAGGGGCAGGTGTTTGAGGTTTGCAGACTAAAAAGCATGATCATATAATGAAAGCTCTATTTTTTTTTTAAATATGAAGCTATTTCTTCAATTATTCAGACTTCAGTAAGAATGATAGGGAAAATACAAGATATTTAAGAAATATATGGGGTTCAGTTTGTTTGTATAACATATATTTGTTAGATCCAGATCACTGGAAATGCTTCTTTGACTAAACATGATGTACAAACACACATGCTCATTAGCATAGGTAATTAAACTATATGTATAAAATATGCAATAACATCATAAGAGGGCAATGTCAAAAAACAGTAGTATCTAAAACGAGCAAAATAAAATACATTTCAAAAGTAAAGATAATTATTATTTCACTTCGACTATAAAACTGCAATATGAATTACCCAAACTGTAGAAATGAATTGAAATCATTACAAAGGGCTCTAGCAAACATTCTGTTTTTTTGCAATTGAAAATAGTATTCAATAGACAATTTTAAGGCAATCGTTATGTAACAACTTTTTCACTGGCTAAAATTTACCGTCAAATCCACAATTGACATGTCTTGGGACGCCATTTTGAATTACTGGAACTCACAACTGTTTGATTAATACCATAATTATATAATCGAAAGTAAAAAATAACCTACCTCAAAAAAATTCAATAAGATTTTTATCCAAGTCTAAATTGTACAAGTTATGAAATAAGCTTCGGGTTGAAAGTTTTCATTTTGTATGACCTCATATTTTGCCATGATGTTTATGCATTAAAATCATTCATGAAGTTACATGGAATTTTACACTATCATAAATTTATTCGTTTTTACAAGTTTAAATGTACAATATCTTTTTGTCATGCATTAAAATGTGAATAAAAGTAGTCGCCACCGTCAATTGAAATTCAAATCACCAATTGACGGCGGCAACTCTTTCACTACAATACTATTATTCCTTAATTAACATTTTCATATGAAGTAAACAATGAAGTAAAGGGAAATGAATCAATAAGACAACAGAAATAAAAAAAAGACATCTGGAGATCACATGCAGAAGCACTCGACGCTCCCCCTGAATCAGCTATTGCAAAAGTTAATGGCCTGGATCAACTTGTGCATCTTAACATACAATATTTAGTCTTCAAATAAATATGATATTTCGACCTAAATAAATACATATACATATTAATTGAAAAACACTGATTGATAGTAATAATAAACTGTTGACACAAGAGATTATGTCTCCACTATATCTAATTTTGATAATACAATACAGATGTTGAAATTTAAATGGAAGTACTTTGACATGTAAACTATGCAAAAAATTGAAAATCAATGAACCATAACTGAATGTGCAGGGCCAAATAATATCAGTTCAGTGGAAATGAGCACTGTCATGCTTATACAACTACTGCCACATACCATTGACTTATCATAAGTGTTTCCCTTTAAAATGGCCTTAACACAAACAGGTAAACTATGCAAAGGTTTCAAAGTCAATGAATCATGCCAGAGGGATGGGCCATATATTCTAAATTTAAAAGACACGTGTAAATGCATACCAAATATTATTGACTTACCAATCGTGAATCATCTTAAACTGACATAAGCAAAACCTTTAACATGTAAAACTAACAAATGCTTCACGACAATTGACCATGACCAATTACATTCTATGGAAATGAAATGTTCCATTAAAAATACAACTACATAGCAAATATCATTGCCTTAACATTAATAGATTAATAATAAACTAACATAATTACAAACATTAACAAGCTTCTGGACACAGCAGGTCTAAGAAGAAGTCTTCGCAACTTCGTCGAGTCTAGACGACAAATGATACAAGTGTCCACTTAAAATTCCATTTAGTTATAAGACAGAGATGAGTGAGGAGGTATTTTGTCAGAAATGCATTTATAGATATGAAAATATAAATTGGCTAATAATTAGATAGTAATTTAAATTGTATTGCTCATTGTTCATATAACTACTGAAAACATATTTTCATATCTTTCAAGCTAATATTACCTGTTGCCTAAGTGATCCATCAGTAAAATATGGTTTTTGAGGCAAGAATAAAATATGACGTGGTATCTCTGGTGTATGGTACTTCACTTTACCTGCAATCATAACATCAAATCTCTAATTTAATAATAAACCTGACTATATTTAATTTAATATATTATAATTTTTTGTGCTAACAATTCAAGGAGAAAAAGAACACATGTTTGTCGAAAATATCCAGATGACTCAATCTTTTCAACAGTTGACGAACGATTTTTTATTTATAAACAATGAAAAAAAAATCTGCCTAAAACTGACACGAAAAATTATTGTTTTGGGTATTAGCCTAATTTTTACTTCACGTACAACGTCACAGCAAGGCAAAATATCTCTATGCAGTAAAATATGAACAAATAGACTAAACGGGCCCCCTACAAAAAGAGAAATTTCCTGAAAATCATGAAAAATCTAAAACAAAACATACATACCGACAGAAAATATGAAGATTAACACAAATGGGAAGTTATACAAACATGAATATTTAATAAATGTAAAATATGACAGCAAACATCTCAAATACAGGGAAACTTTCCACCGTTTCCACAAAGCACACGAGATGATGTTGATGGATGGCTGATTTACATACAGTGGCACATTAAATACAAATTAAGGAAAATAATATGTTATTGAGATGTGAATAGGAACCCTGCTTTGTACTGCATCGACACATTGCGCTGGACTTGTAACATGCTAGTTCACATAATAACTGTCTGCAGGAAAACATGGCATGCTAACCGAACACATTACTCTGACTTTTGGCAAACCAGTCTTTGCTTAACTCTTGAATGCAGCATGCTTAGAGGAGAAGCAGCAAATCCAAATTTTCAAGTCTTTGGTTTGACTCGGACATGGATTTAACCCACTACCTCTCCCACTCGAGACATGAACACTACCATATGACCACTGAGGCTGTCAACACAAGACAGGCTGTTTTCTATCTTAATATAATTAAGGTAGTCCAGATTAGTTTTGTTCTATCTATGCAGTATCATCCGTGTTAAAATACATTATCTGAAATTACAAAAGAGCTCTATACTAGATTCCAAAATATAATTTCCAATAACAAACAACACTAATATCGGTCTTGACCTGCGACGCTGTGTATTTGATTGAAATTTCAATCTATCGGTGAACATGTAAAAAGTGTACACCATATCTAAAAATAACTCACGCGCTTCAATTAAAAAAATATCAAGATCTTTCGAAAGGTGGATAACGGATGGAATCGAGCGGTTACTAGTCCTGCTTTCCCCGTTTGTGACTTACATAAAAAAAACCTTTTAAATAACTTCAACAAACCTGTAACTGATGGCTATAAGTTTGCAAGAACTCTTAAAAGAGAACTTTTACCACAACCACTGTTTCCAGTTATAAGTATGTTGGTATTCAATTCTACATTAAACTTCAAATCTGAAAAAAACCCATCAAGGATTCTATTTTACTTTGAATTTAAACATACAAGACATTTGGAGCTTTATTCCATAAAGCCATAGGATTTAAGTGTTTTTTCTGAACTGTTTTAACTGTAAAGTTCTTCCATTTACCTTTAGTTACTAGTATTCCATTCATCAAAATTTACAGAAAAGAGTTGAGTGCTGAAAAATCTTGTTTAACCCCATGGTGTGTTAGAAACCTCATCAGTTTTTGTCTTGCATCTTATTTTTTGTTGTTATTTTAAATACTTGGTGTTGGAAGTCAGATATTTGACACTTTCTGCTTAATTAAAACAACTTTTAAGACTTGGAAAATGCATGGAAGACTTCTTTGCTGTACTAAAAATTAGCTTAAAAATCATGATCATTTATATGGCTTTCCAGTAAGTACATAAACTGGACCATTTGAGTCTTGAACCCTTTTTTATGTTAGGGGAAATATATTCTGCTAATGGCCTACCATTAATATACTTACTCCAGAGAATATCTCTACATTGTTAGGTTATTTAGTATCTACCTTACTATTAAATTGACAGATACTCACTCTTACAAAGATATCTCTACATTGTTGGGATCCATAAGTTATGTTACCTGCTTACTACCTTACAATTATGTTGACAAATACTTACTCCTACATTGAATATCTTTACACTGTGGGGGTCCATAAGTTAGGTTATCTACAGTGACAGCTATCTTCCCTCTTGTCTCATTGACAGCATTCTGATGATCACTGTAATTGTCTTCGCTATAACAAGAAGAAATGTATTGTCCCAGTTTGAGTGAAAAACAGATTATACTAGGGAGTGAAAAAAACATGCAACGACGCCTGATTAACTGATTTTTATAAAAAGGTAAAAAAGATGCAAAGCTCTGGCATACAGTATGGTATATAAGAATGAAGTGCCAGGTACTAAAAAGATATTCATGATGTGTCCTAACTATTCTTTTACAGAGAGGATTTTTTTTTAAATATATCCTTTTTATAGAAAAGTTGTTGCCAAACAACGGGCTTTCTGACTTTAAGTTTGAATCACCCTATGTAGCAAAATTTCAAATAATTGCTAAAAATTATCATTTGACCAGAGCATTAATGGTACATTTTGCTATTGCTATTGCTATTGCTTCTCAAATTAACTATAGTATACATCGTAATTTTGTCAAAAACTCTAATATGGCGCTCTTCTTTCGCTTTGTAAACAAATCTGTCTTGTAATTTCAATAAAACATGGGGTGCACGTGCTTGACATCACAATTAAAATTACGTCAGTTGTATTTGAATGACGCCTTAGATCAAAATGGACATCATCATTCTAAAATTGTGTCTACATGTATCTGTACATTTTAAAATCGAAAATCTGTTGGTTGTCTTGAACATTTTGCTTCAGTTAATAAAAATCTGCCTTATGTGCATATAGTAAGACCTGAAAAAGTTATTTCAGTTCTAGAAGGAAAATTCACCAATTATTCGTTTCTGAATCTGAATTTGTAACAGAATGCATGCCACATTGAAGTCTACAAAATTGCACTGTGTTTTTTTTTAAAAGGAGAATACAGTTTTATTCCGAAATTTATATACGTAATGCAATACTTTCATCTATAAATCAATATTCTTTAGCAAGATTGAGATTTGTATTATAGAGAAAGTTTGTCCTTTAAGGTATCAGTGTCAAGGGCATATCTTTTAAATTGCTTCACAAAATATCTCGACTTTGGATAAATTAGAGCTTGAAATATAGTATACGTCTGTCGAGTATCATCAATTAAATTGGCCTCTAGAAGTCTTCTCTAGTTTTGTTTTAAGGTTTTTGTATTTGTACAAGCCACATCTATTCATATTAATACAACATAAGGCTTTGGATGAGGACGTTTAGTTTCGTCAATGAATACAGGGAGGATGTTCAGTTGTTGCATGCTTATCTTCCAACAACGTTTAAAAAAAGAAAGCTAGACATTTTCCCTGAATAAATTCAAACAAAACTGTCCTTATAAATCACAAAAAACATTTATCTGCGGGTTACATCAATATGTCCTTTTTAGTTGGTGTTTACTTCATTTAAATTGATCTGCTAAGCAACTTCAAAAATATGACACATTTTTGTTAGAGTTCATTAAATCCTCAGACTAAAATTTTATTTCATTACAGGACATGATGATGCATTTAATAAACTGAAAGATCTAAAGAAATCTGGTTTATAATTTGCTTGTAATATCAATATAAAACACAAACATTCATGTTATTTTTTATCTTTTATACACATGTAGTAGTAAACAGTTGGGGCAGATTAAAATATACAACCTTAATTTCCGATGACTTTATTTGAACGCCCTACCTTATAGTGGAAATGAATAATGCGCTGTAAAACCTGGTAAAAACCACCAATTAGCCATTTATTCCATTATTTGATACAAGTAAGTAATGGTGATACACCCATTTTTGATAGTATTTTGGCTTTGAAATTGGATAACACCCCGCAGTTAACTACGTGTTTATATTCTATTTTTTTTCTAATAAATCTGGAAATTGTCTGATATGAATTATAGCATCTGGCTTTCCCTTTAAGAAAGAATATATTTGTTTGAATATTATTAAACGTTTGTTCTGATAACAATTATACTGAAGTTTTTGCATGAAATTGAAAACTCATTTGACCAACATGGATGTGTTTTTATAATTTACATGTCATATGTTCATATGTTTCATAAGGTTACTTTTGCATAAAATACCTGTATGAAAAATGTCTGTAAATTTAAAACAGGTCAAAAAATAATGTGCTGGGAAGGAAATGTTGAGGTTAGTATTGTACCTGTTGGTGACCTTCTGCTGTTGTCTGTTCTATGGTCGGGTTGTTGTCTCTTTGACACATTCCCCATTTCCATTCTCAATTTTATTATTAGGTACTGTACCAAAAAATTATGCCATCAAATAGGAAATATCCTAAAATATAGTATAGATATAATTAATACATTTTTCATATAATATAAAAAAAAAAGATAACAACTACAGGCTTCATATATATGTCCTAATATATAACACTGACATAATAAATAGCATCACATAGCATAACAAGCAAAACGTGTTATGATGTTATTTATAATGAAGCTATGAAATATTGTACTCAGCGAGCTTAAAGCATAATTCAGTATGTAGGATAAGTAGATTTAAGTTAATTTGATTTACTTGTTAAATTTTATAAATCTGAACTGTTCATTTCAGGATTATTTCATTGTTTTCTTTCTTTTATATAAAAAGAAATGCTAGAATTATTTAAATATGTAAAGCGTTAAAACTTATTTTATAACTATAGATTCGTTCTCTATGAAATGATGAGTTGCTTCTTTTTCTTTTTGAATTTTTCCAAGTTCTTCCATAACTTCACCTATTCTAAAATCAAATTAATAATTATGCTGAAACTATACATCTCTATTAGGGTAAATAATCAAATATTTTTTAAATTAATTGAGTGTTAAAACCACCAGAATCACGTAATTTCAAAAATATCTTTGATCAGTCATAAATTTATAGAAATCTTGTTGGATATCATGTTGGAAATTATACAAAACTGCTTTTAACAGAATTTTCATTTTGAATGATACACAAAGAAAAGAAGAAGTTTTACATATCGTCAATAACAGCAATACAATCTTGACAACTAGAACTTGAATGTATAACTATAAGTAAATATTTTATAGATAAAAAAAACAAATTTAGTTTTTAATGATTAATCTTATGATGTCATATCTATTGCTGATATAATTAGTAGCTTACTTTAATCTAGTTCGTTGATTTGATTTAACTCAGTTTTTGACTTTTTAAGACTGACTGCATATTCTGACATAACTTTTCAATTGAACCAGATGATTTAGTAACAGGACTGTTGAACTGGTAAATGACAGGATAAAAGTCTGCAGTACTGAAGAATATTCCAGGTGACCAATATAATATGATATTTCTCAATAATAAATTACTTTTGATTGAAGAATGGATATTCTGTATTTACCTGTGTGCATTTCCAGCCATTCTAGCTACTTTCACAGCTAAAAGTATCAGATTGGTAAAACATGTGCTTAAGTACACGATTACAAAGGATGTCTGAAAGTAAACATTAATAAGATAATAGAAAAATGATATGTAAATACTATTCAGGTGGAGTTTTTGCCATATTACATCACCTATGAAAGAGAGGCGAAAGATACCAAAGGGATGTTCAAATTAATAAGTCGCAAATAAACTGACAATGCCAAGTAAAAAACAAAAAAACGAAGAAACGACAAACAGCAATACACAAAACACAACATAGAAAACTATAGACTGAACAAAACGAACCCCACCTATGGCACTTAAAACATGGGGTGATCTCAGGCGAGAAGGTAAAAATAGTAGCCTAATTGTACCATATGATTTAACACTGTAAGTAGATACTCGATGTATCAAACAAGCAGAAAAAAATTGATAAATCTAAAATTGGTATGTCCACAATGCTATTGAATGTCCCTACACACACATACACATATATATTGTTTATATTATAACATATATATATATAAACAATTTTTTTTTTTTGTTATATTTGAGAGCAATAATAAAAGCTACATCCAACACCAAACCATATATAATTATAAATCACGCAAGAAGTAATTTTGTTTTGTTCAATGATAAGGAGTTTCCAAGAAAACCACTTTATTTTTTTGCCTAAGTGGATCACATTGTAGGCCATTTCAGGTATGCACTTGCATTCTTTTCACAGAAAATTGATAATAAATTTATTTGAAATAACATATGTAAAAAAAAACAACATGTAGTCTTCACGCTTGGCCACAGCTCCACAAGCTCAGGCATGTAAAATTTTATGGGCCCTGTTAAAATTTCTACTACAGGCCAATAGTATCTATTTAAAAATTTTCTGCAAAAAAGAGCACCAGGCCTGCACTGAAAAAGTTTATTGTAAATACTTCAACATAAAGTTGTAACAGGATTTAACAAGTTTGTTAACTATTTAAATATTTAAAGAAAACAAACCAACTGAAATCTAAGATAAGAAAGAAGAACCTTCTACTCCCCCTTCTGATCTTAGCTGACAAATCAACTGATGACATGCTATCATATAATCCACCAAATATTGGAATGGCAAAGAGGAGGTAACTCAGTATTCTTCCAAAGTAATCAGACAAGTTAATAAAGACTGAAAACAAGACAATTTGGCAGATGAATATGCAATAAAATGTATAAATCAAACACTATGGTAGTAAACATAAAAAATGCTATCTAGTTATATAAAATGTTTTACAGATTTTGCCAAAAGCTGTATCTTTTGTTTAACAAGGGAACCATTCAAAACATTTAACTGTCAATCGTGGCATTATCATATCACATGAGATACAATTGTGGAATCAGTTTCTCTAATGACCATAAGTTGATATGTATGTAAATTTAAATGTTCTTTTTAATGATATGCCAAAAAAAACTGCGTTCTAATAGTGAGACGTCATCATGCACGGTTCCTTTTGATATCGTAATACCAAAATCGTATGCATCATAATCTAATTCTAACAAATGAAGAAATAAGAACAAGCACACCATACTTAGAATATGAAAACAAATAACAACATGTAGGAGTGAGTTACAATTGGATAATAATTAAAGGTTATTGGATCAAATAAATAAACTAACAATTAAGAGGATATTCCCTGAGAACAAGTTTCTGTGTAATCTTGAGTAAACTGAGTAGTTGATTATTAGTTTTATTCTTTTCTATATCTCCTGATTTATAAAATGCTGCCGATTCTGAATACATCCTGATTTGCATATGTTTAAATCTGAAATGAAGTATGTGCAGTAAATTAGGATACAATCATTTGAGAATGTAGGAACATGCCAATCACTTTCATAAATAATTCAAAGAAGCTGAAATCAAATGAAAAGATGAACCACGCAAATCAAATAAAATTTCTAAGTAAAAGAACTTTTAAAACATGCACCGTGGTCTATAAACAATATTTGTAAAACATATGTACAACTCTCTACTTTCTATTTATCAAATAGAGAATTAAGAGAATGAAAAATAATGAATGAATTGGTTTGTGTATTGTGTGCTTAATTTCCAGTGGCAGTTATTTCATGAATATTCAGGATAAGAAATATCAAAATATTTGCTGTAATTTCTTTTATTTGAAAAAAACAGGACCAGAAATAACATCCACGAGGAAGTTCTTAATAAGACAATATCATTATAGAATTTGTTATAGAATATTGTTATAATTCTCTGTTTACAAAGGAATGAAGTAACTTATCATGTTGTTGCTGGTCCTTTATTTTAACTTAAAGTAAAAAAACTGTTCAAAATTGTACAAAACCACTGAAATCACAACAGATATTTCAATTTCAGTAGTTTAGACCATTTTCTTTATTTGAATTTGGCTTTATCTACAAAACATAATGTAACTTTGCATTTCAGAAGAAATATCAAGAAGAAAATTATGTGCAAAAGATCCTTTATTTTTTTCATATGACTAATGAATGAAAAGTACATTTATATACATTTATCAAAAGTCATAGGATTTAGTAAAGATATTTTCAGAAAAACTAATAGTTCTGCAACTAATCAAAATTTTGGGTCATCTCTTTGGTTCAATGATCAATACCCTTTGCCTATATGAATGTTGAACATGCCTAAATGAATGATGAACATGTTTTTTTTCAATTCTGAGATAACTCATACAAAATAAAAGATAAAAAAATAAAACACAACATTTTACACATTTAACTTAATAGTTCTGACTCACGGAAACATGACTTGTTTAACTGATAAGTTCCTACTTTACCTAAAGTTTCCTTCCATTTGTTTATTCTTGAAGACAAGGTTTACAACTGGAGACATGAGTATTTTATTAATTATAGTGGATACGATGAAGAAAGAAATTACTCCTCCTGGTCCTAAATAAGTTGTACTGAAAATGAAAATAAAACAAACGAGAAAACTAAATAGTAATGATAACATGAAATGGGATATACAAACTAAAATGTTGGAATATTAGGCTATTGACTTTCTCTATTAAATTGTTTGACATGTTATTACCTTGGGGACATTTATAGCTCACTATACGGTTTGGGTTTAAGTGAAACTGTAATTGTTTACATGCCTATTCTTTGATATTTGAATAACAGTTGTTATATTATCAATCATACCACATCACTTGTAAAATATGTTTATGTTCTATGTTCCTTCATCATTTGAGCTAATTTAAATTAATCAATTTGAAGGTAAATGATTTATTGTATATTATAAAATGGACTAATTCAGAAATGTGTTGCTCTATAGGAACGTTGCTATTTTTATGCTCTGATTGGTCCAAATACGAAAAAAGTAAAATTGCAAAAAATACCGATCTCCAAGGAAAATTCAAAACGGAAAGTCCTTTATCAAATGGCAAAATCAAAAGTTCAAACACCTCAAACAAATGGAAAACAATTGTCATATTCCTGGATTGGTATAGGCATTTCCTCATGTAAAAAATGGTGGATTAAACCTGGTTTTATAGCTAGCTAAACCTCTCAGTTGTATGACAGTCGCTTAAAATTCCATTATATTGACAAAAAAGTGTGAGCAAAACAAACAGACATAATAAGTTAAATTGTAAAAAAAAATGGATACAGCAGTCAACATTGTGTTATAATCTTAATCGCTTTGAAAACAAATAACTATTTCAACAAAGAAAAACAAAATGGCATATAGACACTTTATATACAAAGTACATACGCAAATTTTAAAGACAACAATACAAAAAAAAACCAACCATAGCACAATAACACAATGGCGGGATGTATAAATACCGAGTCACTCCAAAGTAGATTACCAAAAATGGACTAAACAGTAAAAATAAACAAAGACAAGTAAAACACTATTTATACAAAGTACATACGCAAATTTTAAAGACAACAATACAAAAAAAACCATAGCACAATAACACAATGGCGGGATGTATAAATACCGAGTCACTCCAAAGTAGATTACCAAAAAAGACTAAACAGTAAAAATAAACAAAAAAAAATATAACACTATAACACGTACTCAAGATGATAAACAACGTCAGTACCTAGAATCTATACGTCAAGACCGTCATGTATTATTTGTGAAGTTGACACGGAATATTTATCAAAAAGGTCTTGTTATCTTCCAATGAAATTTTTTTTAGAAAAAAGACGAGACGTTCTTTGACATAACGTTGATTCATCAACTTTCTGCTCAGACACTGATGACGTTTTATAAAGTCTGAGTAGCAGCTGCAAGCACTTGCATACCGAATGAGTGGGAAATGTATATCCTATATGCAAGTTAAGTTTGTATATTGCTGCTAAGGGAGGGGAAATTTATAATTTCAAAACTAAAATCGTCTTGTTTGTCATAGATTCTGGAACTAAGATGACCACTTATGTAAAATTCGAGGTATAAGTCTAAAGATGAGGCGGGGGAAGCCGTATCTGTTGTTTCTTTAATTTCTAGTTCTGAATGATATATTAACGGAACCCAATCAGAAAAGTTTGCATTGTTAAAGGAAACAACATCATCAATATATCTGAATTTGAAATTAAATGATCTGGCTTCTTTGATCTCCTTGTTTTTGACAAGTGTCTGAAGGAACTCCTACTCATATGAAAATGAGAAGTGGTCGCCAAGGAGAGGCGCACAGTTGCTCTATTGGAACGTTGCTATTTTTTATGCTCTGATTGTCCAAATACGAATTTAGAGGACATAGAGACTGTTCAATGTAATATACAAGGATAATATTTCAACTATTAAATTAGTTCTTTAAGTTGTTTATGCAATTTCAATCGGCAAGTTTGGTTTTTGAAATGAATACCTAAATGCAAAACAATTTTCAACACCACTCTACTCTTACATACATGATATATAATTTATATACCTTAATTGCAATAAATTGAATACCCTGAAAGCTGCTTCTTTTTTTAATCAATTATTAAGAATGCACCAAGGTCTAATGTTTACATGTTGATATGGTCATAATCATAAATTAACGAAACTTAGAATTCTTCGAAATACTAAGAATTTTCTATCCCAGGAAAACACTACCTATGATTTATTTGGCAAAACCGTACGGAATTTTGGGTCTTCTATGCTCTAGAACTTGGTACTTTATTTGGGGTTTGAACTTTTTTGATTGGAGCGTCACACATGAGTCTTTTGTAGACGAAACGTGCGTCTGGCGTATAAAATTTTAACCCTGGTATCTATGATGTGTTTATTTACAACCATTGGGTCGATGCCTCTGATGGTGGGGGTTTCCTTTCCGAGGGTATCACCAGCCCAGTATTCAGCACTTATGTGTTAACAGGAAATATATTTGATATGGTCATAATTATACACTTTCTGTTTACACCACTTTGAATTTTTCTGATGGTGGGGATTTCCTTTCCGAGGGTATCACAAGCCCAGTATTCAGCACTTATGTGTTAACAGGAAATATATTTGATATGGTCCTAATTATACACTTTCTGTTTACAACACTTTGAAGGACTTTCAACCCCAGGAAAAGACTACCTTAAATTTATTTGGCAAAACATCTCGGAATTTTTGGACTTTTATGCACTTCAACTTTGTACTTCATTTGGCCTTTTTAAACTTCTTTGATTCTAGCGTCACTGATAAGTCTTTTGACAAAATTTTAATCCGGATACTATGATTTCTCATATGATTTGCATATCGACAAATACTTGAATTGGATTGGTCCATTAGATCTTTTTCCCTTGGTTTACACTTCGATAAACCATGTTGCCGAAACTACTTTTACTTTGATCTATTCATGCGCTATAAACATGCATGTGATCCAGGGCCCGGGTACTAGGCAAAAGTTGAGATCGAAAAACAAATTACATAGTTTGTTTATGCATAGAAAAAAGAAATAATGCATTCAAGCTTGATAAATGTCTGAAATTTGAATAAAATAAAATTCCGCGAAATATCATGAATGATCTTATTGCGTTAACGTAATATCAAATATGACGTCATACGAATGAAAACTCTCAATCTGAAGATTATTCCGTAACTTGTACGCTACAAATTCGGATAATATCTCAATAAAAGAACGTATTTGAGGTATTTGACATTTTATTTTAGATCCTGTACCATAAATCGCATATTTGTGGATTTCAGAAAGTCAATATGGCGGCTAACTTCTTAGTTACGACATGTTTATTGTGCATTTCTATACTACTAAAGGAAGAAACCGATTTCATTGAGCCGCAACTCCTCTGAAACCATACAAAGTCGGAAATATTTGTGATATGACGTATAAATGTAGTGTTTTGTACTTCCTAAATTTTTCTTTGAAACAATCTTTTTTCCTCAGAAAACGCCAATTTTTGAGAAAATATCCAAATTCGGAGACCGTTATCGATCCGTGTCTTTTACGCTTTCGTGCATGCTCAGTCGACGTACTCGATTTTTTTTATCGATCATGCATGCCGATGAGAGCGGACGTGTAAACTTTTGCAAAGAGAATCCTTCAACATCATTGAAATTGTTTTGTCAAATTGGTTTCATGGATAAAATATTATTATCCTTACATCGTATATTTTGTATTTTGGATTATATTTTTTTTTGAGGAAAATTTCTGAAGATATTTTCAGGTTTGTTTGAGACATGTGGTCAGATGAGATCCATTAGTAGTTTCCATGTGGGAAACTATCAGACCAATCTATTTTAGCTGTTTCCCTAATGGGTCGGCAGTTTCTTTCCGAGATCCTTTATCGTAGGATTTTCGGCTTTCCTCTACCAGGAAAACAGCTGGGCATTTAGCGGTATAGGTTTGGAATCCAAGTATGTCCTTACCGGTTTCCCGTTCGTTGCCTTGGCATTTGTGCGGCATCCGGGGTGACCTTATCCTTTATTTTGTATATAATTGTTTTTATATTTTGCATTTTTTATATTTTTGAGAATGAGCGAATCAGGTGAGTGGGTGTCTTCGTATGTTTTATTGCATTGTACTTATTGTTTTTGGGGAAGGTTAACTTTCTGGTAGTATGACTCGTCACGGCCTGGCTGGGAAACTGGGTAGGCAAATGCTCCCATTAAATCTGTACCGATACAGTGTGTTAAATGTCCTCCTTCACACCATAACCCATGGTGGTGCTCCTACTAAAGGAGGAAGATACAGAACATACATACTGCCCGCGAAATCCAAGTGAAAATAAGAAGGAAGGATAGAAAATAGGACAGTTAGGCCTATAAGGATCCTGTATTGTATTGTAAGTGCATCATTTTGCTGAATTAAACATCCACCCTTTTTACTCAGGTGCAGAACTTTCCAAAAATGAAATGGGCGTTGAACGTGTCGAAGTGATCCTCCCCCTTTTATGTGTAAACACAGGCACCCTTGACACTCTTTGTTTCAACACTTGCCCAATTGCACCGCGATTTCGCGGGCATCTCAAGTGATGGTAAATTGAAGCTAATGAATAAAAAAAAAAGTTAATTAATAATTGCGAATGTTCTGCTAAGAATTATAAGGATTAAACACATTTTTTCTAGAGGTTATTGATGTGTAAACTGGGGCGATTAACTCACAAACTGAACAAGAGTCCGAAGGACTTTCATGTAAAGTTTGTGAGTAAGCGACCCAGTTTACTGGGTAATAGTACGTATCATTAGTCTCTTCGGAAGGTAATTAATTTTGTGTTCGTAAAACAGCCAGTATCGTTTCCCTCTGATGAATAATATTCCAATCAGATGGCAAAATGATATACATATTCTTTATGTGATTGATATAGAGAAATTAAATAATGAGCATTATTACCTTTGAACACTTTTATAAAGATAGTATCCTATAGTAAATGGTGCTATGATCATTGGAGCAAATACGGTACTTAGGATATTACAAACTCTCTCTACATCTTGTGTGATTCTTTGATTTCTATAAAAATTAAAAATACATTGATTTATCACCTTGACAATGACTGCAACAAATTCTTTCTTAAACCAAAGTCTGTTTATCACACTAATGTTTCCATAAACAAATATTTTCTAAAAAGAAGCACTACTATTCATTTACCCAAGTTTAACGTTACTTTTGGATGTAAATATGAAATAACAAATGGTTCATTTACATTTTAGTCAGTTGAAATATCTCCTGGTCAGTACCTGAACCATTTCTTTAGTATTTTAGTGCAGTCACAATCAAATCAATAAATTCAGATCGTTTCAACAAATATCTTAAAAATTTATACATAGATATAAGAAGATGTGGTATGAGTGCCAATGAGACAACTCTCCATCCGAGGCACAGTTTGTAAAAGTAATCCATTATAGGTCAAAGTAAGGCCTTCAACACGGAGCCTTGGCTCACACCGAACAGCAAGCTATAAAGGGCCCCAAAAACGCCTAGTGTAAAACCCTTCAAACAGGAAAACCAACGGTCTAATCTATATAAAAAACGAGAAACGAGAAACACTTATGAACCACATCAACAAACGACAACCACTGAACAACAGGTTCCTGACTTAGGACAGGTGCAAACAAATGCAGCGGGTTTAAACGTTTAAACAGGCGCCAACCTTCACCCTAACATGAAACAGTGGTATAATATTACAACATAAAAAGACACACAATAAAATATGTTAAAAATTTCAATTCATATTGACGGATTGTCTACCTCTCCAAATCAGTTGATGTTGTAATACACTGCATCTTTAAAATACAACCGATGCAGAGAATATGTGATATTTGCTCTTTATATAATCTGTAATAATGATGTTATATATAAAGCAGTACTTTTTATCTGAAATAAAGTAAAACCAAAGTTATTTTTGATAAAACATAATATGAAATTTAAGACTGTATCAAATGACAGATGATCTCAAATGAAAAAAAAGAAAAGAAAATATATACTAACTTGATGATTTAAAAAAGTGATAATAACATGAATAATGTTACAACAAATTCATTAATAATTGCTCTGACAAAACTTTCTAACTGCCTTTGAAATAAAATTTGAAAAAGTATTAAAATTCACCAAAAATGTATACATTCAAAATGTTACACACAATGTTGCGACAGTCATACCTTTTTCATATTTCAAAGTAATGGAAAACCAAAAAGTAAAGACTGAATGATCTGAAAAACGCTCATACACCACTATCAAGCTGCACACTTCACTTTAAAGGTGTGCACATCACTATAAAGATGCACATCTCACTATAAAGCTGCATACATCACTATCAAGCTGCACTCTTCACTATAAAGGTGTATTCATCACTATCAAGCTGCACACTTCACTATATACACCACTATCAAGCTGCACACCCCACTATAAAGCTGCATACATCACTATCAAGCTGCACCCATCTATCAAGCAGCACACATCACTATCAAGCTGTACACATCACTATCAAGCTGTACACATCACTATCAAGATGTCACATTACTATCAAGCTCACATATCACTATCAAGCTGCACACATCACTATCAATCTGTACACATCACTATCAAGCGCTGGACACATCACTATCAAAATCACACGTCACTATAAAGCTGCACACATTACCAACAAGTTGCAGACCAGATATGCATTCATTCTGCCCAGTAGTACTTGATTAATGTGCGATGAAAATATTAATTTCATTGAACATATTGAAGAGGTCAAAATATCTGCAAACAAAAAGTATGTGTCTGACAGATGAAAAAAGCTCACAAATAACAATTCATTACTGTCAATCTGCTGACCAAATATAAAGTCATTATGTACAATAATATCAGCGAAGAGTGTGATGGAAGTATTTGTTGGACAAACGGTTGGATGAACATACAGAAATTGTGATTGCAATAAAGCCACCTATCGGAGTCCAAGTTAGTGGTATGATTACAAGTATTTAGAAGTTTTACCTATGTAAGTTAATGAACATCTATATCCCATGTATTCGATCTGTCTCCAATGACACTGCTTCTAAAAATGTCCAATAAATGATATAATTTCAATTTGTATGCTTGTTCTTATTTGTTTTGGGAGCTTCATGGAAGCCAAAAACGTATATGCATGTATAAACCCATTGGATGATGTCACAAGTATTAATCCCTACACAGGCAAAATAGTTATTCAAGTGTTGATAAAAAATCTATGTGGACATAATTCATTATTCGGACTACCAAGATTAATTAATGTTTGCTCTAATAGTTTCTTATCAATGCTGCATTCTTAGTGTACATAATGTAGAAGCCGCAAAAACCAATTTTCACGTCTTAGGGGCATACTGTACATCTACAGGGAGGTTTTGACGTTGCTAAAGTAACATTTTATTTTTCGAGACGTCAGACTGTGACATATCCGGAAAAGATGCATTTTACGACTGATTTTAAGCATTAGCTAGAAGACTAGTACATTCACGCCTCTTTTTAAAAATGACATTTGTCTTTATTATGTATGAAGACTATGTATACAAATTTATATGAACAATTTTTTTTTTAAATTAGATAAATATACCGCAAAAAATGCCGGTTAGTTTTCTAAAATCATGACAATTTAATGAAAATGAATTATACCTGAATGATTGTTACAGAAATTTAGAGCATTCTTATGTAAAGAAAATAATCCCATTTTTTTTTAACAAAAATCCGCTTGTGTTTCTCTTTTCAAACAAAAAAGTTATGTCTGTCCAAAGGATAGAAGTTTCCAAGAAACCGAATGCCTTAAATTTTGATCCCATTTTAAAAGTAATATATGGAGGTATATTTTTTGTTAGATATATGAACTGACTTGGTGAAAAATAGCTTGTATTCAAATTTTCGTCAAACATTTACCGTGGGATAAAATCTGTATCGTTTGCCCTTAAGTGTGTCCAGGCTCAGTAAAGAACTTAACCTTATGCACTCTAAAGTAGCTTGTGAGAGCTAATTGCCACCACATGACCACTTGAGCTGAAGATATTTTATAAAGAGAGCACACATGTATAACCTGTTCATAACGAATCCTATAAGTATATTTGAAAATATTGCAAAGACTAAAGGTGCAATGTTTAAAAAAAAATATATTACAGTTAATATATATATAGTTTGGAGCCTGTTAAAACGTTTAAACCCGCTGCATTTGTTTGTACCTGTCCTAAGTCAGGAACCTGTTGTTCAGTGGTTGTCGTTTGTTGATGTGGTTTATAAGTGTTTCTCGTTTCTCGTTTTTTATATAGATTAGAGCGTTGGTTTTCCTTTTTGAATTGTTTTACACTAGTCATTTTGGGGTCCTTTATAGCTTGCTATTCGGTGTGAGCCAAGGATCCGTGTTGAAGGCCGTACTTTGACCTATAATTGTTTGCTTTTTACAAATTGTGACTTGGATGGAGAGTTGTCTTATTGGCACTCATACCACATCTTCTTATTTCTATTTATTAAATATTGTGAGATACCACTTACAAATGATATAGACAGAATGATTATTGCTGCCATAAATGTCACTTCTTTAAAACCATTACTATCTTTTGTTCCAAATACTTTGTAATACTTGGATGGAATATATCCTATATTGAATATCACAACTTCTTCTAAAAAATAGTCATAATAATCAGTGCATAGATTTAATTTCAACTTCACAATTTACAGAACAGATACTTTCTTTTGAGAATATCGCACTGCCAAATTACTTCAAAGAATTGAAATAATTGCTTGAAATACTGCCAGTCATCACACTTATTATAGATATTTATCTGTTCCCTGTTACAATGAAAGAAAGTGGAAAATGATACACACAGATTATAGACATGTTATGACAAGATAAGCTGTACTTGATATGGATATCCAGATCAATTTACTGTAACGAAATAAGCAGACATTTTATTGATACCAGCCAAACTTTCCACTAACAGAACTCGAAACATTTGTATAAAGGACCAGGCATGATGAAGTATGTTTATTTCAGGTAATTTCACATTGGACATGTGTTTTTCAAAAATAAATATATGCTTTAACTAACATCAAAAATGATGATTTAAAATGAGAATATGACAAAAAACACATTAGACAATATCAGAAGAGTTGCAATAAAAATCTGAAATAAGTTTACAAAAAACAGAAGAAATTATCTGGAGATTTGTGAGGAAAACATAAGTCATGACTTTGGCCTATTGTTACCATTAGCTAAATATAAATAACAGTAGCTCCTTTACAATAAAAATCAGACTATTTATTAACATTAACTTTAATATTAAAAAGATTTATAATCTGCTAAATTTGTCATTTAATCTGTAGTCGATACATGCCATTAACATAAAAAATAATAATTAACCAAAACATATACCTATGTATTTAACATAAGAATAGGTTAGAAATCTTTCTTGGACAATGTTTCCTCAAATCAATCTTTGATAGAATCTCCTAAAACAAAGAGATGTAGAATTAAATGGCCTTTCTTGTGCAGAATGCATGAAAACAATTTTCTGTACACAATAAATCTTATTATGAAAAGTTGATGAAAAATTGTAAATTGTCAGCTGAAAGCTCCTGTCATCTTACCTAGGAGTCCAAGACAAAGTAGAGAAATACAAAGTTAAACATTTCCACTGTACAATTTGGGGAACATAACTGTTGCTAACTTCAAAAATCTTTTGAAGAACACGAAGTCAAATTCTAACATACAATATACAAACAAGGTGTCTAAGAGGAATTTATTCACAACTTATTATAACTCAGGTTTGTAGATGTTGATGTTTTACTACTTTAATGTTACGAAATTGTCTCATAGTAAAACAGTTCACTTTTTGAGGTTGAACTAATTGTATACAATTCAAGCTGAAGAATGTTGTCTGTTTATTTCGTTTGTGGTTTGAATTCTGTATTTTCGGTACATTTCACATATGTCTTATTTAATTGTCAGTATAGTCGAGTTACTCGTGGTTCGTCTTCAGGGTTTTTGTTTTATGTTGTTTGTTTTTATGTGTGTTTACTGTTTGGTCTTACATGATCTTGCCTCATATTACAATTATTTTATTTTTATTTTCTATGTGTATGTAAAAGTTAAGATAAAAAATCAGCTACTTCATTTTTATTAATTATAGTTTAAAGCAACTATATTCACAGAATTTTTCTTCTATGGTTAGAAAATACAAATAATAACACCATTACAAACCAATTCCATTTTAATATTCTTGTCATGATTAGAAAATACATAAAATAACACCATTACAAACTCAATCCCAATTTAATATTCTTGTACGTGTCGATAGATAACACAAATCTATTTTATCTAAAGGAATTTACCGGTGATAATATAAACGTCACAAAAAAAACGTCACTTTTTTGTGACGTTGATCCATTCATGTGACGCGCAGTTTATATTTCGTTTGTGGTGTCCTGGTGTGCTGTCGTAAATTCATGGGAGGTGACCGTTGTTATTTCGCGGTTTACATGTTGTAATGTACTATTTTATTATTTATTTATGTTTTTCTCTGTGCTGAGTATTCTTGCGTTTGTTTGCACTGTATTCCTGTCACGTAGTGTTGTCATTTTAGCGGTATGTTTAACATTGCCATATAAGCGGGAGGTTTGGCTAGCCATAAAGCCAGGTTCAACCCACCATTTTTCTTAAAATGTCTTGTACCAAGTCAGGAATATGGCAGTGGTTATCAGACAGTCCGTTTCTATGTATGTTGGCGTTTGCTTTTGTTGCAGTTCAGTGTTTCTGTTGTTCCATTGTTTTCCTCTTGTAGTTGATGTGTTTCCCTCGGTTTTAGTTTGTTACCCGGATTTGTTTTTGCTTAATCCAATTATGGCTATTAAAAAATATCTGGACAATCATTGAGCATATTGAAATAAGGACTAACACATGTATGTTAGCAGAAAATGCATTAATAAATCATAAAAATAATGTCAAAGTATTGTAACTCATGTGTAGATCCTATCAACCAATTAAATTTAGTTGACCAATGGTTAGCAACTGAGAGACTGGCCTCTACACGAAAACCTAACCTTCATTTTTGAAACATGAACACAATGTTATGATCAGGTGATCCTTGCTCTTCAACTTCGTACTTTAAACGCGCGATGGTATCTATGATGAGTTTATTCATATGGGCAACAAAGTGATTATATAAACTAAATATAATTAAGTATATTATGGTAAGCCATAAAGCTACAAGATTATAACATGTTAAAACAAGAGTGCACACGCTGAAATGTCTCGCCTTTTTAACTAACCTTTGATTTTATGTTGATAGTCCTAAATATAAAGCTTTACTACAAGTAACACATAAACTTAACACGATCCAAGAAAACGAGGTCAAGGTCAGATAAACCAAACAAGAAATACATGTACACCTTACAATCATTCAATAAACCAAACATAGTTGACCTATTGCTTATAGTTTCTAAGAAACAGTCTTAACCAAGAAAACTTAACATTGACCAATGAACCATGAAAATGAGGTCAAGGTCAGATGAACCATGCCAGACAGACATGTACATCTTACATCAATGTATGCATTAAATATAGTTGACCTATTGCTTATAGTTTCTAAGAAACAAACTTAACCATGAAAACTTAACATTGACCAATGAACCATGAAAATGAGGTCAAGGTCAGATGATACCTGCCAGACAGACATATACCCCTTACAGTTCTTCCATACAACAAATATAGTTGATCTATTGCTTATAGTTGAAGAAAAACAGACCAGAATACAAAAACTTAACACTGAGAAAAGAACCGTGAAAATGAGGTCAAGGTCAAATAAAACCTGCGCGACTGACATGTACATCATAAAATATTTCCATACACCAAATATAGTTGACCTATTGCATATAATATTAGAAAAAAATACCAAAACTCAAAAACTTAACTTTGACCACTGAACCATGAAAATGAGGACATATGTACACCTTACAATCATTCCATATACCAACTATAGTAGCCCTATTGCTTATAGTATCTGATATATGGACTTGACCACGAAAACTTAACCTTGTTCACTTATCCATGAAATGAGGTCGAGGTCAAATGAAAATTGTCAGACGGGCATGAGGACCTTGCAAGGTACGCACATACTAAATATAGTTATCCTATTACTCATAATAAGAAAGAAATTAACATTACAAAAAATGTTGACTTTTTTTTTCAAGTTGTCACTGAACCATGAAACGAGGTCAAGGACAATGGACATATGACGGACGGAAACTTCGTAACATAAGGCATCTATATACAAAGTATGAAGCATCCAGGTCTTCTAGCTTCTAGAATATAAAGCTTTGAAGTTAGCTAACGCCGCCGCCGCCGCCGCCGCCGGATCACTATCCCTATGTCGAGCTTTCTGCGACAAAAGTCGCAGGCTCGACAAAAAACCGAATCATCCCTTAATTAATATAGCCCTTGACGTTGGTTTCTGGCAAATACCAATTGAAATCATAGGATAACATTAGGGTCAATAGAAAAACTAACATGTTAAAATTATTTTCCAGGTTTATCCCTTGATTTCTGAGCCTTATATTTGAATCCTTAAATAAGATTAGGGTCGACAGGAAATATAACATGTTAAAATCATTATTTTCCAGGTTCTACACAAAACGTCAATGGGGGCTATAGAAATTGTAGAGAACACAGCTTGAGAATATTTGAGTATAGTTTTGGCTTAATTAAATTCTTTATTTAATTATGTTTAGAGGCAAAAATTTAGTTCTCTTTTAAAAAATCGTTATTTGGATACATCAGTTCTTGTCATCTGATCAGAAGACTGTACTAATATAATAAGTTTTCGAAGCTTTTATTTGGTTTTGTTCTTGTGTCTAAATGTGCTCATTTCTGGTGATATATATGTTATATCAAATGTTTGACTCGTTCACAAGGTCATGCCTGTTTGTTCTACAACAAAATACCGGAAAGGGATAAATAACTTTGAATTATCTACCCTTGGGTAAAGTAGTAAGCTATGTTGTGCATGATTTCCTGAACTACTAAGGGTGCATTTGTTACCTCTAAACTGGTTCTGGGTTTTGATAGGTTTATAAATCTACTTTTTATTTTAAACTGATAGAACATAGTTTTACATTTATTTTTGAAAACCAAACCGGTTTCTTAAACTTATCAAGATCAATTCCCTCGTTTACTTTGAACAGTTTTAATAACAAACCATTATGATTCCAAACTTATAGACCAAAACCGGTTCTAAACAAACCCATAAAAAAAACGAAACCGTAAACTAAAACTATTTTGACTGCAACAAAAACGCCCAAAGTAATGCAAGTGAATATCTGTCATACATAAAATTAGTAAGATGTGTTTATTAAGCAAAGACATGCTTATAGGTCATTAGCTGTGAAATTCATGTTCACCGATTTGACCTAAATTCTCAAATTTGATTTATGACATACTAAACGTATATACAAATTACAAAAAGTCCAAAAGAAACAATGAACTATGCATGGACACGTTATTATGTGTATTTTACTGAAGAGACATTAATTGTCGAAATACGCATCTGGTGCATAAAAATTGGTACCGTTTATGTTTTTAGACCGGACGCCATCTTCTTATACATCGAGATGACCTCTGAAGACTGTCGATGGTCATATAATCCGATTAAAGAGTACACATGATTTTTTTTATATGTAATAATATTTGATGCATATTCGTTAATTTACTTATTACTATTATTTTTATTTATTATTTTCATTAAAAAAAAACCAACTTTCTGGCGAATGATTTAATCAACCTTCAAATGTACTGACATTGGAAATTGTTCAATTCGTTGGAAAAGGTATATCATGTTAGTTTCCTATAATATCTCTGTTTATTGTAACACATATACAACTATTTTACCTGCAAAATCTATTAGTTTTATTTAACAAATTCTGTAGATTTACAGATGACAGTAAATTTCGAAGCTGAGTTTCGAACTAGCAACGGCAATTTTAAAGTTCGATGGAAAAGGTACATTATGTGAATTATCAATATTGTCTCGGTATATTGTAGCAAATATGCAACTATTTTACCTGTAATAAAATGCTTCTCTGAGCGCAGCCTGATACGACCGCAGAGATCGAACCCTGAACAGTTGGGGCAAATTTGGACAAAATATTCAAGCTTGATACTGTCTGAATTTGGATTGTGATCAAATTTTTGATACAATATAGGTTTCTGACACAAAATAAATGTGGTCAAAGATCTTACAAATCTGTTGCACAATACTGTGCAATTTAAGGTTTCTTCTTCCTTCTTGAAACTTTTCAAAAATTTGAAATTTGTAAAAATTTTGAAAACAAAATATGAAGCCCTTAAAAAAATTGGAACCCCCCCACCATTTTTGAATCCCTCCTTGGAGCAATTACTTCCAAACTCAATCTCAGCCTTTCATTTGTAGTATGGAACCTTGTAGTACAATTTCAGAGAGATCCATTCACTTAAACACAAGTTATTGTCTGGAAACTAGAAAAATGCTTGTTTTTGGCCCCTTATTCCTGCATGAATGGGGCAATTACCCCCAAACTCAATCCCAGACTTTCCTTTGTGATATGGAATCTTGTGGTACAATGTCAGAGAGATCCATACACTCACACACAAGTTATTGTCTTGAAACTACAAAAATGCTTGTTTTTGGCCCCTTTTTGGCCCTTAATTCCTAAACTGTTGGCACCATAACCCCCAAAATGAATCCCAACCTTCTACTTGTGGTATTAAACATTGTGGTACAATTTCAGAGCAATCAAAATACTTATACACAAGTTATTATCCTGAAACTAGAAAAATGCTTGTTTTGGGCCCTTTTGGGCCCCTAATTCCTAAACGGTTGGGACCATCATCCCCAAAATCAATCCCAACCTCCCTATTATGGTATTGAACCTTCTTAAAAAATTTCATAGAGATCCATTCACTTAAACAAAAATTATTATTCGTAAACCAAATGTGTCTTTGGACAACGACGCAGACGACGCAAAAGACGCAGACGACGACGACGACACCATACCATTATACGATCCCAAAACAATTTTTGCGGTCGTATAGAAACAGATTCTTTTATCTTACAAACACATATGGGACTTATTGATAACAGTTATTTTCGCAGCTCGGTGGCCAGCTGACAGGTACATCAAGGTTCCATTTGTATATTTTTTTATTAACATATATCCAAACAAGAGGCTGTCAGAGTGACAGCAAACCGGATTTTCCGGCAGAGGTCAAACCTTGAACAGTTGAGCAAGTATGGACACTTCATTTAAGCTTAAAACTGCTCTGAATTTGGATTGTGGTTGAATATTTGACACAGCATAGGTTTGTGACACAAAATGAATGTGGTCAAAGAACTGAAATATTTGAAATTGGACATTTATTTAATTACCTACTATGGTCTAATATCCAAAATCTAAGTACATTGTCAGAATCAGCATATCAAAGAACTCCAAAAATTCATTTTTCAATGAAATCAAACAAAAGTTTAATTTAGGACCCTTTGGACCACAGTGTAGACCAATTTGATAAAGGAGCTCACAATCCAAAATCTCTCAATACATGGTAAGATTCAGCATTTCAAGGAACCACATAAATTTAATTTTTGTGAATCAAACAAAGTTTAATTTTGGACCCTGATTTGGACCAACTTGAAAACTGGGCCCAAAAATCTAATTTTTGAATACAGGTTTAGATTCAGCATTTGAAAGAACCCTATATATATTTAATTTAAGTTGAAATGAAACACAATTTAATTTTATCCATATATTTTCTGTGCAAAGGGAAATAACTCAAACTTGATAAATAGATATGATTATAATGAATAAAGTGATGACTAAGTTCTATAAAATTTGATATGATGTAATTTTTCAAATTATAATCAATAGTATAATAAAAACAACCAGTGATGACTAAGTTCTCTTAAATTAGATATGATTTAACACTCAAACATTGTTAAAATCAGCATATCAAAGAACCCAAGAATTCAATTGTTGATTAAACAAAAGTTTAATTTAGGACCCTTAGTACCTCGATGTGGTATTATCTAACTAATAATGAAAATAAATACAGGTTTTTTTAGATTCAGCATTTCAAAGAACCCTTTATATATTCAATTTGTGTTGAAATCAAACACAGTTTAATTTTGGACCCTAATTTGGACCAACTTGAAAACTGGGCCCAAAATCAGAAATCTAAATATATGTTTATTAATAGGCAATCTAAGCTAAGTTTGAAAAGGAGTTCACCTTATCCAAAAAATATATATAGCATTCAGAAAATTAGTTTTTACAGAATTCAAACAATTTACAATTTACCAAAGTAAAGAAAAATAATCAAAAATTTTATTTATCATTAATACAATGTCTTTTAAAAATCTATAAAACTTATCTGTAATTATCTTCAAAATGTCTAATAATGAACAGTAAATTTCTAACTATATTTACTACTATATAGCTTTTAATCATCAACACTTAGAAAACAGAAAATTTTCAAATAAATCTGTCACTCAAGATAAGACATTAACCATATGTTTAGTAAACTGATTACAGGACTTATAAACAGGTGAAAATTTTCTATAAAGGCTTAGTGTTATCAAACTTAATGCATATAATTAACAATTTCTGTTCAAAGGAAAATAACTCAATCACGAAAAAGACCCCAGGGGACTCGACTTTTATTTCATTTGATTTGTTTTATTGTAATATACAAGAAGAAAAATGGTTTCAGGGAGGAGATCTTGACTGTTTAAGTTTTCAAAAAAAGGGGTGGGGGTTACCCCAGGGGACTCACCTTTTATTTCATTTGATTTGTTTTATTGTCCAATAAAAGATTATATATGGTTTAGGGGTGGGGATCTCAACCGTTAACAAGTTTTCAAAAAGAAGGGGGTGGGGTTTACCCTCGTGGACTTCCCCTAAATTCAATTGATTTGTTTAATTGTCCCATACAAGAATATACATGGTTTAGGGGTGGGGATCTCAACCGTTTACAATTTCTCAAGCAGAAGGGGGTGGGGGTTACCCCAATGGACTTCCCCTATATTTCATTTGATTTGTTTTATTGTCCCATTCAAGAATATATATGGTTTAGGGGTGGGGATCTAGACCGTTTACAAGTTATCATAAAGAAGGGGGTGGGGGTGATCCCCATGGACTTCCCCTATATTTCATTTGATTTGTTTTATTGCATACAAGAATATATATGGTTTAGGGGTGGGGATCTCAACCGTTTACAAGTTCTCAAACAGGAGGGGGTGGGGGTGACCCAAGGGGGCTCACCTTTTATTTTTTATTTGATTTGTTTTATTGTCCCATACAAGAATATATATAGTTTCAGGGTGTGGATCTTGACCGTTTACAAGTTTTCAAAAAGAAAGGGGGTGGGGGTGAACCCCATGGACTTCCCCTATATTTCATTTGATTTGTGTTATTGTCCCATACAAGAATAAATATGGTTTAGGGTTGAGGATCTCGACCGTTTACAAGTTCTTAAACAGGAGGGGGTGGGGGTGACCCCAGGGGACTCACCTTGTATTTCATTTGATTTGTTTTATTGTCCCATACAAGAATATATATGGTTTCAGGGTGGAGATTTTGACCGTTGACAAGTTTTCAAAAAAAAGGGGGACGGGGGTGACCCTAGGGGACTTCCCCTATATTTCATTTGATTTGTGTTATTGTCCCATTCAAGAATATATATGGTTTAGGGGTAGGGATCTCAACTGTTTACAAGTTATCAAAAAGAAGGGGGGTTGGGGGTGACCCCAATAGACTTCCCCTATATATCATTTGATTTGTTTTATTGTCCCATTCAAGAATATATATGGTTTAGGGGTGGGGATCTCAATGGTTTACAAGTTCTTAAACAGGATGGGGTGGGGTGACCCCAGGGGACTCGCCTTTTATTTCATTAGATTTGTTTTATTGTCCCATACAACAATATATATGGTTTAGGGGTGGGGATCTTGACCGTTTACAAGTTTTCAAAAAGAAGGGGGGTGGGGATGACCCCCATGGACTTCCCCTATATTTCATTTGATTTGTTTTATTGTCCCATAGAGAACGAAAACCAATTTTGGGACCTACAGCATACATACTTACAGACAGACAAGTGTAAAACTTAATGCCCCCTCAACTACAGCGCAGGCATAAAAGTGTGGCAAACTGATTTACCAAACTGAAGGACAAACAGACAGAGAAACAGACAGACAGACAGACACACACACAGCCTATCATTTATACAGTAATACTAGTAAGTTTCAAACTGTATATATACAGTCCTACAGATCTTATCAGAAAACAGAAAATTTTAAAATAAATCTGTCACTCCAATGATTATCATATGCTAAAATATTTCAAAGATCTAATTAATAATGAAAATAAATCATTATCATATGCTGAAATATTTATAATATCTAATTGAACAGAACTATGGTTGTTTAACATAGTACTCTAACATAATTAATAATGTAATAATCTTCAAAATGTCTAGTGATATAGCTTATAATCATTACCACTTAGGAAATAGATAATTTTCAAATAAATCTGTCACTCCAATTTTTATTCTGAGATAAGACAAATCATAAAAAGATAACAACAGTAAAATATTTAAAAATTCTACTTTTGGATATTAAAAATGATAACTCACAAAGGAGATATACTAAAATCTTGAAAATTAATAGAGACCTTCATCAAGTCCAAGGAAACAACATATTTAAATTTGAAAAAAAATTGTTAAAGCGTTTTCATGTTATTGTGCGGACGCTGTTTGGCAGCCGCCAGAGCCGCCCAGCTGCCCGCCGTATATAACCATTTTAATAACCGATATTTCCTTCGAAAATCCGGTTAGATATTGTTTAAATGATACTATGCGTCTCTGTCTCTGTCTCAACTCGGTAGCGAAATTGTGACATATTGTGACATTTTGACTGAGTGTGGATTCGCATGGCGGGTGATGCTTGCATAGCAGGAGACGCTTACTTTGTCGACCCACCCAGTCATGCCCCTTTTGGAGTTCATGCAATTCCCTTCCTTTGTTTGTTACCTTGATTAGTATCTTCTTCATTGATTTATTAGATTTGAAAAATCAGTAAACTACGGTTGCCTACATCTTTTACCTTCTTACACATTCTGGTATCATGCAAGACAAAAACCAAAGGTGTCTACATGTTTAAGGTCATACCTCAAAAACTGAAAGGCATGTACTCAATATGTCAAGGGACAATAATATAGGAGGCAAAGCAAACTTCGAAATGTTTTATGCCCAGAGAAATACAAACAAACAATGCTTCTAGATGGAAGGATATACAAATTCTGATTTATGATAGCAATAACAAACACAGACAATTTTTTAAATTTTATTATAATTAACCAATTCACACTATAATCCAGAACAATTAATACAGTTAATCTATTTCAGCATTTATTGTATACAGACTAGACATCTTGGTCAAACAAAACCTGACATCACAACATGAATATTTTTATTAATTAAACAATAAAAAAAACATGGATGTAAGTATTTATAAATAAAGAAAAACTATGCTTTTTCAAAAAATATGCTTATTTACCTGTTCGTTCAAATACTAAAATAATATATCCCAATCTATTTGAGAATTTCCAGAACTTGTTAAAATGGATATCTTAAAAAATAAGCGAGGCTTATAAAATTTAAAGCAAGAAGGTTTACATATTCATCCCTACTTTTAGTAAAATTTGTTGGTTAAAATCTCAACTTGTAAACAATCATTAAGCATGTCATTTTTGATTTCAAAAATTGCTTCATTCTGCACAATACATTTGAATGATATTATGTCAGAAAGGATGGAATATAGGTCATAGTTACCTAAATGCTGAGATTTTCCACAAGATACAACTCTTCATCAGTTTAGATGATTATCTTACTTAAAGGTACTAAAGTATGACTTAACAAAGGTCAATGAAGCATGAAATTGAGACCACAGTTATTGTACCAAGAAACATTAGTTACATGACCTTATTCTTGCAACATAAAGGAGCATCAGATATACCTACAAAGAAAGTCATAGGATTATTAGCCTACTACTTACTTAGGCCAGGTTGTTGACACAGAGACAGACTCAGAAGTGCACACACACACACGCACGCACGCACACACACACGCAAGCACACATAGACGCAATTGTTCTTCACTAGTTTTTCCTCAACTTTGTTGAGGTCAATCAAATACAAACCAAAAAATAAATATGTGTTTAATTACCCTATAAAAATCAATATCAAAATGCCCATTAAGAGTATTTAATACTATGGACTTTCATAATTTAGAGTACAACTATAATTGTTATCAACAATTGCATCGTTATTTAACAAACTGCCATATTGTGTATATTTTCAATACATTGTTTACCTTCACAGTCTGTTTGTCTTTAAATGGAATGTCAGTACAATGCAAATTTTTTTTTATAGGCAATCATTGACAGTACAGTGCTTTTTAGAAAATTGAAAAAAAAATAATATTTAAAAAATTCAAACTTGATTTGAGTTTTGTGGTAATAAGCATTGTGTATAAGATTCATAACATTTGGTTGAGGCAAACTTAAGTTAGAGAACGGAAACAAATAATTTAGCAATTTTTCCTTTAGTAAAGGGGCATAACTCTAGAACGGTAAAAGTGACACCACCAAAATTTATATTTGATCTGAGTTTTGTGGTAATAAGCATTGTGTATAAGTTTCATAACATTTGGTTGAGGCAAACTAAAGTTAAAGAAGGGAAACAAACAATTTAGCAATTTTTCCATTTGTAAAGGGGCATAACTCTAGAACGGTAAAAGTGACGCCACCAAAATTCAAACTTGATCTGTGTTTTTTTGGTAATAAGCATTGTGTATAAGTTTCATTACATTTGGTTAAGGCAAACTAAAGTTAGAGAACGGAAACCAATTTTGGGACGTACATATGTACGTACAAGGGTAAAACTTAATGCCCCCTCCGCTACGGCGGGGGCATAAAAAAAAGTTGTATCTACATACTTTTTGCAAGGACCCAGGCAAAAATGAAATCTCTTTTGGTACCTGTATATCACAAAGCATAATAATACTGGGCACATTTACAATAATAACATACAATACAAGGGTATAGAAACCTGAGGAATGCTCATAATGTCATACAACCACTTGTTCATATTGTAAGCTCATAAACTCATTAAAATTAGTATCTTACATGTATATAACACTAAAGTAATATAACTTTTATCATAACTTGAGTGGAATTCCATTTTCTTAAACACTTGTAAATCCATGAAAATGGCAACACAAGAATAAATGAATTTTCATAGTATGGTCCGAGGACACAGTTGTCTTATTTTGATTTTCGTTGTCTACAAATATAGTCCTTGTTGTCGACATGGTCTAACAAGCAAATTTTTGTCATACACTTTCCAATTTTATTTCTTTATATTTTATGCATAAAATGTTAGTAGGGGGATGAAATTACATGTTAAAAAAATTTGGGTGATGAATTTTTTTTATGCTAAGTAGTGATTTGGTCCAGATAAAAAAAGGGTCAAAAATTAGTATGTCTGAAGCAGTCAAACTGAATTAAAGACCCCTTAACATAGAATCGTCCATATTTTGAGTTACAGCTGGTAGACTTTTCTATGATTTGATATTATATGTCCCAAAAGTAGTACACTACACTGTAAAAATCTTTTTAACATAGAGCAGGTGCAATTTTTTTTAATTCAAATTTATTGTCTTATAGAAATGCACAAGGAAATGACTGTGTTCTCATGCCATATAGTGAAAAAAATAACATCCACAACTCTTAGTGTTTCCTGCAGCTTTCATAAAGGGAAGATAAATTTTTACTCAGAGGGGACTCATCTCAAATGACGACACTTTTAAGGCAACTTTAGCATGGTGGACTACTCGATTTACTAAATGAAAATATGAGCAATCAGCTGAGTGATTACCAAACATCCCATTCATTGTAAAATAATATATGGCACGATCTCCAGGTTCCTCTTTAAATTGTATACATTTTAAAATTCAGGAAGGTACAAAGGCACTGTTGTCTTAATTTCATTCAATAATTAACAGTATTTGTAATCTGCTGCTTCAAAAATTGTGACAATTCAATTATTAAATTCGATAAAAAGGCGGTCATTAAAATTTTGTGTTCAAAGGGAAATGGTCTTACTAGAAGATGAAACACAGCACTGATCATCAACTATGACAGGTGGTTATAAAATACCAAAGAAGATGGTAGGGCGCCAAAATGTCTACAAAAAAGGGCAGGAAGTAATAAAAATAGGACAGGGTGTCATGCTCTCCCATTTCCTCCAGCAGGAAACCATAATCTGTAGACTATCCAATCATATTGCTTCATGTTTCTCTTACAAAGATGTAATTTTCATTATAAAAAAAATCAGTATATGCAGAGTATAAAGAAATAGAAACTTTAAAAAAAAAAACTTAAAGTGAGATGACACATCTAGTGACAGTTTTATATGATCATGGATTGCTTCAGTGACTGACTTTCCTAAATCTACAAAAAGTAATTGAGAGATAAAAGACACAGAAAACTAAAAAAAAAAATAGTTGGCTAAAAAGATTGTCATAGCAAACAAAAACAAACAAAGAATATCTGCAATAAACTTATCTATAAGGTCAAAATAAAATATATGTCTGTTTACCATTACCAGACCGACCCTACTTTTGAGTGCCGACCATAAGTCATTTTATTTCCATCTTAAAGTGAAAAATAAACTGAACTCATGTCAAAAGCGAAGTTAGTGTTGCAAATAATATAAATCAATTGCCTGATACATCCCAATGTTCACAATCATGAATATGACAGCTGTTTTTAGGAAATTCGCAACTGGTGTGATGAAATAAACACTTTGCCGCCATTTTTTTACAACCAATTACCAAGGGAAATAATCCAATCATTAAAAATACGGGTAAACTCGGTCCATGATCAACTCTGACCACGACAAGACGAAACGGCATGACTCAAAATCATGTCACAAAAAATAAAATAAAATGGAAATACCCACCTACCTTCCCTATTTTTTTTAAAGTATGTAACCTTAAACAGACATATATTTTTTTTTGGCCTATCATAAAATAGCATACAATAATCACTAAATATCATAATTTTACACATCACTTTGAGTAAATATATTATCTGTGATGGGTTGTAATGTCCAACCACCCTTGCCATCTAAGTGTAATTCTATATGATGGAATTGTCTTAGACTTTCTCTGTGGCCCACACTAACAAGAGTTATCCCTAATTCTTTACATTTTAGATACATCTTCTGTTCCGCTTCTAGACCTATTTGACTAGTGGCTTCATCTAAAGCTGAAAAATACCAAAATTATCTTGTTAGATACCCCTGAATAGCCTTGGTTTGTAGATAACCACTGACAGCTGTTTTGTTATGTAAAGAAACCATTTTTGTGGTACTATATAACACAAATACCAAGAGACTAACATATTGATAAAAACATGCTTATCAAGCTATGTACATGATATTTTTGTAAAAAAGAGGAAATAGATACAACAGGGACATTAATACTCATAAGTCAAAAATAAACTGACAACGCCTTGGCTAATAAAAGAACAGAGTTCCAATGTCCCCCGCATTGCACATATTTTATCTATCCAAGATACAAGGGCAATAACTAAAAAAAAACACTATTTTTATTTATAAAAAGTTGTAAAGAACAAAAAATAGTGTTTTATAATGATATAAGTTTGATAAAATTCTGGCAAGAATCGTACACATGAGAGTGCTAACAATTTTCCATATAATCAATATGTCCATGGGGTATAACTCATTTAAAAATAATTCATCTGCACTGATTTTCAAATTTGCCCAAGACATTGATAAAAACCTATAATATAAATTTCATAAAAATCTGGCAAGAGTTGTACACATGAGAGCGCTAACAATGCAGTTTTCCATATTAACAATATTTCCAAGAGGCATAACTCTTTTAAAAATAATTGATCAGCACTGATTTTCCAACTTGTCCGAGACATTGATGATGTAAACCTATAATATAAATTTCCTTAAAAATCTGGCAAGAATTGTACACATGAGAGTGCTCACAAGGCAATTTTTCATATAACTTATATTTCCAAGGGGCATAACTCTTTTAAAAATAATTGATCGGCACTGATTTTCCAACTTGTCCAAGATATTGCTGATATAAAGCTATGATATAAGTTTCAAAAAAATCTGCCAGAATTGTACAAATGAGAGCGCTTATGATGCAATTGTAATAATTGTCAAAACCTATGATTATCACTTCATACTAAAAAAGTATGACATCTAACAGTCTTTCTACATAACCCCAATCAAGCTAAAATTTCATCTAGCTCTGCATGCTATCTTGACACAGATGCTGCAATAAGCACTTTTCCCCTTTCAAACCTGTATACAAGGTTCTAGTTTTAATAATAATAAAAGTGAATATTTGCAATTACTGATAATTATTCATACTACAAATGGAAGAACAAGGTTATTCATGTATTAGACAGTTGGTTTTCCTGTTTGAATTGTTTTACACTAGTCATTTTGGGGCCCTTTATAGCTTGCTGTTTGGTGTGAGCCAAGGCTCCGTGTTGTAGGCCGCACTTTTTTGGATAACGTGATCATGAGGTATGATAAAACTAATAATTTGACTTGTAAAATTTCCTTGTAACTATATAATTAAAAAGCTTTTGATTTAAGTCAATAAAATGTGCAAGGTAAGTTTAATGCATTATATTTAACATAATTACCTGCTACTTTTGGTTGGTGATAGAACAATCTAACAAAAGATAACCTCTGCATTTCTCCTGGTGACAATTCATCATACCTAAACACAAAAAAAATATGGAGAATAGTTTGATAAATCTTTTATTTTCATACTATTAAATCTATTCTTTCAGGAGAAATGTTAAAAGTTCTGGGCTGTCTATTTTTTGGAAAAAATATGAATTAAATGAGTTGTAGGGTACATGTCTATAAGTAACCCAATGAAACAATTAAAGACATTTGCTATGATAAAAGCAGACCCATTGATAATGCATTCTGGTAAAAACTACTTATTTTGCCATTTTTTCCTCACCAATTCCAGTCTGTTTCTGTATCCATGCCAACCCTATCCAAAATGTTAGTTAGTCCTACAAACTCAAGATATTGGTGAATCCTATCTTCATCTATCGAAACTGAAAAGAAACACAAAATTCTAAGAAATCTTAATACTAATCTTATATAAACTTTTTAACCAGAATTAGTGTCTTAATTGGGCAAATAAATGTTTATAAAGCGATTTGTAAATTATCAAAGCGGTAGGAAAAATGTTTTCTCAATAAATTTTTTAGTCATAATAATTAGAAATTTATATTTCAAATGGACTACAAATAAATCTCATCACATCCATATACCTACCAATGGGAGGTTCTACATCTTCTACTGGAAATATTATCTAAAAAATACACACATAATTTTTATGCATTTTTTTGTTGAAAGATCATATGATTTTTCTTGTATGCTTAATTTTGTAATATCAACAGCATTTACCTGGGAGTTTTTAAAAACAAAAAGAAATTTCATGCAAGTATACCCCCAAAAAATCCATCCATGCTCAGTGGTATAATGATAAAACAAAGTGCCAATGCTTATAGCAATATAATAATGCAACTGCATAGCAAATATCAATGGCTTACAATTAGTGGTACCCATTAAACTGACCAAATCCAAACTTTAACAAGCCACCAGAAACAGCACGACTAAGAATTTTCTTCTCAAATTGACCAAAGTGAATGTTACTCATATATTATAAGACAGAGATAATTGAGGCTGACATCTTGTCAGAAATGCACTTACATGTAAAAATTAAAATTGACTAAGAATTAGATAAAGTAATAAATTGTATTGCTTATTTTTCCCTTACTATTGAAAAATATCTCTTAGTATTTCCAATGCAAATACTACCTGTTGTCTAAGTGATCCATCAGTAAAATAAGGTTTTTGAGGCAAGAATAACATATGATGTGGTCTCTCTGGTATATGGTACTGCACTTTACCTGCAATCATAAAATAAATCGTAATTCAATCATCAATCTGATTAAAATACAGATCTTGTGTCCAAGCTTTGTTTACAAGGACATGACAACACTTGTTCTACTCTCTGTTCTGGTAATTATAACATCAACCAATGAAAGGTCAGCTTTCAAATTTTTGAAGGTGTTTAACATTACAACAAAACTAGAGGATCCTAAATGGTCTATAAAACAGAAAGTAGAATGGAGCATTGTCAGATCCTTGTAAGCAAAGCGTAGACACGGGATCTGTATTTTAATCAGATTGATCCAATGATGAACCTGACTATTTTAAAATATTCTGATTTTTTTTGTCCAAATGATTTTGGTAAAAACTTTTCAACATATATCTATAGCTTTTTTTATAAGTCTAGATATGACATTAAACATTCTTGTTTTGGGCATCAGCCATTTTTTTTACTTCTTTACATTACTTATCTATATAACCATAAGAAATAGGATGCTGACAACAAAATCTAAGATTACTTTGTCTTGTCTTCACAAATTTATTTCAGGTGAGAAAAAAATTCAGCTATGACCACCCTAAGTACAAATTGTCTTCATACAGGCCATAGTATGATTACAACAGATATTAACCATAATTTGACTGCATTTTTTACAATCTTACTGAAAATTCAAAATTGGAAAACATCGATCATGAATACATTTGTTGTTTGAAAGTTTTAAACAAAATTGACAGAAATGCTAATTTTTCTTTGTCACAAAGTTTATTTACTTTTTTTTCAAACTTGGAGAAGATTAATACATCTAACTCTGAAAATCAACATTATCTTCCATATAAACTTTAGGATGGAAATGAAAAAATATGGTGTACTTATTCATGAAACAAGATTCCTTCACACACTTGAAAAATCTAAAATAAAGTAACAGTGGTCTTATTGGTGTTTTCATCTCAAAGTCACAGTGAGACAAATCTCTCACCAAGTTCAATAAGACACCGGAAAATTACTTAATCTGGCTTGATGGTAATAAGTTATGCGTTCAACATGTTCAATGTGCCAAATATCACACATGGCATACAATACAAACATGGATTTGAATGTCAACACCTCTATTTTCCCTATGACATCAGTATAAGAAAGCATCTTTCTCATATCATGTTATTTTTGATGGATGATTTTGAGCTTAGATGGCTGTGATCACATTATTTTTTCTCACCAATTTCATCCTCTTACTTTAAGTTTAAATATGAAAATAATAGGCTTTTCTGACAAAAAGTTCAAATACCCTCGTGCCACATTAATGCTCTATAATAGACCCCAAAATATGAAATGTAATAATAAACAACTTTTTGATAACTCCAACAAACCTGTAACTGGTGGCCATAAATTAGCTAAAACTCTTAAAAGAGAACTTTTACCACAACCACTGTCTCCAGTTATGAGTATATTGGTATTTAGTTCTACATTAAACTTCAAATCTGAAAAAAAGAATATCCAGGATTATATTTTAGGTTTTAAGATAAACATTACAGAAATTTGTAGCTTAATCTCACAAAAGCACAATAGAATTAAACTGCTATTCTGGACTGTTTTTAAGTGTATGTTCTTCTATTATCCTTTTGTTATTCCATTAATAAAAAAAACAACAGAAGTGTTGGGGGCTAAAAAAATCTATAACACCACAAATTCGTTCATGTATCTGTCCAAATTTTGGAAACTAATGAGGCTGTCTTGTATTATATTTTAATGTGTTTGTGTTATTTGGAAAATTTGGTTTTGATGTCATATATCTGATAGTTTCTGTTTAATGTGTATAATTTTTTTAAACTTAGAACATGCAAAGCAGAATTTTTGTAGAATAAAAATTAGTGTTAAACATCATTATCATTTGTATAGCCTTTCAAATAACAAACCATAATTACTGCAACTGGGCCATTTGAGTCTCGAGGTTGCACTTTGTAAATACAGCTGTGTCACAAACCACGCCTCTTTTGGGGATATATATAATATTCATAGATATTTTGTTTTGTTTACGTACTGGTTCCCAGATATGATCTCTACGTTTCATTTCATAGAGACATAACTTGGGAATGTTACCAGTATAAATACACATAGGTAGCGGCGAAATTAAATTCAAAGTAGGACCAAAAGTGAAGGCAGGGGGAATACAAAACTTTAGTATAAGTTTAAACTCTTAGAAGTTCGGGCATATAAATGTTGAAAATATGCCGCACAGCCCTATATTTTGACCTTTGAAAAAAATTGTAGCACATATGAACTTTCCATTCTAGGATATAATTTTTTACGAAACTTCATAGTAAAAGTGGCACAGTTTTAGCCATAAAAGGAGTTCCTATGGGAAATTGCATTGTCTATATTTACAGAAGTGCATCCTATATTGGGTAAATAAAGAGAACATGAAGAATTTCACCAAATCTGGTTTATCTTCAGAGATTTTAATGAAATTAACTTAAATATAAAGTTTTATAAATATTTCATGAAGATTGAGAAAATCCTGGGCCTTAACTATGATGACTCAGCATAAATTAACAGTTTACAGCACATATAGTTTACCTAAAGACCTGTATGCAAAGTAAATTCATAATATTTGCATATTTGTAATTTAAATTGTTAAGAAGTGCTTATGTTAACTCTTCGCAGTCATTGAAACTCATAGATCCTTGATGAATATTGTTGTTGGGGTGTTTTTGTCCTGTCGAAAACCCATAAGTAAGCCGTAACACCTGAATATGCTTTCTTGTGAAAGCGGCATAAAAAAATACAAGCTAGAGATACAAAAATTCCTCAATAAAAGTAACAATAGTGTGTTCTATCCTAAAAATGTACTAAATATTCCATATTCACAGAAACAGCAGAATTATTTAGCAAATTTGAGGTCCCAGAGGCAAAAAAAATAGAAAAATCCCTGACCCCTGGGTCATAAAATATATAATTTAACCTATAAAGGCTATGATTTTATTATTATAAAGGTCTTGTGTATAGAAAACAATAACTGTGCTTTGAAGTTATGCAAAAAAACAGATTTTAGCAGTCAGTTCTACAAACTTTTAGTGAATTCATATATCAGACTGGTAACTTCATATATACAAATTTTGCAAATATGACTTTGTTTAAACACTTCTAGTTCATATATTAGCCAAACTATGTTAGATATATGGTTAGAGATGTTATTATTGTGACAATATTTCTAAACTGACCATTTGAGGCAGAAATTGTAAACTTTTATAAATAAATAGGCATAAAGTAAGATGTGGACTGGAGACAGAGGCAGGATTGGATACTTTATATAATCTTGAATGTTAAAATGATTAACTACGAAACTTAACATTTATAGCATTCTGAATTTTATTTCAATTTGTTATCAGAATAGTTTCATACAGTTTATAAGCAATTCTTGTCAGAAAACATGAACATAGGGTAAGCTGACAATAATTAAAGTCTTGTTTTCAAATTCTTCAAAAATTGAAACAGGGGTGGGGGTATAAAATATACTGTAAAAGAAAAGTTAGAGTATATGCAGTGATTTCTTTTAGGCTATGATTCTGACAAATAAGTATTGTTGTGAGAAAAGATGTTTTTCAAATTTTTCTATTAGAATAAATGTTAGTATAGGTTGCACTTTGTAAATACAGCTGTGTCACAAACCACGCCTCTTTTGGGGAGATATATAATATTCATAGATACTTTGTTTTGTTTACATACTGGTTCCCAGATATGATCTCTATGTTTCATCTCATAGAGACATAACTTGGGAATGTTACCAGTATAAATACACATGGATAGCGGCGAAATTGAATTCTGAGGAGGACCAAAAGTGAAGGCAGGGGCAGTACAGAATTTTAGTATAAGTTTAAGCTCTTAGAAGTTTGGGGCATATAAATGTTGAAAATATGCCGCACAGCCCTATATTTTGACCTTTGAAAAAAATTGTAGCACCTATGAACTTTCCATTCTAGGATATAATTTTTCACGAAACTTCATAGTAAAAGTGGCACAGTTTTAGCCGTAAAAGGAGTTCCTCTGGGAAATTTTATTGTCTATATTTACAGAAGTGCAACCTGGAGCCTTGTTTTCAGGTTAGGAAAATGTAAGGGGAAAATAGATAATGATTATGCCTTACCATGAGGTTGACATATACTTACTCCTACAGAGAATATCTCTACACTGTGGCGGTCCATAAGTAAGGTTATCTACGGTAACTGCTTTCTGTCTTCTTGTCTCATTGATAGCAATCTGACAATCAGGGTCATTGTCCCCGCTATTAACAAGAAGTGTGTTCAGATGAAATGTATTGTCCCTGTGTGGGTGAAAAGTAGACTATACTACGCAGTGAAGAACATGCACTAACACCTGATCAAATCCTTTTTTTTTATTTTCTGGCATGCATAATAAAAAAGGAAACTGAAACAAAGCTCTGGATAGTTTTGGATATAAAAATACTAGTCAAGTGTAAGTTACTTAAAAGTATGCAAAATGTTCCCTTATATTTGTTTACAATATTTTTCAGGAAATATTACTTTTACAGAAAGAGTTTACCAAAAAATAGGGATCCCCCTATGTAGCAAAGTATCATTACAGCTTAACATCACGTATGAATTCATCAACTTAATACAGAAAATTATCACTTTATTAGAGTATTAACAGCACATTTAGCTATTGTGTTGAAAGAAAAGAACACAACTTTTCAAAGAAACTCAAAATATCCAGATTCTGTTCAAAAATATTGTTGACATCATGTCTTCTCTGAATCTGAATGCATAAGAATGCATGCCACTTAGAGTCAACAAAATGAACTCTGCTTAAAAGGAGCATAAAGTTTAAATTTGAAATATATATACTTAATTCAATTCTTTCTAAAGAAATTTATTTTCTAATATTGGTACTTAATCCAATTTTATCTAAAGAAGTTTATATTCTAAACCAAGTTTGAGATTTATATTGTAAAGCAAGATTGTCCTAAAATGATTTAGTGTTGATGGCATATATATGTGGTAGTTTCTATTAAATTCTTGCACTACTAGTCTTGACTTTGGACAACTTAAATTTGAAATATAATATAGACGCCTCATTATGGGCTCGCTTGACCAAAATATATGTTTTTTTATAATTAATATTTCATACTTGTTACTAAAAAAATACTGGATCCGCCCCTGCTAAGGCATGAAATACATGTATGATCAATATATGTAGATTTAAAACAAATCATTACATTATGTGCTGGGAAGGAAATGTTGAGGTTAGTATTGTAGGGTGCTGTGAACAAAAATTATGTCAACAAATTAGAGATATCCTAAAAAGTATCATTCATACATTTTTTCATATTTTATCAATCATGAAACAAGAGTGCACACACTGAAATTTCTCACCTGCTTTACTTATCATTGATTTTATGTTGATATAAATATGAAGTTTTATTACAAGTTTCATATAAACTTAACATGATCCAAGAAAAGGAGGTCAGGTCAGATAAACCAAGTCAGAAATACATTATTATACACCTTCCAATCATTCCATACACTGAATATAGTTGACCTATTGCTTATAGTATACAAGAAACAGACAAAACCATGAAAATGAGGTCAAGGTCAGATGAACCCTGCCAGACAGACATGTACACCTTACAATCATCCATGCATCAAATATAGTTGACCTATTGCATATAGTATCTAAGAAACAAACTTAACCAGGAAAACTTATCATTTACCGATTAACCATGAAAATGAGGTCAAGGTCAGATGATACCTGCCAGACAGACATGTACACCTTACAATCATTCCATACACCAAATATAGTTTACCTATTGCTTACAGTTTAAGAAAAACAAACCAAAACACAACAAGAGGCTGTCAGAGTGACAGCAAACCGGATTTTCCTGCAGAGGTCGAACCCTGAACAGTTGAGCAAGCATGGACACAACATTTAAGCTTAAAACAGCTCTGAATTTGGATTGTGATTAAATATTTAAAATAGATTATTATCTAATTAATAATGAAAATGATATTTGCAAATCTGAATCGTGAAAATTGAACTTGACCTTCATTTAGTCACAGGAAACAACATATCTAAATTTGAAAAAATTTTGTCAAAGGGTTTTCATGTTAATGAACGGACACTGTTTGGTAGCCGCCCGCCTGCCTGCCTGCCCGCCGTACATCCCCAAATCAATAACCGATTTTTACTTCGAAAATCCGGTTAAAAACTTAACATTGAGCAATGAACCGTGAAAATGAGGTCAAGGTCAAATAAAACCTGTCAGACTGATATGTACATCCTAAAATTTTTTCATACACCAAATATAGTTGACCTGTTGCAGACAATATAAGAAAAACAACAAAACACAAAAACTAAACATTGACAAATGGACCATGAAAACGAGGTCAAGGTCAGATGACACCTGCCAGTTGGACATGTACACCGTGCAATCATTCCATACAAATATAGTAGACCTATTGCCTATTGTATCTGAGATATGGACTTGACCACAAAAACTTAACCTTGTTCACTGATCCATGAAATGAGGTTGAGGTCAAGTGAAAACTGTCTGACAGGCATGAGGACCTTGCAAGGTACGCACATACCAAATATAGTTATCCTAAGAGAGAAATTAACATTACAAAAAATCTGAACTTGTTTTTCAAGTAGTCACTGACCCATGAAAATGAGGTCAAGGACAATGGACATATGACAGATAGAAACTTCATAACATAAGGCATCTATATACAAAGTATGAAGCATCCAGGTCTTTTACATTCTGAAATATAAAGCTTTTAAGTATTGTTATTTAACGCCGCCGCCGGCCATCCCTATGTCTCACTTTCTGCAGCAGAAGTTGCAAGCTTGACAAAAAACCATTGGACAAAGAAAAAGATAACAACTACTAGCACCATATATATGTCCTAATATATATTACCGACAGAATGAATAACATCAAATATATTTTCACAAGCAAGACATATTATGGTATTACATATTACTTCTTATAAAATGTCCAAAGAAACAAACATTTAGCTGAACATAAGCATTTACATTTGTATCCATTGAGCTTAAAGCATAATTCAGTATATAGGATTAGTTTATTTGCACTTCTCATGATTAAAGCAGCACTTCATTTTTTTAAAGATAAGTTAAAATTAGCCATGCAAATATTTATACCATTATAACTTACTCTCTTGTTATAGATTCATTCTCTATGAAATGATAAGTTGTTTCTTTTTCTGCTTTGATTTTCCCTAGCTCTTCCATAATTTCACCTATTCTAAAATCAGATAAATAATTATACATTTAGACCTATACATCTTTATGAGAGTTAATAATTAAAGATTGCTGAAAATCTTCCAAGTTTTATTGGCATACTGCCTCAATACTAGTCTCCTTAAGCACCATCTTTAGGTAATGATAATGTGAAAAAAATAAAAATTATAAAGACGGATACATGTTCTTCTGATTTAACTTTTGATAGGACTTGACTTGGTAGTTTAATGCAACTGAAACAAGAATGAAAAATGATTTTAAAAGAAACCACAGAAATCAAATAAATAAGTAAAAACAATTATAGTGCAAGAACATAAGTATTTGCCAACTGCAACTATTTTCTAATTCATTTTTTTTTTATATTTACAAACCAACTGATGAAACTTGCAGAATTGTCTGAATTCTATTTACTTAAGAATATTTCCATACAAAAAATAAGTCTAGTATCTTAAAAACTCATAAAAAAATGAAAACCCTCCATAATAAAATTTTAACTTTCTAGTGGTACCAAGATGATTCAAATCTAACCAGAAATGACCCCACGGTAATTTGTTGAAAAAATATGATTTTATATGAAAAATGTTGCAAAAAAATATAAAATGGGAATAGTTATATCTATGTTCTGCTTCAATGCTGATAAATCTATAGAAATGTTGAAGGAAATAATGCAAAATAACTGTTAACAGATATATTGTTTTATGATAAACAAAGAAAAGCAGTCTACTTAATCTAGACAAATAGAACTTTCCGTTATCTGCCTTATATAATACATGACCCCTTTTCAGCCCCCCAAAATCGTGAAAAAAAGTCTAGTTCACTGTAAAAAGCCTTTGATAGGGAACTAATAAACCATGTTTTTTATCTTCATTTAAGTCTGTTGAAAGATAAAAATGATATATAAGATTGTTTGTTCATTCAAATCTTTTTTGTAATAATTTTTGTTTAATCAATTAATTGAAAGTCATAAACAAAGAAATGGTACAGCTTTTATGATTTAATTAACATTTACTCATTTTATAAAAGTAAAGTTATTGATCAAAGATCCCTTTTAAAATCAACATTTGTCTAAGCTTGTCCAAGCTGATGCACTGTACAGATCACTACCTGTACATATTTAACAGAACAAAACAAAATTACATGTTTAATGATGTTGCTTATGGTTTCATATTTATGCCAAAAAGCATATTAAATAGCTTACTTTAAACTATTTTATTAAATACAGTTTTTTTATACTGGCTGCATGTTCCGACCAATATATAACTAATACAACCAGATAAGTTTGAATAATCCAGTCATTCAAATAGGTCAGTAATAAGATAAGCTAGATAGTATAGTAGATACAGATTGTGCCATCTATTCAGCTTATGAATCAATGGATTCTTAATTGAAACTAAAGATTTAGTTACTGGACCATTAAACTGGTTATTGCGTAAACCCCTGAGGGTTTACGCAGTATATATTGGACGATGTCCGTAGTCTTTCGGAACACCGGATGTTATTCGGAATACATCTGTTCTTTCTATGACCACCTTTCATATACATGCGCAATAGCTTTTTAATTGACCTGTTGAATAAGCATTAGCATCTTAAAGTTGCTATAGAGATATGTTACATATGATGCAAAATTTATTATGGTGCAAGCTACTTTAATAAGCATTTGAATACTTCCTTGCACGCAATTACAAGCTGCTAATATTTACCTACATATATGCGTACTTATTTTAATTAGAGTCGAACGCTGAAACCAGCTGTGTTTAGATATGAGATAAGATTTCATGTAAACAATGCGATTTATATTCGGAACGAGAATCGTTAAAACTAAAATCTATAAAAGAAGTATATTACTAGCATTTCATTTAAGATTTTGAGTCTAGGGAAGATGTACTTGATGTACAAAGCAGGCTAATTCATTTTTTTATACTGAAATTAAAAAGAAGTCTTTCTTGCACTTTATTAAAATTTTACGTCTAGAATAGACCAAGGACGTATATAATCTATTATACGTCCTTGAATGGATGTAAAAAACGAGAATTTTCGAAAAAAATATCGCGTTTATTAAAAATAACGTTTAAATTAATTATGAAAGTACATTGCAAATTGAAATACAGTTATTTTCTTTGTTTAAATATTGCAACATTATTTCCTTTTTAAAAAACAAGGAGGTCATATAACCTCCTTGATTAAAATAACAAATCAGATTGTTATAGGTATATCTGGATCCTTTTTCGTTATTAGAATGTGAATAAATAGATATGGGGGGGGGGGGGTAGGACCTTTATCGGGACTCCGGGATCGGGTGTTTTTAAGCTCGGGATTTCTGGATTGATCCTTTCGGGATCCGGGAATTCTTTTTTCGAATTTTGGGTTGTCGGGATTAAAATTTTTTTAAATTCGGGACCTCGGGATTCCATGTTTTTAAGCCCGGGATTTCGGGATCAGGACTCCTCCTACCCCCCCTCAGATATTGAATATGAAAAAAAACTAAAACTGAAATCTAAATCTAAAATTATATTAAAAACAAAATACATTTGACCATGCAGATGAAAGAAATAATACTTCAAGCAATGAAATAATGAATTAAATGTGCCGCTTTAATTACGATCAATAACCTTAAAATTAATCATGCATGCAATTTCAGCAGACTTAACAGTGTCAGCGATAAGATATCAAATGTCTATTTATAGACACCGAGTGATGACAGATGCAGGCAGAGATAAGAAAAAATAATTTCTATTTATAGTTATCTGGGCCAGGGAACAGATTATCTAACCTGTAGTAATTAATTTATAAGGCTCTTCAAAATGTTCGTCAGAATAAAAAAAAATAATTATTATTTCTTGAAAACGATCAGATGATGAATTTTCAGTTTTAATATATTAAATACGAAAATGTAAAATAGTGCAAGGAGATTTTGAAAGACGACAGGATAATTGATACTTAGGTTTTATGCATGTAAAATAGTTTTTAGGAAATTTTGAAGTTTGTTTTATTTATGTTACATTTTTATAATTTTGACCACAAGTAGCAGAGCTTTGTGTGACCATTGTGATAATGTACCAATGTAAACGCGTTATCTAATTAATTAAAAGCTCCTGGTCAATTGTTCTCATAACTGTGTAAACTAAACTTTCTCTGATGTCTTATATAACAGCTACGGTGTATGGGTTGTAAGTGTTTCTTTGTGATGTTAAAGTTGCGTTACAAAATCAAATCGGTTGTTGTACTAATTAATTAGATTACAAGACAGTAAGTGAGTATAAAATTATTTATAATTGATACTGAGAGAATCTTAATTATATAGAGCGACGCCTGTTGTTACCATATGTTGACATAATGGATACATTGAAAGTCCATTCAGGTGGAGAGTGAGATGTAGACTTTACGAATGAGACATTGGTATTAAATTGCTTTGTTGTTTGCATATACGATTTCTTTCACTTAAACATAGAAGCAGCAAGAAACATGACATTGTATGACATATATAATTGAGGAATTAGTTTCTTTAGTATCGACTAATTTGAGTTACATTTTTTCTTTCAATACAAGCCATCTCAGTGATCAGCAGGCTATACAGTGCCCCCAAATGACTAGTATAAAACTATCCAGCACGAGAGAAAAAGGATAGGTCAATATAAGAAACCTACAAGGCAACTTCAGTTCCATTTCAATATTTAGATTATTCTAATGGATTTGTCAAATGTCAGAGGGAATATCTGTTTTAAATGTGGTAGGAATACCAATGAGACAACTCTCCATTAAGACACAGTGTAGTCAAAGTAAGCAATTATAGGTTATAGTACAGCCTTCAACACAAAGGCTTGGCTCACATTGAACTGCATCCTACTAGGGGCCCCAAGACACTGTTATAAAACAATTCAAACAGGAAAAATCAAATCTAATTTAACTTCAAACCAGAAACAAAAAGCAAATATGAACTGCACCAAAAAAAAAAAAAAACCCACTAAACAACATGCTTCTGACTTGGGACATGTGCTTATGAATACACCTGTTTTAAAAGAATTTACATACATACCATAAGACAGTAGTGTAACTTTACCATGTAAAAGACACCCTTTAAAAGTTAATGAAAAAACGTGTTCAAATAAAAAAGGAACACCTTACAACAGTTCATAAATGTGGCCTTTAAACAAACTAATGTTTAGAAATGGGTATTCAGTGATAATTTCAGGTTTGCTTATGTTAGTTGTTTTGTTGTTTTCAATTTAGTTTGTTTATTTATAAGCACAAGGTGTAAGCTGTTTTGTCTAGGCTGTAAATAGCTTTCTTAATGAATTGGTTTTGGTCATCAAGGTGAAGAGAATACAGTGCAATTCAAATTATATATATTTACAATTAAACTTGCAGGCCTTTTTTCATGACCCACAATTTAAAATATAAGAAAACATCAAAATAAAAAGGGACATTCAAAAAATATCTTAAAATCGAGTTAAAGGTTTTAAAAAGTTTTTGTTTTTAACAAAAGAGGTTTGTCATCTAAAACATTTAATAGCACAAAGCACACAACTTAAAATTGCCAATGCTTACTACCCTAAGCATCACAAAAACCTTGCAGAGCAGGTGTAATGATCCTAATAATGAACAATATCAAGCTATTGTTCAAATAACCATGAACATATCTCAAATTCCAATAAAAACGGCTATTAAGTTTCACGTATTGCATTTCTTTTTTTAAGCACAAATAATCATTAATTGATTAAATTTCTTCACATTTGTATTTGAACATAAGCCTAGAAACTAACTCTAATCTAAAAAAACAATTATCTAATATTTAATGCCAAACAAGCATTTGGGTTTACGACTGCATTTCTTTTTTTTAAAGAAAGCAACTTGTAATATGATTTAGGCATGCAGTACAGAAGAATTTTCAAGGCAACCAACATGAGATTTCTTAATTATAAATTATTATGGCTGAAGAATAGTTGTTCTGTATTTACCTGTGTGCATTTCCAGCCATTCTTGCTACATTTGCAGCTAAATCTATCAGTTTGGTAAAATTGTTGATTAAGTACATTATCACAAATGATGTCTGAAAATAAACATTAATAAATTAATAGATATATGATAATACTGTTCAACTAATATCAAGGCAGTATACAAAGTTTTTGCCATAATAAAACACCTATGAAAAGGTAAAAATATTAGCCTGACTTATCATATGATTTAACACTCAAAATGGATACAGCAATAGTAATAGCTCCATCATTTAACAAGGCTTATAACTATAATCATAAAGCATGATGACTACTTTTGTTTTGTCCAATGATAATGTTGTTTTTTTTACAGGAAATTGGAAATAATTTGATGCCAAATAATAAGTCATATTAGATCCAAAATTGAAAAAGCACGAAGTTGTTATCGTCAGTGAAATATTTAAATATTTATTACAACATTCCAATTAAAATTTAAAATAATAATTTTTTGCAGAACCATCTACTCACACTACTGATCTTAGCTGACAAATCAACTGATGACATGTTATCATATAATCCACCAAATATTGGAATGGCCAAGAGGAGGTAACTCAGTATACTTCCAAAGTAATTAGACAAGTTGATAAAGACTAAAAAAAAGATGACTTGGTTCAATGTTAGAAAAGAAAAAAAGACACTCTTTGGCAGATAAATATGCAATAAAATGTATAAATCAAACACTATGCTAGTCAACAAAATAATTGCCATGTAGTAGTATTTCATAGAATTTGTTTGCTAAATGCTGTATCTTTTGTTTCACAAGGTAACTAATTAAAAATTTTAGGAGTGGCAAATTATCCTATCACATGAGATACACATGTGGAATCTGTTTCTCTAATTACTTTAACATGTTTAAGACTAATATGTTCTTTTATAATGATCTGCAAAAGACTGTGTTCTTTTTGTGATAGGTCATCAGACATGGCTCTCTTTGATAAAACAAAAATAAAATCTTATACATCATAGTCTAATTCTGACCAATGTAGAACTGAGAACAAGCAAACCATACTTATAATATAAAAACAAAAATATTAACCTGTGCGGGTAAGTTTCAACTGGCTAAGAATTAGGATTTTTTTTAAATTCCAATTGCGGTTATTTGGTCAAAATATATCAACTGGAACAAACTCATAAGCAATCTTTTACTACTTATTCTATAACTCACTATTTATAAATTATCAGCTAAATATAAGCAGTTGAGAAAAATGTAATTTTCATAAAATCTTTCAAGGGCTGTAATAAAATCAAAAGTCAATCAACATGCAGACAATTTTGATGAAGTCTGATGACCCTTTGGGTCTGGTGAGCTAAAAATACATTTACAGATGAAAGGATGTTTAATTGTCTCATCACAAGATATAAATATCTTTCCTGCAAAGTCCTATTCTTAATTTTTTCAAGACATTACTATAAATACTAACAATCAAGTGGATATTCCCTGAGGACAAGTTTCTGTGAAATCTTGAGTAAACTGAGTAGTTGATTATTAGTTTTATTCTTTTCTATATGTCCTGATTTATAAAATGCTGCCGATTCTGAATACATCCTGATTTGCATATGTTTAAACCTGAAATGAAGTACACACAGTTAACATGGATATATACATATGAGAAAGTAGGAATATACTGTTCAATTTCATAAGTAATTCAAAGAAGCTGAAATCAAATGCAAAGATAAAGACTATCAAATTAATTTCAATGTTTAAGAACTTTTAAAATACGCATCAAGGTGTTAACAATATTTCTAAAACATATCTAACGCTTTCTGCTTTCTATTTATGAAATAGAAAATTAAGAGAATGAAATAATGATTTTTTAAAAATATATCCTGTGATTTCTATCATTTGAGAAAAAAGACCAGAAATAACATCTCTGAGGAAATTTTTATTAAGACAATTCTATTTGAGAATGTGTCATAAATTAATTTTTATAATTCTCTGTTTTCAGAGGACTGAAGTCACTATGTTGTTTTCTGGTCCTGTATTTTGACTTAAGATCAAATTAAAACTGTTCAAAACCATTGAAATTACATCAGATATTTATATAAAGAAAAGGGAAACCCCCCCCCCCCCCCCCCCCCTAAAAAAAAAGGGCAAATTCATCTATGGTCAACTTTCCCTGTCAGAGGATGTTGAAAATTAGTTTATTAATATTTTCTGAATCTATCTATTTTTTTAGAAACATGTAATAAATCATATCAGTATTGAAGCACTGACTATTGAGATGATAACCAAAACCTTTGATTTTAATGGAAACATTTTAATTTTGCTTAGATCTTTATTCATACTTATCTAAATCACAAAATTCTGTATAGTGTATTAAAATAAATTATAAAATCTGTCTCATCTAAAGGAACTGGCTGCTGTAAAAACAATTTCAGAAATACTATCAGTTCTGTAACAAATTTTAACTTTTGGGTAATCCCTGGGGTTCAATGATCAAAATCTTTTTCCCGTATGATATATCAAAGAAACAGGTTCATTTTCAATTCAGAGATACCTCAAAGGATAAAAATAAAACACAAAATTGTATGGCCTTTAAATTTTGTAGTTCTGCAACTCTTTTCACAAAACATCTTAAGAGTAAAAATACTCGTAAGTCATACACATTTCAGTATAGTTTACGATCAATTTTACTCGTAAGATATTTTGTGAAAAGAGTTAATGACTCTTTTTTGCAATGCAGAAACATGGACTATTTATCTGATGTTACAACTTTACCTGAAATTTCCTTCCCTTTCTTTCTTCTTGAAGACAAGGTTAACAACTGGAGACATGAGTATTTTATTAATTATAGTGGCTACGATGAAAAAAGAAATTACTCCTACTGGTCCTAAATAAGTTGTACTGAAAATAAAAAAGGAAACTAAATAATAATGCTTACATGTAATTGGATATACAAATAAAATGTAAGAATCAAAATACAGATAGCTGATTCTTTCTTTTAAAATTGTTTCACGTTTCAATATCATCCTAGGGATTTTTCTAACTTACTATATGGTATGGGTTTTGCTCATTGTTGAAAGCTGTATGGTGAACTGTAGTTGGTAATGATTGTTCTTTGGTCTTTGATGAATAGTTGTCTAAAAGGCAATCATACCACATCTCTTGTAAAGGATGTTGATGTTCTGTGTTCCCTTATGAACTAACTAAAACAGTGTAAATTACACAAGTTGCATGTAAATGATTTATTGTACATTATACAATGAACGTATTCAGAAATAACATTGCATTATGAGAAAATTGATGTTTTGGATGCTCTGATTGGTCTTAATGCCATTTGAGAGGATACTGAGACTGTTCAATGTTCAATGCAAGTTCAACAATCAAGTTTGGTGATCAATTCTTATTTGCTGAAATCATGTTTCTAAAATTATATTTAAACACATCACAATTTGCTACATCACACTACACCTACATTCATGATATATACTATTGTTTCTCTTTTTATCAATAATGAAGTATGCACCAATCTTCAATGATTACATGTTTGATAAAACTATTGCCTTCTAAGGTAGGAAATTAATTTTGTGTTCTTAGGTAGCCTCTCTGATGAATAATATTCCAATCAGATGACAAAATAACCTACATATTCTTTATGTGATTGATATAGAGAAGTAAAATAATGTGTATCATTACCTTTGAACACTTTTATATAGATAGTATCCTATAGTAAATGGTGCTATGATCAATGGAGCAAATATGGTACTTAAGTAATAACAAAATCTCTCCACATCTTGTGTGATTCGTTGATCTCTGTAAAAATTATATACATAGATTTATCAATTTCATCTTGACACTAAATGCAACAAAATCTTTCTTTTATTAAAAGTCTTTTTTTTCACTTATCTTTCAATAAAATAAAATATTTTCATTAGAAGCAATACTTTTCATTAACCTGTGTTTAACGTCACTTTTAAATGTAATTATGAAATTACTAATGGTTCACAATACATCAGTCCGTTGAAATATCTCCTGAGCAGTACCAGTAACATTTCTTTAGTATTTCAATGCAGTCATAAGCAAATCAATAAATTCTGTTTATTTCAAATCTAAATTCATACATATCAATATGTTTTTAAAATTCCAATTTCATACTCACGGATTGTCTACTTTCCCAAAACAGTTGATGTTGTAATATACTGCATCTTTAAAATACAACCTATGCAGAGAATATGTTATATTGGCTCTCCATATAATTTCTAATAATGATGTGATATATGATACAGTACTTTTTATCTGAAACAAGATATAAGTCAAAATATTTTTTAATAAAACATAATACTAGCTGATCTAAAGTGTAAAACAAAATGAAATATATGCTAAATTGCTAACCCTTGTTTATTTAAAAAAAAATAACTACAATAAATTCATTTATAATTGCTCTTACATTGACTGCTAAATGCTGCATGTTTAGGGTTTTTGTGTTGAAGCAGCAAATATTCATTGTCACACCTTAAGTTTGTCCTGGCTTGGTATAGAACTTATAACATTTTGCACTCTAGCAAGCATCCCACCAGATAACTACTTTACCTGCTAACTTTTCAAATTCTCCATGGGGGATTTTTAGAGCAATGACCTAATGCTCCTGTTATATTATCATAAATGTTTTTAATCTACTACTATATTGTTTGAATGAGTATGTATGAGCTTAAATACCCTTTTAACTCATTTGAATGCCTGTTTTGATGGGTTTAGTTTATAGTAAAGGAATTTAAAAATTCAGGTCAACACCTCTCATGAGGGAAATCCTATAATTATATTTGAATAAATATTGTTAAAACTAAATGTGCATTGTGGTAAACAAAACTTAAAATCGTAATACAGCTAATATATTTTAAAATATTCTAAGAAACTACTTACAAATGATATAGATAAAATGAGTATTGCTGCCAAAATTGTTACTTCTTTAAAACCATTACTATCTTTGGTTCCAAATACTTTGTAATACTTGGATGGAATATATCCTATATTGAATACCACAACTTGTTCTAAAAAAAAGCCATAAAAATCAGTACATATAGCATTATATGTTTCAAAATGATGTCATGAATTATAATAAAGGACTAAACAATAGGCATATGAACAGGAGAATCAAAAATAAAATTAATAAACTGTTATCACAGAGATATGTCTTGCCTTTTTGTAATTTTGATAATGCAAATGTTGAAATTAAAATAGCAATACTTTAACATGTAAGTTATGCAAATATTCAAAGTCGATGAACCATGACTGAAGGTACATGGCTAAACAATCTCCATGGAATGAGATTTGCCAATGCTAATACAACTGCATACCAAATACCATTGGCTTATTATAAGTCGTTCCCTTTAAACAAACCTAAACACAAACATTAACTTGTAAACTATGTAAAAGTTTCAAAGTCAACGAACCATGATCAGGGGTGGGGCTATATAATATCCATGGAAACGATACATGCAAATGCCAATAAATTTGCATACCAAATATCATTGACTTAACATTAACAGTTCATCTAAAACTGATCTAATCACAAACTAATACATGTAAACTAAGCAAAAGTTTCAAAGTAAATAGACCATGACTGAGGGGGCGGGGCCAAATATTCTCCATGGAAATGAGATGTGCTAATGCTTATACAACTGAACACCAATTAACATTGGCCTACCACTAATGGCTCCCCTTGAACTGACCTAATCACAAACTAATACATGTTAACTTAGCAAAATTTTCAAAGTCTATAGACCATGACTAAGGGGGCGGCGCCAAATAATCTTCATGGAAATGAGATATGCCAATGCTTATACAACTGCATACCAAATATCATTGACCTACCACTAGTGGTTCCCTATAAATTGACCTAATCACAAACTAATACATATAAACTATGAAAAGTTTCAAAGTCAATAGACCTTGACTGAGTGGGTGGGGCTGAATAATCTCCATGGTAATGAGATGTGCCAATGCTAATACAACTGCATACCAAATATCATTGACCTACCACTAGTGGTTCACCATGAACTAGACCTAATCACAAACTAATACATTGTTGACGCCGCCGCCGCCGCCGCCGCCAGAAACAGCATACCTATGTCTCGCTTTTTTACTCCGTCAAGGCGAGACAAAAACCAGTTGTTCAGAGTATGAAAATGTATGTAGAAAGTTTTAACATCCAGTGTCATAATAATGTTTACTAATCACTGATTCCAGAAATGTATGGTTTCCATATATACTTTCACAAAATTTGTATTCATCATAATAAATACTGTACAATTTCATACATTTAATTTAAACTTCACATTTTACCGAACGGAAACTTTCTTTTCAGAATGTTGCGTTGCCAAATTACTTCAAAGACTTGAAGCTATGTAATTCATCACACTTATGTTTGCTATAAATCTGTTCCGTATTCCAATGAAACTAAAAAATGTGTTTATCAACAATAAATATGTGGTAAAAAGCTTTAACTGACTACAATAATGCTGAATAAAAAATGAAAATATGATTAAACAAACACATTAGAGTCCTTCATTAGGAAAACTGACAATCCTAGTCAATCAAGATTGTAGACGTAGAGTGCACCTGCGGGATTCCAACTCACAACCTCAGTGTTGACAGGCTACTGATTGTAGTTCAACTACTTAAACCATTCAGCCAACAAGGCTATATCAAAAAAATTTATAATATACTAAATTCATTATTTCATCTGTACTCCATACATGCCATAAACATAAAAAATAGTAACTAAAAATAAAGCTATGTATTTGACATATAACAAGCCTAGAAATATTTTTTTTGAGAAATATTTCCTTACACCAAACTTAAATAGAATCTCCTAACACAAAGTGATGTAGAATTAAATGGCCTTTCTGATGCGAAGTGCATGTGAAAACCCATTATGATTCACCATTTTTCTGAAGACAGAAGTGTGAAGTTGTATATTTTCAGCTAAAAGTTACTGTTGTCTTACCTAAGAGCCCAAGACAAAGTAGTAAAATACAAAGTAAAACATTTCCACTGTTCCATTTGGGAAACACAACTGTTGCTAATTTCAAAAATCTTTTGAAGAACACTAAGTCAAATTCTAACCTACAATATACAAGCAAGGTGTATGATGAATTTATCAAAACTCAGATTTATAGATGTTGATTTGTGACAGTGTATAAAATGTCTCTCAAGTTACAAAATAAATTAATATAAATTGTCATGCACACAGAAATCAGTATCATAATTTTTTGTTTGTGTTTTCCCTATTTATTATTTTAATGAATGTCAACATTAAATATGTTGCAAGGTCTTAAATCAAGATTATTAAACAAATTGTATTCATTCAGATTTTGATGGAATATTCAGCTTAACATTTTATGACATATTTGCCAGTAAAACATAGGACTTTAAAATATGCTGAATAGTCTGTTATAACCACATAATTGCTGTAGCATACTAGCCATATAAGCCAGACTTACCATATTAGCTCTGGAAATATAACAATTTATACTGAAATTTACCATATCTCTTATATTTTCAAGGTGCATAACTCCCATACAAATAATCAATTAGCGCTGATTTTCAAATTCTGAGATGCCTGACAGTATTGTTAAGTAAAACATAGGACTTTAAAATATGCTGAATAGTCTGTTATAACCACATAATTGCTGTATCATACTAGCCATATAAGCCAGACTTACCATATTAGCTCTGGACATATAACAATTTATAATGAAATTTACCATATCTCTTATATTTTCAAGGTGCATAACTCTCATAAAAATAATCAATTAGCACTGATTTTCAAATTCTGAGATGCCTGACAGTATTGTTAAGGACATTATTTTCATTAAACCCAATGAGAAATGTAAGAAGGTAAGGGATGGGCTTACAGTAATGATTTTCCATATACTTTGCATTTCCTAATTAACTCCCCCCCTCAAAAAATTTGAACCATGTTGACTTTCAAACTTGTCCAAGATATTGCTGATCAAAGTAAAACTTTGATATAAATCTAAATAATAAGAAATATTAGCTTCAGAGCACTTAAAGTGTTTTAATGATTTCAATATCAATTACACAGATTGATAGACAATAGATTGTCCATATTTTTGTTGTTGTTGAAAGGTTGAAATACTCAACAGATTTTAACACTGATAAACTTGAGGCTCTAAAGAGCCTGTGTCGCTCAGCTGTATCTTCAACAATGGCTACATTTTAGTAGATGACATCATTAAAGGGAATCAACTTTATTAAGACTTAACTGACAATTTCAGTCTTGTTGACATATTTGTAGATATTACAGGGTCCGACACTAACGGTTGTCTGATTGCCCGGGGCAAGTTGATGCCGTATTCGGACAAGTAAAAACATCATCTTGGATGTCCGATCAGGCAAGTGAAAAAAAAGTGTTATATGATTAAAATTTCACTAAATCAATAGTGTCTGTTGTTTTGTCCATAGATTACTCAGTGATAACACCGCACGGTTGAGTTAAGTGGTCTTAACCCCCCCCCCCCCCCCCCTTTTTCAATGCATATATTTCGTCATTTGTTCGCACTGAATTCCCCATTTTACCAAAAATATATCAAGTTTAAAAATATTGGCCAATCAGGTGGCCGCGACGTTGCTTCGTCATTATCGTTATCAATTGGGACACCACTCGAGCCTTTTCAACGCGCGTGTTGTTCCCACCGACCAATGGAAAGCGGAGGTCTATTTTCGTTGTTCTAACTTTAGAATTTTACATCGGATGTGTATTTCCCTAAGATGGAAAAATGTAAAAGCTTGAAAGAGAAAATGAAATTAAACTTTAACAAATTTGTCAGTTGTTGTCAGTTTATCAAGAAGGGTTTTTTGAAATGGCATTTCTTAGATAAATTATTATGAAATAAGTATCTCTATGTAAATGATCCAATTCCCGTATATTTGTCGATCTTAGCATGTAAAAGTTTGGGCATGTAGATTTCACTTTTGGACAAGTAAAAGTAATAGGGCACTTGCCAAACTGGACAAGTTGGTATAAAAGTTAATGTCGAACCCTGTATTATCCTGCTGATAAATTTTTCCTTTGTAAAGTTTTTATTTGTTTTTTATTGTTTTCAAGATGACAAGCAAAAAATATGTTAAAAATTACCATTAAAGGGCAACAACTCCAATAATGAGTCGATTGAAGATTTTAGCCATTACAGCATATTTGTGATTTTGTCTTGCTGATTATTGTACAAAAAAATGGTAAAAATCATCATTAAAGGGCAATAATTCTAATAAGGAGTCTACTGAAGATTTGAGTTATTTTGATTTATTTGTAGATCCTGTCCTGCTGATCATTTTTTGCTTTTCCAAGATTCTATATTTAAATAAGAAGATGTGGTATGAGTGCCAATGAGACAACTCTCCATCCAAGTCGCTCACACCGAACAGTTTTCTATCTATCTATTATAGATTTAAAATATTAGGCAATAATGCAAAAAATTGGTAAAAATTGCCATTGAAGGGCAATAACTCTAATAAGGAGTCGTGTGACGATTTTGGTCATGATAATTCATTTGTAGATCTTGTCTTGCTGATCATTTTTGCTTATCATATTGTTGTCTATCTATTATAATTTTCGAGATAATAGGCAAAATTTACAACAAAATGGTAGATTTTGTTATTTAAGGGCAATAACTTTTATTAAAAGTCATCTGAAAGTTTTGAGGTAAATGGATAATAGGTAGACTGCTCAATATTTTGAACATTTTTGCCCGTCTGTCAGATTTTATCTATTTATAGCAGATAGTTTTCAAAATGATTGGAAAAACTTGCATTTTATCCCTATGTTCTATTTTTAGCCATGTCAGCCATCTTGGTTGGCAGGCGGGTTCATCAGACAAATTTTTTAAACTAGATACCCCTATGATGATTGTGGCCAAGTTTGGATAAAATTTGCCAAGAATTTTCAGAGAAGATTTTTGTAAAAGTTCACAGATGATGACAGACGAGGGATGAAAGACGCCAAGTGATGAGAAAAGCTCACTTGGCCCTTAGGGCCAGGTGACCTAAAAAGGAGATGTGGTATGATTTCCAATTAGACAACTATCCATAATAAACTGCTTCGCTGAGCGCAGCTGGATACGCCTGCAGAGGTCTAACCCTGAACAGTTGGGGCAAAAATGGACAATATTCAAGCTTGATACAGGTCTGAATTTGGATTGTAATTAAATATTTGACATACATCTATTATAGGTTTCTGAATAAATGTAGTCAAAGAACTTGAAGTTGGTTATATGAATTGAATTTATATTCAATTAAAGATTTCTTGCTGTTGTGCAATACAATGTGCTGTTGCGCAATACTTATTAAATCTGTTGTCAGACTTAAACAAATAAAATTTATAAAATTCTGAAGGGAGCTTACATCAATAGATATAAACAGTTCACTAAAGTTTCATACGAATTGCTGAAAGCATTTTTGAGTTTTGGTCTGAAAACTGGAAAATCACCCCTTTTTTAATGAATAAACCCCATAATTCGGAAATGTAAAATCTAAAATTTATAAAATTCTAAAGGGAGCTTACATCAATAGATATCAACAATTCATCAAAGTTTCATGAGAACTGCTGAAAGCATTTTTGAGTTATTGTCCGAAAACTGGAAAATCCCGCTTTTTTTTATGAATAAAACCCCATAACTCGGGAACGTAGAATCTAAAATTTATAAAAATCCAAAGGGAGCTCATGTCAATAGATATAAACAATTAACCAAAATTTCTTGCAAGTTGGTGAAAGCATTCTTGAGTTATTGTCCGAAAACTGGAAAATCCCCCTTTTTTTAATGAATAAAACCCCATAACTCGGAAACGTAAAATCTAAAATTTATAAAAAACGAAAGGGAGCTCACATCAATAGATATAAACAATTCACCAAAGTTTTAAGCAAATTGGTTAAAGCGTTTTTGAGTTAATGTCCGACATGTTGACGACGGACGGACGGACAGACGGACGTACAACGGTATACCATAATACGTCCTGTAAACGGGCGTATAAAAACCAAAGAACAAAGATTTCAGAACAGGTCAACATACGATATGTAACAATAAGCAAATCCATTACCGTTACAGTCACTGGGGGTCTTTTCCTATATGTAGGTATACAAAGACATGCCACTGGTATTGGGTCACTTTTCAGAATATCAAAAGTATCAATAGGATATTATTTTATTAAACACTCATCTACTGCATAGATTTGTGTAAAAACTGTGTACTGATCTTCTTATGTAATTAATATGTATGATCCAGTGAAGTTAACATCTAATTAAGAAGTCACATACAGATTGTACAGAGTAGGCTACCAAGGGGGTCCATTAGCTCTGGGGCCTGGCAACTGATAGTAAGGGAATCATTAGAAAAGATTATTAATATCATTATTTTCCAGCTAGGTTCTACATCTAACTTTACTTTGATTAGGAGACTGTAGAAAGTGGGACCAAACTTATCCATGCTTGGGCTGACATTGTGTTTAAGAACAGCTGGCACTATTTGAGGCTAGTTTTGGCTTAATTCTAATTCATTGTGTACATATTTTTCGAAGCAACAGTTTAGTTCGAGCGTCCGTTCTTGTCATTTACATGTAAATTATAGAATATTGGTAAATAGATATATCACAAACACCGGATAAAAATAAACACTTTTTGTATTGATCAGAAGACTGTACGAATGAATGTAGGTTTTCGGAGCTTTTACTTTGTTTTGTTCTTATGTCTAAATGCACTCCTTTCTGGTGACATGTCTTATAACAAATGTTTGACTCTTTCACAAGATCATGCCCGTTTGTCCTGCAATACCGGAAAGGGATAAATAAACAAGAATTATCTCCCCTTGGATAAAATAGTAATCCTCAGCTTTGTTTTTACATAGATAGTTTCCTGAACAACTAATTACAAGTGAATATCTATCACAAATAAGATTAATAAGACATACTTGCTTAATGTAAACATCTAGATAATATACAACACCAAATCCTTATTTTGACATGATAATAAATCATTAAATGACCACTCTTAATATATACTCAGACAATATAGTCAAATTGTAGACATCCAACAAGAGGTGATATTAGATTATTTATATAAACAAATGCAGCACACATAAAAAACTGATGGTAATGCCATCATGACTCTGTAATACTGAAAAGAATAAAAAAAAGCACATAGAAAAATCCAGCAATTAACATATTAAAAGCTAACTGTGAAAACATAAAAAAACATGAAAAAGACATCCAACTTCTAGCTAGAATAATCAAAACAATTTATGCAGTTCTGCCAACTTTTAATAATGCAAATGCGTGAGATTTGGCCAAAATCGTAAAGATCAAAGAGAAAAAACAATAGATCAAAGGAAATTGCCGCCAAATAAGCATGAAAATGTGTGAGACTTGGCAGCCCTGTTTATGGCAAAAGTATCACAAAGGAACTATATATGGCTGATAATATACTACAATAACAAATAACATGCCCATGGATCACAGACCACATATGAAATTTTATACAAATTAACAAAACAAAACAATTCTGCATAAATAATCAAAGAAAAATTAACGACTTAAAACCAGACACAAACCTATGAAAAAACACTGCAGACAGACATTGGGCTCCATTAGGGTACCCCCATAAGTCACAATGTCACATTTAGAAATAACCTCAGGTCACCTTAAAGCAAATTTGAAAGCAACTGCATTTTACAGTGCAAATTTAAAGCATTTAAAGGTCACTGGTGCTTTTTAAAAAGATGTCGGGTCACTAGGCTCCTATACGAAATGTGATGGCTGCAAATCACACGGAAACCAGATGTAGCATTCATTCGTTAACCTAGCGTCATTGTTATATTTAGGGAAAGCATATAATTATCCAAACATCACACAGGCATTATTTGTTGTAATACTTAAATGTGTATGCCTGGTCAACAGAAAAACTATGCATATTATGCAAATGAGTATGACTGGTCAACAGAAATATAGGTCAAAATATATAATACTACACCTAATTATTAAATCAGTGTATGACCCTGTGCACATAAATTTAGGCATGTGTATTTGATACAATATATGAAAAGGCCATTAATGATAATTAATTCTATAAATTACAGTCCAATCTCACTAACATGTGTACTTTGAAAAATAATGGAACATATCATAGCTAGTCAAATATTATAACATCTAAAAAAAACAAATATATTATACAATTTACAACATGTCTTTCAATCAAAATGCTGATGTACGACAAAGCTATAATATCTTTTATACAGGACATGGCAAAAAAAAAATAATAACAACATACAAACTGAATTTTTTGTCATTATGATGGACTTTGCCAAAGCTTTTAACAAAGTCAGATCCCTCACAACAGACTACTGTACAAATTAAAATACACAATGGCATAGATAAGAATACCTTGGAATGGATTGGTGATTTCTTACATAAGTACACAGGCAGTCATTCTATATGGAGAACGATCAGAGAAAAATTAGTGTAAACTTGTCGACCTCAATCTTTGGAGTTAGACAATGTTTTATGGGTTAAATTCATGGTTCATATGATTTGGGCCGAAACACTCATATACTTTAAAAAGAAAATCTGCAAGGAACTAAATATCTGTATACTCCAGTTCTACATGTATGTACTAGTATTGCAAATATCTTATTCATGATAGCTTTACAAGCTTATTCAAATAATTTTAGGCTTTAGTGTTATAAAACATATAAACACATGTTTTAATTTTTTTTTTTTTTCATAGAATGAGCAATGTTAGACAAAGAAGACCTATACATACCCCACAAGATGATCAAATGGAAGATGAAGATGAAAGGAGGAGCCGTGACTCTGGATTGTATGTCACTCATTATAATTTTTATGCTCCACCACTAAGTGAATTTGCCCTGAACTGTAATTTTTGTGAGAGATTTATTTATGCTTCTTTTATAGCAAGGAGAAAAATACATGAATGTCAGTTATCAAAACAAATATGTCAAACTTCAGTCTTCTCTGATATTGTCTGTCTGTTTACACCACAGTATCAGTGGTAAGTAAGTAAGTAATCTTTATTTAAAGTCGGATTGCATATATACATAATAACAAGGAACATGAACTCTTAAGAGCTCTTTAACCGACTTTTACACCATAGTATCAGTGGGATAACTCTTTTTCTAGTTGAATCATCATCATGTTTTAATACAATGATCTTTGTTACTTATAAAAGGTTTGAATCACAAGTACAAATGGATATTATGAGCCAGCCTGTTTCAACACTAGTTACCTACAGATCCCACAATAAAGACTTCTTTTTTTATGATGCGGAAAATTTTGTCTTCAACAATTATAATGTTGTTTTTTTGCATTTCTTATTCAATTATTTCATGTTATATATCAACACTTTTTAAATGGCTCTTGCTAGTTTGGACAATTAATATAAGAGCCAAAAAACTTCAAATCCTATATTTTTAATTTGTTTCACCTTTGTCACTAATGACATTAAAAATCTATTTAACAATTGAATATAGTCCTTTTATTTATTTGTTATTGACTCAATACTGCATTGTGAACATATTCAGCAGAAATAATATTGTCAAATAAAGATCTTGAGATAATTATAAGCCAGTCTGCTTCAATTACCCAAATATGGATGGTCTTTAAATGGAAAATGATATATTTTATTGTGAAAGAAATGAAGCTTTCCCACAGAATCATTTGCACTTGACCTGTCGATTTAAACTTTTGTCAGTTCTTTCGTCCCATTCAAACATTACAAGTTGTTTTCTGACAAAATTCTCAGCATTGTTCCTATTGAAATCTGCATTTTTTGGGGTGTTTGTTTAGTTATAGAATACTTGTGAGAAGGCCTTAATTTAAACATTGTCATTTTCCAGTTTTTATTTGTTAAACACACAAAAAAACAAATTTCAGTAGGAACAATGTTGAAAATTTTGTCAGAAATCAACTTTTAATGTTTGAATCAGTGTTTATCATGTTTATATAGAACAGATTGAAAATATATTATTGATATTGAATAAATATAACATCACATGCAGTTTTGTGAGATGTTACATATATTTTCATCTACTATAAGATAATTTTTTTCTTTAGGTAAATTAATCAATGAGTGATGGATTTCTCTTAGAAGAAATTTAAAGGTCCCTTTGAATAAATTACACAGAGAACAATATCTATTGTATTTATTCAAAGGGACAAAATAACTGAAACAAGTGTAAATGCAAATGATTCTGTGGAAAGTTTCATTTCTTTCGCAATAAGTTTTCCAGATATATTAAAGTTCTGTACAAATCTTTATGAACATAAAATGTAGGTATCATTGAAGAGTAGTACATGCACTAATTCATACAAAGAACATAATTAAAAAAAAATTACAATATTATGTAGCTTGTATTGTCTCGCCTGCAAACAAAGAAGCAGTTGCAAGACATATGTATGGACATTTTCTAGACCTACACCACCATGCATTATGTAACTATAGTAAAGTATATGTAACTTATGTTTAACTTTTTTGCTTATAGCTGGACACATGCAGCCTTTGTTGGACTGTTAACAGCCCTGATTCTTACTCCAGTAATATTGATAATCATACCATCACCAATTGACCCTGTGAGTTACAGGTACGTCATATGTAGTTTTCTGCATACTAGTTTTATTACACAAACTATATTATGTTATTTCTATGTTTTGGCTTTATAAAATTTTATATCTTTGGAAGAAGATCTATCCGTAAAATTATTCAATTGTAACCAAATAGTTTCATCTTGGAAAACATTTCATTATCTTCACTGAAATTGGGAATTGATAGTTAATGATTTATTATACTGATCACTTGGTAAAATGTATGTGAGGGTAGCACACTCTTCCTACGATCTTTGTTATGATAAAGATATAATGCCAAGAGACTGTGGCAATAGGCATAGCACAGATAGAAGGATATCATGCTGACAAATTTCTTACTTTTTTGTAGGATGAGAGCATCCTGTATATTACCATTTTATACTTTTTACAGGGGGTTTATGGGCCATATATTGTCAAGTAAAACATCGATGACATCATCTAATTATGATGTCACTGAATTTATTTTTTGATGAATGAAAATCAATATGTTAATGTCATTTAATATTGTCAAGTGGAAGGTAATCACTTCTCTATTCTGTAATCTTTTAGACCATTGTTGTCCATTTGTTATTTTTAAGCACCCCATTTTTTTCTAGCTGAAACCCAATCCAGACCCTCATGTATGTGAAGAAGTGAATTGTAATTATCCTAGCTTTTCTCATATTAGCTTGAATTTTTCAAATTTCCATATTACATAAGTACCACTTCAGGAAAGATAACTCTGTATTATGATGTTTTGGTGGACCCCATATAATCTGTCATTATGTAACTAATGATATATATTAATAATCATGATAATACACAGTTCTTGTCTTTTGATCATTTTTATTGTTTTTAAATATTGTTTGCCTAGTTTTAAGCCAAGACCAGAATTAGTAGGGCCACTTGAACCTAACAGCCACTTACAGAAATCAGAACACATCTATGAGGGTCAAGTTTTAGGACCAGAATCTATAGTTGTTGAAGGAGGTAATTCAAGGTCTTACAAATTTATTTTTTCGAAGGAAAAGAATTAGTGTTTAATTCCTGCATATTAAATGTTCTTGTCAACTGATTTATGGGATGAAAATGTTTGTTTTCAGAAATTTTGCTATCTGCTAATATAATTATTATACAGGATAACTAACATCTATATATATATTTCTGTCATATGCAAGGATATTGTGAGGCCAAGTTTCTATTGTAACTCTTGAAGTAATTACTTTGTTCAGTATTTAGTGATTAGGTTAATTTGAGATGTAGTCTCATGTAATGAAAGAAAATGATATGGGGGATCAATTAATGAAACAATATCACTACACACATGATAACAATGAAAAAATCTAAAGCAATGGAAAAGCGGTTTTATTGCTGTTTTATACATACATCGATATTGTGGTTTAGCAAAGTTACTGTTTTTGAATTTGATATGAAGAAGGGCTAGACAAATATCTCTGTGTTTAGAGTTTTAAGATATAAAAGAGAATATAACCACTACATGAACAAAAAGGAGATGGGGGGTATGAGACTGACACAAAAAAACCAAGAGACATTTTAGAGTTCAATACATTGTCTTCAACAGTAGGCAACAGTCTATACAATATGCCAAACACTTAATTACCTTAAGGCTGAGACAAGTAGTGAAAAAATTTACCAGAGACAATCAATGGTCTATCATAACACCAAATTCTCCAAAATGTTTTGATATAACTATTTTCCAGAACATATTTATACTGGCACTATGGACGGTAAAATTCTTCATATCTACAAAGGACAAGTTCAGGTTCTAGCAAAGTTGGGAAAAGAACCATGTGGTAAATAGACTTAACATTACTTCTTGCTATTTGATTTAAGCCTATAACATTTTTATTGAAGAAACTCAGCTTAAAAAATTTATTGAATGGAATGGAATATATGTAAGAGATATAATGTTTGTATGTGCAGGCATGAATGCAAGTAGATTTCAGTAACACAAGTTTGTAAATACTAAGAAAAAGTTTTGTCTGCTTTCATCAAAATTAGTACAAAAGTCACTAAAGGGAGACCACATTTTAGTTTTACAGTCAAGGTCAAATGTAAGCTGAGATCAAGAGTCTAGATCAAATGCTTTCTTCGAAATGTGGGCCAAACAGTAGAGTAAAGAAGTAAGTTCACGAAGGGTTTTTTTTTTAATCCGGCCAAAATACTACAAATTTCACTGATATTACTATTAATACAAAATAACTTCATTTTGACATATCACATTAAAAATGAAGAAGTATTGACTCCTTAAGTATGCATTATTTGTGTTGTAACGTCAGATTTGGTCAAATTTTCATTAATAATTTACTTTGACCACCACTCGTGATCCAGGAAGATTTTGTGTCTAGGGATTCAATATCATCAGGTCAACTTTTGGTTACAGAACATTTTGGACCCTAGGTTGCAGCCACAGGTTTCCTCAAGCTTTTAGGTCCGAAAAATGCACAAAATCATCGTATTTTGACAATATCCAAAATGTAGTGATTTTGAAGCCAAGAATGTACTCTTATGAAGAGATTTATTTTAACAAAGAAGTAAAGCTTTTGAAATAGATCCATTTAAGAACCAAATTATGACCACTTTGAAATTTTATGATAAAGTTGAAATTCAGGGACGTATTCGGCTAAAGTGAACCTTGTCCTTTGGAAAAGATGATTAACTATTTGATTTAAAAGTTGATCGTTCAAATGCCAAATGTTTATTGTTAGTTTGTTCTAATCCTGAACATGCATGAAATATTTGCCACTGGACATTTAGCAACCAATAACCATACAATCAAATGCCAAGCAGATATCAAATTTTATTTGAAAACCTTGTTATCAATGTGCTAGCCAAAGATTTATTGGTCATTATGATTCTTGGTATACTTGATCATTATGAGGGTATAATGAAACCATTGCTTTTATAATGCTATGATGTAGAAAGGAAATAGTGTTGCATGGTGCTAAGTGTAGCAAGTCAGTCCTTTTAAGCTTTGTTCTTTTACTTGCCACAATCTTGTCAACAATATACAGACTAAAAACCTTAGTCAATATTCATCAAGCTTGGTAAGCGTTATAAGAATGAAGACAGGATGATGCCTATTTTCAAGGTGGAAGGTTTGGCAGAGGTCATTGATGAAGGTCAAAACCTTGTCAATTTGGCATTAAAGAAATATCTTGGTTACTCTCAATTACTCTTTGAAATGGTCATCCCTTGAGAAGAGGATTTTCCATATTTTTTTTTAGGTTGTTAGGTCAAAGATCAAGTTTAAGTTGATGTGAAAATACTTATTTTTGTCAATTTGATTTAGACAACCAGTACCAGTAATGGCTTGGTCTGTTTGTCATGCCCTTTTTCATATGATGAATATCTTAATGGGTATAAGGGTGAAGGTTTGGTACCATTGAAATGTTTAAACCCGCTGCAATTGTTTACACCTGTCCTAAGTCAGGAATCTGATGTTCAGTAGTTGTCGTTTGTTGATGTGGTTCATAAGTGTTTCTCGTTTCTCGTTTTTAGCTGACCGGGGCCCAAAGGGCCCCATGTGAGCTTATGCCATCACTTGGCGTCCGTCATCGTCCGTCGTCTGTCGTCGTCGTCTGTCGTCGTCGTCTTCTGTCGTCGTAAACTATTTCAAAAATCTTCTCCTCTGAAACTACTGGGCCAAATACCTTCAAAATTTAAATAAATGTTCCTTAGGGTATCTAGTTTATAAATTGTATCCGAAGTTTTGATCCATCGACAAACATGGCCGCCATGGCTAAAAATAGAACATAGGTGTCAAATGCAGTTTTTGGCTTATATCTCAAAAACTAAAGCTTTTAGAGCAAATCTGACATGGGGTAAAATTGTTCAGTTGGTCAAGATCTATCAGCTCTGAAATTTTCAGACGAATCAAACAACCCATTGTTGGGTTGCTGCCACCGAATTGGAATTTTTAACAAAATTTTGCAGTTTTTTGTTATTATTTTGAATATTATTATAGATATGTATAAACTGTAAGCAGCAATAATGTTCAGCAAAGTAAGATCTACAAAAAAGTCAATATATCCATAATTGTCAATTGACCCATTAAGGAGTTATTGCCCTTTAAAGACAATTTTACACAATTTGTTCATCAAGTTTGCTAACATTTAAAAATCTTCTCCTCTGAAACTACTGGGCCAAATACCTTCAAACTTTAACTAAATGTTCCTTTGGGTATCTTGTTTATAAATTGTATCCGAAGTTTGTATCCATCGACAAACATGGCCACCATGGCTAAAAATAGAACATAAGGGTCAAATGCAGTTTTTGGCTTATATCTCAAAAACTAAATCTTTTAGAGCAAATGTGACATGGGGTAAAATTGTTCAGTTGGTCAAGATCTATCAGCTCTGAAATTTTCAGACGAATCGATTAACCCATTGTTGGGTTGCTGCCACCGAATTGGTAGTTTTGACAAAATTTTGCAGTTTTTTGTTATTATTTTGAATATTATTATAGATATGTATAAACTGTAAGCAGCAATAATGTTCAGCAAAGTAAGATCTACAAAAAAGTTAATATGACCATAATTGTCAATTGACCCCTTAAGGAGTTATTGCCCTTTAAAGACAATTTTACACAATTTGTTCATCAAGTTTGCTAACATTTAAAAATCTTCTCCTCTGAAATGCAGGTGAGCGATTCAAGCTCTTGAGAGCCTCTTGTTTATATAGATTAGACCGTTGGTTTTCCCGTTTGAATGGTTTTACACTAGTAATTATTGGGGCCCTTTATAGCTTGCTGTTTGTTGTGAGCCAAGGCCCCTTGTTGAAGACCGTAATTTGACCTACGGTATAATGGTTTACTTTTATAAATTTTGACTTGGATGGAGAGTTGTCTCATTGGCACTCATACCACATCTTCTTATATCTATAAAATATCAGTACTGACATATAATTGTTATAGTATTGTAGTTACATTTTCAAAGCAGAAACTCTGTTGCACAGTATACCTGATGAAGGTTATTCCAGAAGCATGCATTGTGCACATGAAAATTATATCAATTTTGTGTGGATAACCAAGTAGGTACGTTGGTGGACACATGTCATACTGTGAAAGATTTACGAAAGAATGTTTCTCATTATTCTAATTACTTATAATTTTTTTTTCCAGGAGGTTTTGATAATGAGCCAACTTGTGGTAGACCACTTGGAATGAGATTAGATAAGAATGGCTACCTGTATGTTATAGACACATATCTGGGATTGTATCAGGTCAATGTTGCTACTGGTTTGTATCTTATATTATTATACTTCATGTCAAAATGCCAGATTTTGATTGGTTTATATGAGGGAGACAATTTACTCTATCCTATGGTAAATACTCTATTACCCTTCACGGAGACGCTTGATCAAGTGTGCGCTTTATTAAATACAGATAGTTGTTATGTATAAGACGTCATAGTTTATTACTTTGAATTTGAATTTTGATAGACAGTAATAACAGAACATTCAGTATAATAAATTAAATAACACATATCTGAGAGGGTGATAGAGCAGATTGTTTCCCCTCGAAAAGACATTGTCAACCTTGGCTTCTCCTCAGTTGACAATGTTTTCTTGGGGTAACAATCTGCTCTATCACCCTATCAGCTATGTGTTATTTATATAATGTACAAAATTGTAACCTTTGCTTAAAAAGTTAAGACACATTGAGAACACTATATAAATCTGGGGTTTGATAGTTTAAGAGGGTTAAGCTTGTAGTTTGAAAATTAAACAGATTGATAAATTTGTTTAACAAATGAATATTTAATAAATTTTGAAAAATATTTACCATGGTTATAAATGTCAATTTGGGATTGTTAAGTTTAAACTTTTTTTTACAGGAGACTTTGTTTTGTTATGGCCTACCACTGCTGAGATAAATGGTAGACCATCAAAATTCTTGAATGATTTAACAATAGCTAGCGATGGCATGATATATATGACAGATTCAAGTGCTAAATGGGACAGACGTCATAACAGATACTGCATCTTCGAAGGAGAAGCCACAGGAAGGTCATAAATATAGAACTTTAGGGTTGACATGGTACAATATGAATCTTTTCAATATAAATTAATTGAGGTGTGTAACCCATTAACACCAAAAATAAATATCTAGATGTTTATATATGATATTTAAATAACACCATATGATAGCCTTATAGTATACTCCTTCAAAATTTCAAACTGTAGGAAAGAAGTAGCTTACAGCTTATTTATGTTTTAAGATTTTATAAGCAAAGTCAATATTTTATCTAAAGAAATAAAAGATGTAAAAATGAAACAAATACAGGCTTACTACATGTACAACCTTTGTTAGTAAGTTATTATAGCATATACAGAGATCCAAAGGATAGGTCATCTATTGTCATGACAGTCATGATATTGCTAGCAGTCCTTTTAATGCACAAATCTGTTTTAGTTGATTCTTGTTGCTCAACTTAAGACTAAAGTTTTCTGTGTAGTGTTTTGTGGGCTCTTGTTCGTCTTTTTGACTTATTAGTTTTTGCCATGGTGTTGGAAGGAAACAGATGATGGGCTTTAAGTGATGGCAATAGCTAACATTAGCCCTTTTGGGACAGGAGAGCTCAAAAAGGAATATTTTGCCCTTTTTATACGACCGCAAAAATTTTTGCGTCGTATATTGGTATGACGTTGGCGTCGTCGTCGTTGTTGTCGTCCTCGTCCGGCGTCGTCCGAAGACACATTGGTTTTCGCACTCTAACTTTAGTTTAAGTGAATGGATCTCTATGAAATTTTACCATAAGGTGCAATACCACAAAAGGAAGGTTGGGATTGATTTTGGGTGTTATGGTACCAACAGTTAAGGAATTAGGGGCCAAAAATAAGCATTTTTGTAACTTCCAGACATAACTTGTGTGTTAGTGTATGGATCTCTCTGACATTGTACCACAAGGTTCCATATCACAAAGGGAATGCTGGGATTGATTTTGGGGGTAATTGCCTCAAAATATTAGGAATTAGGGGCCAAAAAAGGGGCAAAAAACAAGCATTTTTCTAGTTTCATGACAATAACTTGTGTGTAAGTGTATGGATCTTTCAGAAATTGTACTTCAAGGTTCCATATCACAAAGGGAAAGCTGGAATTGAGTTTGGGGGTAATTGCCCGAAACGTTTAGGAATAAGGGGCCAAAAAGGGGCCAAAAATAAGCATTTTTCTAGTTTCCAGACAATAACTTGTGTTTAAGTGTATGGATCTCTCTGAAATTGTACCACAAGGTTCCATATCACACAGGGAATGCTGGGATTGATTTTGGGGGTAATTGCCTCAAAATTTTAGGAATTAGGGGCCAAAAAAGGGGCAAAAAACAAGCATTTTTCTAGTTTCATGACAATAACTTTTGTGTAAGTGTTTGGGTATTTCTGAAATTGTACTACAAGGTTCCATGTCACAAAGGGAAAGCTGGAATTGAGTTTGGGGGTGATTTGCCCGAAACGTTTAGGAATTGGGGGCCAAAAAGGGGTCAAAAAACACATTTTTCTAGTTTCCAGACAATAACTTGTGTTCAAGTGTATGGATCTCTCTGAAATTGTACTGCAAGGTACCATACCACAAAGGGAAGGCTGGGATTGATTTTAGGGGTGATGAATCATAAGGGGGTTCAAAAAATTGGGGGGGGTTTTTTTTTTTTTCCTTTTTTTTTTTTTTTTCTTTTTTTTTTTTCTTTTAAAAATTTCCATTTCAAGTTGGTTATTTCTGATTTATATTTAAAAGCAAATAATAATGATATGGTAGGAGATACACACCAAACAGGATGTGTAAATTATTATATAATAAGTATTGTGCAATAGCAAGAAATTTTCAATTGCACAGTATTGCACAATAGCAAGAAATCTTCAATTGCACAGTATTGCGCAATAGCAAGAAATCTTCAATTGCACAGTATTGCGCAATAGCAAGAAATATCCAATAGCACAATATTGCGCAATAGCAAAAAATTGTCAATTGTGCAGTATTGCGCAATAGCAAGAAATATTCAATTGCACAGTATTGTGCAAAAGAAGATACTTCGTATAAATTGCTTATTTCTTGACCAATTTCAATGGGGTTTTATTCTGAAATTCTTGGGGTTCTTTAATATGCTGAATCTAACCGTGTATTAAGTTTTTTGATTTTGGGCCCCGTTTTTAAATTGGTCCACATTGAGGTCCAAAGGGTCCAAAATTAAACTTTGTTTGATTTCATCAAAAATTGAATTATTGGGGTTCTTTGATATGCCGAATCTAACCGTGTATTTAGATTCTTAATTTTTTGTTCTGTTTTCAAATTGGTCTACATTAAGGTCCAAAGGGTCCAAAATTAAACTAAGTTTGATTTTAACAAAAATTGAATTCTTAGGGTTCTTTGATATGCTGAATCTAAACATGTATTTAGATTTTTGATTATGGGCCTAGTTTTCAAGTTGGTCCAAATCGGGGTCCAAAATTAAACTTTGTTTGATTTCAACAAAAATTGAATATATGGGGTTCTTTGATATGCTGATTCTAACCATGTATTTAGATTTTTGATTTTTGGGCCCCGTTATCAACTTTGTCCACATTGAGGCCAAAAGGGTCCAAAATTAAACTTTGTTTGATTTCATCAAAAATTGAATTCTTGGGGTTCTTTGATATGCTGAATCTAACCATGTATTTAGATTTTGGATATTGGACCATAATAGGTGAATGTCCAATTTAAAATTTTTAAGTTCTTAGACCACATTCATTCTGTGTCAGAAACCTATGCTGTGTCAAATATTTAATCACAATCCAAATTCAGAGCTGTATCAAGCTTGAATGTTGTGTCCATACTTGCCCCAACTGTTCAGGGTTCAACCTCTGCGGTCGTATCAAGCTGCACCCTGCGAAGCATTTTATTATCATGTACGTTCATATATTTGTTTTTAAAACTGACTATCAACATTTCTATAGGTCTATCACTGAGTAAGACTCATTTATTTAAATATACATAACCATCTGCATAAAATCCTAGGGTTGTTTTGTTCCTGTTTGACAGTCCTTCATTTTTTTTTATTTACAGACTAATTTCATATGATCCGATTACTAATATCACCAAAGAGCTAGCATCAGGATTAGCATTTGCAAATGGTGTACAGATTTCCAGAAATGAGGAATATTTACTGATTTGTGAAACAACATGGGCAAGAATATTTAAGTGAGAAGATATATATATATCACTCATAGTTATTCAAATCAAAAGTTACTGTAAATAGCTCAAATATCTAAGATTAATTAAAGCTATTCTTAACTTTCAATGATAATGATGATGTCTTACCAAGTAATGTGAATTTCACATTTGAAATAAATACTACTTTGTTAAAACGCGATAACAGATTAGTTTCATCTTCCTTGAATCCAAATGGAACCTAGGGAAAACCACATAAGTAACTTAGACTTCCCATTAGTGTTCTGTATAATCTGTGTATTGTCACTGGTATCGGGGTCCTGCTGCAGCTTTGTATAAGAGAAGTAACTTGCTCTTATGATATTGTACAATTTAGAATCAGTATTTAGATAAAAATCAGTGAAAATATTGTTAACACAGGGGTTTCTGCTTTATTAATGCCCTATCACCTGCCAAAACACAATGCTCTATTAAGAATATGACCGAAATTGTAGTCAGTGTTTTGCATAGATACCAATTAAATGGTATAAGCTTATTGAAGTATCTAGTGTTACATTACAATTTGTTTTGAATATTGAATAAATAAAGACCATTATCATCATAGATTGAAGACAAAAACGGCACAAAAGATTGGTTATTGATTATTTTCAAAACTTAAGCTGTGGCAATTTTAAACACTGCTTACCTTAACATTCCAGACAACATTATCATATTGTACTTATAGAAAAAAAAATTCAGAATAAGTTAAAATTTCATTTTCTTACATTATATCTGTATTTTGAAATTGCTTTAGCCTATAACATTATGATTGCAATTTATTAAAGGTATCATCTGAAGGGACCTAAGAAAGGGACAATGGAAGTATTTATGGACAATCTTCCAGGACTCCCAGACAATATCAGACTCAGTAGTGGTGGTGGCTATTGGATTGGGATAGCTACATTGAGGAGTAAAGTCTATGAATTCATGGCTAACAAACCTTGGTTAAGAAAACTGGTTGCAAAGGTATTTATTTGGTTCACTGAATCACTGTTACTTTGCCCTATTTTTAAGTCCCCCTTAAGCTTTGGCCCCTAAAACACAGTTTTATTGATGAATGAGTATTTCCTTCATACTTTTTTGTCTTATTTTCTGATTGACTGATACTTTTTAAAAAAATATTCTCTTTGCTAGATTTATTTGTAGGATCATTGTCAAATCTAAAAATGGTCATATTTGCATGTTAAAGCCCAACATTATATTAAATATTTTACAATTTTGTTACATAGGTAAGGTTTAGCGACATATACTCAAACATCAAATCCTTTTTCTCTTTTATAAAAAAGTTGGTCAATAGTAGGTAGTTTTTGAAGCAATAATTTATGGATACACCAGGATTAGTTACTATCTTTTATTTATCTGTCCACCAAATGATAGAAGTTTTCATTTAAAGGTCAAGTTACAGGAAATGGACTATGTCACAGATGAAATGCTATGTCACAGATTTTGCTTAAATTTTGCAACGTTGGCTCATTGAACTTTAACTGAAAATCGAAAAAAATAATGCATTTATCTCTTTTATCATCCGAAATATTACTGATTGAATTTTTTCACAATAGGGAAACATTTGTATGGAAAGCACATAAAAGCGTTGAAAAACCTTAAATTTGTCTTATAATCATCTAATCTCTAATTTCTAATACATACATTTTTCTTTAAAAACTATATGTGGTTGATACAAATTATCTGTTTTAATGATCTAAAATAATGATATGGTCACCGACTTCGTTTTTACGGTATACATCATTGAAAGTGGTGTTTGATATGAAAAATGCCACAAAACGTCGAAATAATCGTAATGTCATCGTGTTGCAGGCCGTAAATAGTTAGTTTTTGACGTTTTTCACTTCCAACTAGGTAACAGATTGATTATTAGACAAAAAATGAAGTCGGTGACCATATGATTATTTTATATCATTAAAACCGAAATTTATGTATCAACAACATATGTTTTTTTAAAGAAAAATCTATGTATTAGAAATAAAGAGATTTGATGATTTGAAGACAAAATTAAGAAGGTTTTTCGCTGATATTATGTGCTTTCTATACAAATTTAAACCTATTTTGAAAGAATTCAATAAATAATATTTTAGATAAAAAGAGAGATAAATGCATTATTTTTTCGATTTTCAGTTATAGTTCAATGAGTCAAGGTTGTATGCAAAATTTAAGCAAATTCTGTGACATAGCCTAATTTCTGTTCCTTGACCTTAATCTAAATATTCACAAGTGTTTTACTTAAAATTATAAAAAAATATTTGTTTGATTTTTGGGGGGTTCATCTGTACTTAATAGTAAATATTTAATTGTTTTTTTTAACTATTCAAATATTCATTATCTAATAGATTTCAATTAAGTGAATGCCAAGATAGATTTATCTTATTCAATTATTATGATTTAAATTTCAATATATTTTTCAGATTATTTCACAAGAAACCATAATTAAACTTGTACCAAAATATGGATTGATATTAGAAATCAGTTCAGAAGGGGAGATAATTAGAAGCTTACATGACCCTACAGCAACAAAAGTTCCAAGTGTCAGTGAAGTGGAAGATAAAGATGGTGTATTGTATTTGGGGAGTTATTTCTTACCACACATGTCAAGGTTATATCTAGGGAGGCTGAAAACCTGAACTCGGCAAGATAATGTTCAGAATATCTAGAGGGACTTCAGCAATTGAAAGATAACAAGTCAATTGTTGCTAAAGATTTGCATTCCTTGATTCTGCATTTTGAATTTATGAAATGTAAATCTATATGATTATAAGAATTAGTATGGTCAATATGCTGTGCTGAGAAAAGAGACATATCACATGTAAATTTGTATCCATAAGAAAAACAAAACATTGCATTATTATTTTTATCATATTTTTTTGAACCCTGTATTACAATTCCACTTTTGTCAAATGAATATAAATGTATGTAGTAGGTGCTTATTTTATTTACTTATTCACTTTTTAGCTCATCGGGGCCCGAAGGGCCCTATGTGAGCTTATGCCATCACTTGGCGTCCGTCGTCGTCGTCTGTCGTCGTAAACTATTTCAAAAATCTTCTCCTCTGAAACTACTGGGCCAAATACCTTCAAACTTTAACTAAATGTTCCTTAGGGTATCTAGTTTATAAATTGTATCCGAAGTTTTGATCCATCGACAAACATGGCCGCCATGGCTAAAAATAGAACATAGGGGTCAAATGCAGTTTTTTGCTTATATCTCAAAAACTAAAGCTTTTAGAGCAAATCTGACATGGGGTCAAATTGTTCAATTGGTCAAGATCTATCAGCCCTGAAATTTTCAGATGAATCGAACAACTCATTGTTGGGTTGCTGCCACTAAATTGGTAGTTTTAAGGAAATTTTGCAGTTTTTTGTTATTATCTTGAATATTATTATAGATAGATATAAACTGTAAACAGCAATAATGTTCAGCAAAGTAAGATCTACAAAAAAGTTTTATATGACCAAAATTGTCAATTGATCCCTTAAGGAGTTACTGCCCTTTAAAGACAATTTTACACAATTTGTTCATCAAGTTTGCTAACATTTAAAAATCTTCTCCTCTGAAACTACTGGGCCAAATACCTTCAAACTTCATCTAAATGTTCCTTTGGATATCTAGTTTATAAATTGTATCCGAAGTTTTAATCCATTGACAAACATGGCCGCCATGGCTAAAAATAGAACATAGGGGTCAAATGCAGTTTTTGGCTTATATCTCCAAAACTAAAACTTTTAGAGCAAATCTGACACGGATGAAATTGTTCTAAAGGTCAAGATCTATCAGCCCTGAAATTTTCAGACAAATCGAACAACCCATTGTTGGGTTGCTGCCACTAAATTGGTAGTTTTGAGGAAATTTTGCAGTTTTTTGTTATTATCTTGAATATTATTATAGATAGATATAAACTGTAAACAGCAATAATGTTCAGCAAAGTAAGATCTACAGAAAAATTAAATGACCAAATTTGTCAATTGACCCCTTAAGGAGTTATTGCCCTTTAAATACAATTTTAAGCAATGTGTTCATCAAGTTTGCTAACATTTAAAAATCTTCTTTCTGAAACTATTGTGCCTAATACTTCTTAACTTTGAATGAATGTTCCTTTAGGAATCTAGTTTATGAATTGTATCCGAAATTTTGATCCATCAACAAACATGGCCGCCATGGCTAGAAATAGAACATAGGGGTGAAATGCAGTTTTTGGCTTATATCTCAGAAACTAAAGCATTTAGAGCAAATCTGACATGGGGTTAAAATGTTCCAAAGGTCAAGATCTATCAGCCCTGAAATTTTCAGACACACCGAACAACCCATTGTTGGGTTGCTGCCACTAAATTGGTTGTTTTAAGGAAATTTTGCAGTTTTTGGTTATTATCTTGAATATTATTGAAGATAAAGATAAACTGTAAACAGCAAAAATGTTCAGCAAAGTAAGATCTACAAAAAAGTTGAAATGATATGAGAAAGGTGAGCATGCCTAAAAATCAACAAAAACTGTCATCGTTTAAAAGTAATTAGAGAAAGAGATTCACCACTGCACCTCATGCAATGTAATGTTTTTCCTCTCTTACAAGTAACTTGAATATGAAATTTCACTAGATGCAATGATAAAATCTATATTACACTAATTTTTTGTGCATTTAATTGGTTCTGACCAATGTGATGTATTTAAACAAAGTGCTTGAAAGCACTGAAGGGTAAAGATTGCTTTAATTTATAAGTGGGAAGTAAAATTAAACATTGCATTGTATAAAGCATTGGTTGTAGTTGATTCAACTACAATTATGGACAAAGGAGGATAACTCTAATTTTAAAGATTACTTTAACAATGACATCATTGATATTTTTAGAACCGATATTAGATTCCTGCACCTTGCACAATTTATGTAATTTTCTTGACAAGTATAACATCATTTTGTAACTTGAATATCTGAGCATATATTTCATTGATAAATTTCTGGAAATGTTCATGGATTCGATGTATAGAATGTTATGATCAATGCACTATATTTTGTTTATCTCAAAAGCAGTGATAAACCTTGGAAGATTTAGATATCAAGTCAGTACCATAGGATTTTTATTGCATTTCATGTAGTCTTTACCCAAAAACCACACATTACTGGTAAACAAATTGTCACTCATATAAAATTATTCTATCAAAGGAGTAAGTTCGGTAAGGCCCCGATTATAAAGTTCAATGTTGTAAGATGAAAAATGTTTTAAGTTGACTTAAAGACATGTGAGAAAGTTAAATATAACTTGTTGTTTCAAAGTTTTATTCTAAAGCGTTGATTTTTACATCCCAAATAGGTCAAGATTCAAGATTTTGGCGAAATTTGACAAAATCGGCCGGTTTTCAACCAAAATTAGGAACAGGAAACATAGAGCGCAGGCGCAGACAAACTAAATATTCAAGTTAGAAATGTAAAATGTCTTTACAAACATTATTTCAAAAGATCTATTTTGTCGACGTATGCACTCTACATGTTTCCTGTCCAATAATCAATGTAAATTTGCCAATTTTCTTTTATTTTTTCGTGGAAAATCAAAATGAGTACTATTTGTGATTTAAGAATAAAACATAGGTACGTAAATTTTTATCAAAAGGCTTATTTCCTATCTAGTCACTGTATTAGCTATGATTCATTGTGATATTGGTCAATAAATCCTAATTTGAAATTTAAGCTAAAAAACGGGGCCATTTTAGGGCCTTATCGAACCTACTCCTTTAATTGAATATTTTACTCAAGTCTTTTTATATTAAGTCATTACAGAAACAGATTCCACCTTTCGACATCTTAAATTCTGATATTTGTCAAATCTTGATAATTAAATCTCATGTTTTACTACAAATGTATCTCAAGCGAACAAATATTTAATCCAACTGGGTATTCGGTAGAATCTAAAAATATATTTTAAGTTATAAGTACTGTAAACCAACTTATTTTCGTGGGTACTTTTTTCATGCTTAGCCCTTTCTAGCTGACTTTGCAGTGATTTATTTTTCGCTATTTTCTAATTTTCTTGATGTATTTATATAAGGAATATCCAAGTTGTACATGTTCAGGATTGATATTTGCTTTTTTTTTTTACGTGAAAGTCACCAAAATAAATTGACTGCAAATTATTTCTTTTACATTATCTTGTTTAAGATGTGTGGATGAGTTCAGTGAAAATTTTTTGAAAAACTGCTGCATTTGGGACAGTTAGGCTAGACAATTTTAATGAACTAATTTGACTTTTACTCACATTTGGATGAAATAACCCAAATTGTCATATAAACTTGTAAATTGATGAGCAATTTAAAGCTGATTTATTTAACAAAATGATATCTGTTAGATTTTAATGTGATTATGAGTATTATTAATGTTCTTTATAAAGCATTTAGTAATGAATTGGGCATTTAATTTTACTTTGTTTTTTTTTAATTTAATTTGTTTACTGGATCATATTCAGAATGTCTATTAAATGTATTATCATGAACTGAACGTCAATTATTAACAAATTTCCTCTTAAAATGTGAAGGAAGCAAGAAGAAAATTATGAATATTGTAAGTAGAGGTCACGAGTTATACCCCTGTACACCTAAACGTAAAAATTTGCACAGCCCATTTTGAAGCAGAGAAGTGATTTATGTGTGGTACTTTTTATTTTTAAATGGAGAAATTCATTTGATTCTATCTTATGGTAATACCATTGTTTCCAAGTGCAGACGTTGATTCAAAAGTTTAAAAATTTTATAAGGGGAGAGAACTCAAGAACGTTCTGTTGTATCATATAATGTACTGTATTTATATATTTTCTTAAGAAAACAAGTATAATGACTTCATATTTACTTTTTGTTAACTGAAAGCTTGTTTTAGAGATATCTTTGAATATTTTATTCAAAGATTCTAGCTTTTAGTGTACTCCTAGTAACAAGATAGTGTTTTTTCCATGTATAATCCACACATAATATGAAAATTTTGCAGTCTGTAACTTAAAAATAAGCATGGTTATCTAAATCTTTTTTCATATTTTTTTTTTAAATAACAAAATATAAACTTTATTTTGGCACAGCATATAAAACTCCATCATTTTTTGTTTACACTTCACTTCAATAGTATTTCAATGTTTTCCCTGGATCACATTACTTCAAAATTCAAAAATTCTTAAAGTGTACTTTGACCCAATTTATTTCTATTTCATGCAAAACACATGCTGAAATAAATTTGGAAGGTATAGGGAAAAAATCAGGACAAAATACACAATAAATACAGACTAAGTTGTAGACCAGGAAAAAATAAAAAGGACAATTATTGTATCATTTCACTTATTTTGTGGCACCTATATGTTCGTCAATAGAAAGACATTGATTATATATTTAACATTTGTATTAGGATTTTTTTTTGCTTCAAAGGTGATAAAATTTGGAAAAAGGAGTTTTTATGGTTGTTGTTATATTAATTTGTTTATGATTTAATAAATAAAATATTCCAAATTGTAAAAATTCATTACATTTGTAGTGCTCCTTTTAAAATATCATGAGTTATTGTGGTGAGATCTTCTCAATAAAAATCCACAAAGCTTACACATATGTAGACAGACATCCATTGGGAAGTCTGAAATATTAACCAGTTGTCTATAATATACCAAATATGATTCTCTATTTATATAGATTAAAGAAGATATTGGGATAATGTCGAAAAGAAAGCTACCCAAAAATATAAGTTTACCAAAAATAGAATTTTAAAAGTCACCATATGGCCTTTAACGATAAAAAGGACTTACACCAAATGGCATTCAGGCATTTACGCTCTAAATTGTGACAAGTCTTGACAAGCTTTGAATAAATTCACTGGGGAATGCCAACATTCTGACATCAATAACAAATTCTAAATAGACAGAAAAATTGAGACAGCAATATTCATTGACAAATTTTGCTTACTTGCAACAGGCACCTAAACATGTGACAGGGTTAAAATAGTTTTGTTATTGTGTCAACGCTACCCCTTATATCTTGATCATTGGACAAAATATGTTATCATATCAAAGCTAGTGACCCATGAAATACAGATCAATTCAGCAACATCTTTAGGCTTATGGTCACCATTTATGCACACCACATAGTGTTACTGTATGACAATCAATTTCTAACCATCTGTGATTGGACAAGTGCACAGACTTTGATGCAATGGCAAGGTTATTCAAATTATTATGGCAAACTAGAGTATATGGTCATTTTACCATGAAAACAGATAAAGAAACTTCATAAAACAGCAGGAATGCAAACAAGGTAAGGATTTTGTATCAGTAGCATTAACACAGCATTATAAATGAATTAGCCAATATGAACCAAGATTGCTCTAAAAAGTTATTTAATGAAAGCAGAGAAACACTTATTTTTTCAACAGGAGTTCCATAAATCTGAATGACACAGGAACATCTCAAAATCAAATGTGAGCTTACACTAACCCTTGTATGGTATAAATTACTTGAGATTTGGTCAAATGACGGACAAGAAGAATAATGTCTAAAATCCACAAGACAATCAAGGATAAATTGTTTTTTAACACATAGAAATGTCTCGCCTCATTGTTCACACCTTGTTCTTTGGCTTATGTATAGTTATTTCATTGGCAATTATACTGTAAATTGGGATATTTTTGTGGTTTTTAACTAAATTGTAGAGGTTTTGGGGTGTCAAATTGTGTTTTACTTATATATAGTAGATTTGTACACAGGTCAAACTTGTTTAACATCAACACATTATGTGCCTGTAGTAAGTTAGGCTATCTGGTCAATATTTAGTTTATGAGTTGTTACTTGTCTTCTGTTTGTATGTCTATTTTTTCCAGGAGTCGATTTTGAGTGTGTTCTGTTTTACTGGCCAATATTTTGGTAATATTGTTATTCTTTTTATGTATTATGTACACCTTACAATCCTTCTTTATTCAAATATAGTTGATCTATGGTTTACAAAAAACTAACCATATAAAAAAAAAGCTTAATCAATGAACCATGAAAATAAAAGACAGAAACTTCAGAGCATAAGACATCTGGATACAGTTTCATGGCAAGAAATGAAAATGGGACAAATCAGATGGATACTTGAGCCAATAACGCATTGCTATAAACTGTTATATTTAAACTTACTAAAAAAATAGTCATAGAATAAAACTACGATAAAAACTTATGTAATGCAGCCGTTTATACTTAAAACATGAAACCCAAATATACAAAACAGTGTATAATCCTTATTTTAAATGCTAATAAAATGCTCCGCAGGGCGCAGCTTGATACGACCGCAGAGGTCGAACCCTGAACAGTTGGGGCAAGTATGGACACAACATTCAAGCTTGATACAGCTCTGAATTTGGATTGTGATTAAATATTTGACAAAGCATAGGTTTCTGACACAGAATGAATGTGGTCTAAGAACTTAAAAATTTTAAATTGGACATTCACCTATTATGGTCCAATATCTAAAATCTAAATACATGGTTAGATTCAGCATATCAAAGAACCCAAAGAATTCAATTTATACATGTTTAGATTCAGCATATCAAAGAACCCTAAGAATTCAATTTTTGTTAAAATCAAACTAAGTTTAATTTTGGAATTTGTCCAAAGGGTCCAAAATTAAACTTAGTTTGATTTTAACAAAAATTGAATTCTTAGGGTTCTTTGATATGCTGAATCTAAACATGTATTTAGATTTTTGTGTAATCTAAATACACGATTAGATTCAGCATATCAAAGAACCCCAATAATTCAATTTTTGATGAAATCAAACAAATTTTAATTTTGGACCCTTTGGACCTCAATGTGGACCAATTTAAAAACGGGGTTCAAAATCCAAAAACTTAATACACGGTTAGAATCAGCATATTAAAGAACCCCAAGAATTCAAGAATAAAATCCCATTGAAATTGATCAAGAAATAAGCAATTTATACGAAGTATCTTCTTTTGCACAATACTGTGCAATTGAATATTTCTTGCTATTGCGCAATACTGTACAATTGACAATTTCTTGCTATTGCGCAATATTGTGCTATTGGATATTTCTTGCTATTGCGCAATACTGTGCAATTGAAGATTTCTTGCTATTGTGCAATACTGTGCAATTGAAAATTTCTTGCTATTGCACAATACTTATTATATAATAATTTACACATCCTGTTTGGTGTGTATCTCCTACCATATCATTATTATTTGCTTTTAAATATAAAACAGAAATAACCAACTTAAAATGGAAAATTTTAAAAGAAAAAAAAAAGGAAAAAAAAAAAATCCCCCCCCCAAAATTTTTTGAACCCCCTTATGACTCATCACCCCCAAACTCAATCCCAGCCTTCCCTTTGTGGTATGGTACCTTGCAGTACAATTTCAGAGAGATCCATACATTTGAACACAAGTTATTGTCTGGAAACTAGAAAAATGCTTATTTTTGGCCCCTTATTCCTATATGTTTTGGGCAATTACCCCCAAACTCAATTCCAGCTTTCCCTTTGTGATATGGAACCTTGTAGTACAATTTCAGAAAGATCCATACACTTACACACAAGTTATTATCATGAAACTAGAAAAATGCTTGTTTTTTGCTCCTTTTTTGGCCCCTAATTCCTAATATTTTTGAGGCAATTACCCCCAAAATCAATCCCAGCATTCCCTGTGTGATATGGAACCTTGTGGTACAATGTCAGAGAGATCCATACACTAACACACAAGTAATGTCTGGAAGTTACAAAAATGCTTATTTTTGGCCCCTTTTTGGCCCCTAATTCCTTAACTGTTGGTACCATAACCCCCAAAACCAATCCCAACCTTCCTTTTGTGGTATTGAACCTTATGGTAAAATTTCATAGAGATCCATTCACTTAAACTAAAGTTAGAGTGCGAAAACCAATGTGTCTTTGGACGACGACGACGAAGACGACGCCAACGTCATACCAATATACGACCGCAAAAAGTTTTTGCGGTCGTATAAAAATATAACTTGATAATTTAAAATGAACAATTTGCAGGGAAAATATTTAAGAACTTGCAAACTCATGTGGAATTATAAAAATGTATGATAGAGTTAGTATTAACAGTCTGGACAGTATTGCAAAGATGGTATATACAGTAAAATTCCAAACTAGGTGACAGGTCCAAGTGATTCGAATATAAATGTTGACCTGCTACCGAGACCAGTTGAAAAGTCTCAGCTTAATTCTCTAGTTCTCTCTTTATAAATGGCTTATAAATAAAAATTTTGATGTAATACTTGTTTGTTTACTTAGTGGAATATGATTCCTTAATATCTCTGGGGGCACCTTGATATAATATACTGGAAACCGACCCATTTATGCGACATTCGTGAGTAGAAAAATAATATGAATATGAATCAATATGAATATGTAAAAATTGGATATACCCTTATATAAAAACATCAAGAAAATTAGAAAATAAAGAAAATAAATTGCTGCAAAGTCAGCTAGAAAGGTCCAAATGTGAAATAAAGTATCTATGAAATTATATACTGTCTTTTGGAAAGGGAAATATGGTTTGATTGACTTTTGAAAACTAACATTCACTGAGGCCAACGGTACAATACTTCCAGCCAAAAAAAAAGAAAATAACAAACATAAAATGAATCCACAGTATATATATACATATTTATTGTCGTTTATTATCAATAATAGAACTCTATATAAATCTTCACAATGGCACACATTCCTCAACAATAAAATAAAATATTCAATATCACTCAATAAGAACATATCTCAAAAGTCTTGGTATATTTCCATTTTTGTTTGGTCAAAATGATTCATTTGGAGTATTATAAAATGACTATTTTACCTCATAAACGCAATAGAAAAAGAGAAGTATTTTGAGATCACATAAAACCTGACAAGTACAATCTATACTCTTGCTTAAACTATTGGTAGAATTGACTAATTAAAAAGGAGATTATGAATAAATAAAGGTTTATTACTATGTAACCCGTATCAACCAATTCAAACTTTTAAAATGCTTACTCACAAAATATAACTTTACAAAAAAATATTTGAAATTCTGATTGTCATTTTTATCCTCATCATATCAAATGAGCTTCCATAAGTTAAAACTGAAAATGCAAACTTAAAACTGTTATTTTATAAACACTGTTGCAAACATCAGTTAAACCATGGGGTATATTCTTCACTATTTCAATATATTTTATTATGTAGATAAGAGAATAATCCAAAAAACAAAATATCTTTGCAGACAATAGTACACAATTATGGAAACCTGCCATTTTTCTAAACCGCTTAAAATGAGATTCTTAAAAGATTTAGAAACTGAACATCAAGTCATTGGTACATGATCATCAAAAGGATAATGTTCTTTAAATTGTGTACAATGTGATTTCATGAATTCCATTTGTTTTTGTATTCTAGGTGGCATTTCATCATACACATCAGTAAATAACATCTCTGGATTGGGCTTCTTTCTTTTCTCTGCTCGAGCAAAGGCTTCCATCACCTGTTAGAAAATAAAATGTGTGTACTGTAAGGCTTTGATTCATATTACACTCACCAGTGTCCTTCCAGGGAAACACAGAGAAAGTTTGAAATACAATAACAGAATGTTGATGACAATCATAGTATCAGGTGGAACCAAATGTTATTAATAAACCTTAGAGAAAGTCATGACTATAAGAATCATGGTAAAAAATTATTGCATCAATATACCCCAAGGCTTATGTCCTTTGGTGGACACTGGTTTTTACCATCAATTGAAGGTTAAGATATTTACTGGCGTATATATGATTCAGAGATTGATTAAGGTTCACCATGTTGGGTTACTGTACTTCACAACCCATAATATAAAATTTATGCAAACTAAAGTTAAGAGAACGGAAACCAATTTTGGGACGTACGGACGTGCAAGGGTAAAACTTAATGCCAGATGCGCTACGACAGGGGCATCCAAATAAAACAACTCAAACATAATCAAATGAGAAAACTTGTCTATTGCTAAAAACAGTCTAGTTTAAATATATATTAAGGTTTAGACTAAGCAACATACTTTTTTCTTTGACTTTTCTTTCCATGCAGATTCTTGTTCATCACTCCACCAGCCTTGGTTTTCCATATAGTTTCTTAACCTATGAATGGGAGATTGGTCGTCCCATGACATTATCTCCCCCTTTTTCCTGTAGGTAGAGCTGTCATCTGATGTACTGTGATGTCCAATTCTAAAAAAATAAAAGAACAGTATCAAAATGTCCCCAGCTGATGCACATTCTTTACCCATCAAAGGGCAATAACTCCAATATATTTGTTATTGTTCTTTTAGTATTTTTCAGGCATTGCCAATATAAACCTTTGCTATAAATTTCACAAAAATCTGGCAAGAATTGTATTAAGGAGGATGTAAAGACCTTATGGACAGATGGATGGGTGCCTTGTATTTGATGTCTATTTCTATGTCCCCCACACAATGTTGCAGCAGAGGTAAGCATGTACTTGAGATCCAGAACAGCAGTGTGGTACAAAATTTAACCAAGAGTGCACAGGCTTAAATGTCTTGCCTGCTTTACTGACCATGATTGAAATAATGTTGAAGATCTTAAAGATAAAGGTTTTACTATGAGTATCAAATAAAAATTAACATTGTCAATGATCCGTGACAATAAGGTCAAGGTCAGATGATACATGCCAGACAGACATGTACACCCTACAATCATTCCATACACCAAATATAGTTGACCTTTTGCCTATAGAATCAAAGAAACAGACCAAACCATGAAAACTTAATATGGACCAATGAACCATGAAAATGAAGTCAAGTTCAGATGAACCCTGCCAGACAGACATGTACAGCTTACAATTACTCCATACCGGGTACACCAAATATCAGAATTCTTGAAAACCGTCAGTTTTATCGGTTTGGCCTATAAAAAATTAAAAGGTCCAACAAAAATTATCCATAGGTCTGTCCAGATGTCCAATTGTAAAATTCCAGCAATCTTACTATAGTTGGGATATTCGTGTCAGTTCTTGTTACAGATTGTGGTATAAGTATGTCCCAGAAATTTTGGAACACTCTGATTTCTTCTCTATAATATATGATAAAACACAAGAGTTCGACATAAAGACAACAACCACATGGCCTCGTGGCCTGTATCATTCCTCAACCAAATTAAAAGTGGCATTAAGAAGGACATGACAGAGTTAATGAGAGAGGTTGAATTAAGGAGTCGGATTGAGGGAGATGGAAATATAAGGGGAGAGCTAGTGACAGAATAGAGGAAGAATGTGTTATTTACTGATAAATAGTTGATCGTAAGAGCTTTCTTAGCTCATGCTTATCGTGGATTTTACATTTTGCCTACTCTAAATAAAATTTACATGCTAATAGTGAGGCAGGGAGTGATTGATAGTAAACAGAGTGAGAATAAGACTATAAGACATGTTCAGAGATACCAATAATATAAAATCAACAGATGTTTAAATAAAAACATTAACTTAAGTTTATTCAGCAAATATACAACAACAAAAGCTTTAATAATTTCACCATAATATATAAAGAAGTCTTGACAATAGTTCCCAGTCCACTGAAAAATTTTGGACTGACAAAATTTTGTTCAGGATGACAAAAACTAAATTAATGTCAGCTCAAATGACTGACATGTGAATTTTTTTCTCAAGAACTCTGACATATAGTTGACCAATTGCTTCAAGTTTTTGAAAAAGAGACAAAAACTTATCATTGAAAAATGAACCATGAAAATCAGGTCAAAGACAGATTATACCTGCAAGACAGACATGTACACCTTACAATCATTCCTGACACCAAATATAGTTGACCTATTGCTTATAGTATTTCAAAAACAGACCAAAACACAAAACCTTAACATTGACAATGGACCATGAAAATGAGGTCAAAGACAGATGATACATGCCATACTGACATTCACACCATACAATCATTCCATACAACACATATAGTTGATATACTTCTTATAGTATCTGAGAATCAGACCTAATCATGTAACTTTAAACCTTATTCACCGATCCATGAAAAGAGGTCAAGGTTAAATGAACCCTGTCTGACAGACATATAGAAGTTGCAAAGAACTCATATACCAAATAAAGTTATCCTACATAGTTATAATAAGTGAGAAATGCACATGACAAAAAAACTATCCTTTTTATCAAGCAATCGCTAAACCATGAATATGAGATCAAGGACAATGAACATTTGACAAACATACAATATTTGTATACAAAGTATGAAGCATCCATGTCTCCTCAACTCTAAAATATAAAACTTTATACAAATAGCTAATGCTGTTGCCGCCTGATTGTAATCCCTATGTCTCGCATTCTGCAACTAGGGGAGACAAAAATCCAAATCCTAGTAAGATATTTTTGGGCAATTCTTTTTTAATTTACAAATGTTTAATAATGCAAGAAAACTTTATGAACTGTCATGCCAAGTTAAATGTAAGTCATGGCTTAAGTAAAATTCCTTCTTGCATAGCAATACAGGATGAGTCATTTTTCATACCTGTAAGTCATAGCCTCAATTAGTACAGGTCTCATTTCTTTGACACACATTTCTCTTGCTGCCTTGGTTGCATTATATACTCCAAATACATCATTACCATCTACTCTTATTGTATCCATACCATATCCTGCTCCACGAGATGCTGAAAAATTAAAATATAATTTACACAACATGTCTTATATTAACATATTTTTTCAGAACAAAGACCAAATTTAAATTTTGCCAAACTTTGGGAAAATTGCATTTAATAATGTACTTTTAAACATATGACACAGTCATTAAACTTCTGGCTACACTGTTTTAATGAGAAAAACTCTAAATTATCCAAATAATTCATGCAAAAAATAAATTCTTAAAAATAGTAAGGACAGGACAAAGACAATCAAAATTGCTTTGCAGCAGCAAAATATCCCACTTGACACTTAAAGGGGCATTAGGTACGAGATATAAAAAAAATATCAATCATTAATGAAAATGAAATAATAATTCGCTTTTAGCAGCCAGTTAGGTTCAATTTTGTCAAAATAAGCTAAGAAGCATCGCTGATGAATGATTCACTTGCAAGTGAATAATTCAACCTCACTGAATCTGTATTCATGTGACCTTCAATTTAACCCCTTATCTAGAGATAGGTTATGCATGAACTAGGCGTGTTCAGCTATTAAAAGGAAAAGAATGTCAACATTGGAAGTGAAACAAGGGTAAACCAATTGGGTGACTGATTCGATCCACAAAAACTTATTCTTATACAGGTATAAATGATGATTAACATATCTATTTAACCTAAAATATGAAACCAACAGACCTAGAAAAATCCAATTGCACGAGTTCGCTTTCTATTTATATCTCTATTTATGTTTACATCGGGTTATATGACCGTCTGCAGTCTTTGGAGGTCACCACGATGGTTAATTAGATGGTGTCTAGACTAAAATACATACTAAATGCTGATACATATTATCGTGTTCATGCATCGTAAATTGTTTATTTTAGACTTTTTATAATTTGGATATACGTTTTAGTATGTTATTATTCTAATATGAGAATTTGAGTCAAATCAGTAAACATGAACTTGACATTTATACCTCTTTAATAACTTTACAATATTAAATTCTTGAGAGTAGACTTCAAAAGAACAGGTTCACATACATGTATTACATGACTGTCAATATTTTCCCTAAATTGTTGTCATTTGCTTGGAAATGTGGTCATTTTTGAAAATAAGGATCTGTTGTGTAAATTTTACCATATAATATTTATATGCGAAGTGACAATAAGTAGTGATCAAACTGTCAAACAAAATGTGTAGTATTTTTATGCTACAAAAGGCCAACAATCAAAGTCCAACTACTCTTCCAAAAATTGTCAATTAAAAACAGTGGTATTAAATGGCCAACTAAACATAAAGACAAACAACCCTACCATATATAAAGTATAAGACAATTGGTCTGAATGAAGGAGCTTTCACTAGGTTTACTAATGCTACGAATGGCTTAAAATGGTTAAAGTCCAATAATAAGCATGTAAATTTAGTATTGTAAACTGAATTTATGGTAATAAGATGTTTAATATGTGAGGACAAAAACAACACGTCCCTCAGAATTTCACAGACTTAAAACTATTTGTGATAGATTAATAAGTAAACAAGTAGTTACCTATACCATCTCCTCTATACTGGTCACTTGTAGGTGTTGATATGGCATAACCATTGTTTCTACTGAAAATTAAAATATACAAAATTAAATGAATTATTTGGGCTTTTACCTTCAGTGTCACTAGAGGTTCTGTTAGCTAACATCATACAATGATATCCCCTCTAATATTCTTCTAAATCTATAAACTATTCATCTTAATCTATAAAGTATTCATCTTGACCTTGCAGACTATCATCTCAACCTTATTCATAGCACTGCCTCTGGTGGTGGGTAACGATAATACATGTATCAAACGTCATTGTCGGCTCTATGGTCGGGTTGTTGTCTCTTTGACACATTCCCCATTTCCATTCTCAATTTTATAAGGCATTAAAAAATTCTAAGACAGAAGTAACTTTGTATATTCTAATATGGGAATACAAAGTTAAACTATAATTGTAACCTTGAACTTGCAGATTGACATTCTAACCTTATTTGTGACAAATGCTCTGGTATTGAAAGCAAAATTATATTACCAAGTATCATTAAAAATTCAAGGCATACAACAGTTTTGAGATGGCACACTACTTGCACAGACAGAATGATTCCTATATCCCCTCCCAAACTTCATTCAAAACTAATTTAATTTTGAAATCTTCGATAAACTTTTTTGCCCTACACCTTAAATCTAACTGAGTACTTCTCAGCTTAGATATTTATCTCCATTATAAATTATACATATGTATACTTATTGCAGCAATCACATCTCATAAACACAGATAATTACAGATTTACTTACCAAAAAAATATAATAGGACACTCTAGTGTAGCAGCAAAATTAAATGCAGCATGTGCATCACCTTCTGATGCTGCACCTTCTCCAAAGTAACATATCACACATAACTTCTTACCTGCCCTCTTTAAGGCATAGGCAGAGCCAGCAGCTGAAATAAAGTAAACTTATTCAATAACTATACAATGGTTATCTCAAAACAACTATAAATCATATATTAAAATAAAACTCTGAAAAGTCACATCATAAAAATGGAAAAGATGCTTGTCTTATGGACCTATCATAGCATTAAAGGAGTCAAGCTAGGAACCCTAATAAACGGCCCTGTAAAGGTTTAAATTTTAAATTTTTATTGTTTAAGTAAATATAATGTGTATGTTTTGTTAAATGTGATATATTTGAAAGTATAAGAAGAAAAATTATAAATCTGCTTCATATTAATAAATATATTAGCCTGAAAGAGGAATAGATTTCATTTTCGTTCAATTTTCTTGAAATTTGTCAACCCCTCACCCATTGAAATTTTGGTTGAAAACTAAAGAATATGGTAAATCAAGAATATTTTGGTAAAGAGTGGCAACACTGTTAATTTTTCAGAAAACTGTCATAAAATTTGCAGTATTCAGCAAAAAATCAGGTTTTAACGAAATTCATCTACATTTATGACGTCACAAATTCATCACTAATGAGGCAATTGGTGAAAAAATCATTTTTAACTGAATCACTTGGACATTCTAACATTTGTTTTCAAAAATTTTCACAACATTATCATTATTAAAATAAGTCTCATAACATTTGGTTGAGGCTAACTTAAGTAGAGAACAGAAACTAAAAATTCAGCAATTTTTCTATTTGTAAACACGCATAACTCTAGAACGGTTGTGTATAAGTTTTATAACAATCGGTTGAGACAAACTAAAATATTCAGCAATTTCTATGTTTATAAAGGGACATAACTCAAGAATGGTAAAAGTGTCGCTACCAAATTTCGTATTTAATCTGTATTATGTAGTAATAAGCATTGTGTATAAGTTTCATAACATTTGGTTGAGGCAAACTAAAGTTAGAAAACAGAAACAAAAAAATTTGTACTTGATCTTAGTTTTGTGGTAATGAATTTTGTGTATAGGTTTCATAATGTTTGGTTGGGGCAAACTTAAGTTACAGAATGGAAACTAAAAATTTTGCAATCATTCGATTTATAAAGGGGCATAACTCAATAATGGTTAAAGTGACATTACCCAAATTCAACTTGATCTGTGTTTTATCAGTGTAAGTCAAAATTAAACATTGCATTGTATAAAGCATTGATTGTAGTTGATTCAACTATAATCATGGACAAAGGAAGATAACTCCAATTTTAAAAATTACTTGATATTTAGAAGAAAATAAAAATTTTGCAATTTTTCCATTTATAAAGGGGCATAACTCTAGAACGGTTAAAGTGACACCACCAAAATTCAAACTTGATCTGTGTTTTGTGGTAATAAGCATTGTGTATAAGTTTCATAACATTTGGTTGAGGCAAACTCAAGTTAGAGAACGGAAACCAATTTTGGGACTTACGAACATAAGGACGGATGTACATACAGACGGACAAGGGTAAAACTTAATGCCCCCTCCGCAACGGCGGGGGCATAAAAAACCTGATTTTTAGGGCCAAAATTATGAGTTAGTGGACCAACTCCTTTGTGTATACATTGTATAACAAACTGTATTACTATTAGATATGTTAAAAAAGTGAAGCGTTTCAACAAACAAATTTCAATAAAACTACAATGGGGAAAAGTCAAAATAAATGTAAATGTGTGGACATGATAACTGTTTCCAAAATAAGATTCATCAGTTTCTCTTCTGAACAAAATTTTGGAAGCAAAATACATCAAGCATTTAAGAGCATGTTCACACTCACTAAGGGCTTTGACAGACCAGCCAAAACAAAGGCCAGGAAGCTTTAAGAATCTTATAAACTATCCATATACTCTGTATTCTCCATATTTTCATGGGTTCAAATTAAGAAATCAATTCTATGTTGGTCCTATATCTATTAATGCTCTAGCCATATGAGGATCTAACTGTTAAGGGTACTACTAAAATTTGTCTGCTTCAAAATACAAATGTTAATGCTAATTTTAAATTAGTTATGTTCTATAATAAAAAGATATAAAAAACATGTTACCTTGAGGCATTTGCGTTGCTAGTGTTGATGATATTGTAACAAAATTTAAATCTTTAGAACCGTAATGAACTGGCATCTGTCTACCTTTACCAATGTCTTCACAGTTACCGTAACACTGATTCATAAACTGGTCTAGTGTAAAACCTCGCCACATCATCACTCCTACAAATTAAAGAACCTTAGTGAGCGCGCTCACATACCCCACGTCCCCACATTGTCATTGGAGAAATAAAATATGTGTAAGAAAAAAAAATTGTATGAGAAAAAAAAATTGAATCATAATTTCCTGTCAATATGCACATCTACATAGTATGTCCTTATTATCTACAAAGTTTCATGAAATTATGTTGTGTGGTTTCAGAGGAGTTGCTATGCCAAACTGTTGTAGAAGTACATTGAAGCAAATAAGTTCAAAGGGGCGTAACTTCTAGAAAAAAAATTGAATCATAATTTCCTGTCGATATGCACATCTACATAGTATGTCCTTATTATCTAAAAAGGTTTCATGAAATTCTGTTGTGTGGTATCAGAGGAGTTGCGATGACAAACTGTTGCAGTAGTACATTGAAGCAAATAAGTTCAAAGGGGCGTAACTCCTAGAAAAAAAATTGAACCGTAATTTCCTGTCGATATGCACATCTACATAGTATGTCCTTATTATCTAAAAAGGTTTCATGAAATTCTGTTGTGTGGTATCAGAGGAGTTGGGATGACAAACTGTTGCAGTAGTACATTGAAGCAAATAAGTTCAAAGGGGCGTAACTCCTAGAAAAAAAAATTGAACCGTAATTTCCTGTCGATATGCACATCTACATAGTATGTCCTTATTATCTAAAAAGGTTTCGTGAAATTCTGTTTGTGGTTTGAGAGGAGTTGCGATGACAAGAAACAGGACTGACGGACTGACGGACGGACAGACAGACAGACGGACGGGTCAAAAACATTATACCCTCCGCAACTCGTTGCGTGGGGTATAAAAATGTAAATTGATTCCTACACTGGTTTAACCTGAACCCTCGCCACTTCATTACACCTGCAACAATTGTAAACTTGATTCATTAACTGGTCTAGTGTAAAACTTGCCACATCATCACTCCTACAAAAAATTCGTAAGGGTTCCGCAGAACACAGTGTCTCACCTACTTTTGCTGTTAATCGCAGGCTCAACAAAAATGAGGAAAAAAAATAATAACAATATTCCTTTCAATACAATCTTTTGATTGTAAGAAGCTTCTGCCCAAGTTTGGTTAAAATCCAGGATAGTTTATAAATCTAATAAATGTTTTAAATCTTTAACTGCAGACTGCAGGTAATGTTAACTGGAAGAAAAACTAAGTCCATTTATAAGTAAAATACGGATAAACAGGTACAAAATTTTAACAAAATTTCCTTCTAGATACTAGCTTTTGATCATAAACAAGCTTCTGACCAAGTTTGGTACAAATCCAGGATAGTTTAAGAAAGTTATTAAAATTTTAAAAACTTTAACCACAGAGTGAATGTTATGTTTCTTGGCAGAAAAAATATGTCCATTTATAAGTTAAATACAGAAAAAATGGAATTTTGTTTTTTACAAATTTACTTCTGGATACTATCTTATGATCATAAACAAGCTTCTGTCCAAGTTTGGTAGAAATCCAGGATAGTTTAAGAAAGTTATTAAAATTTTAAAAACTTTAACCACAGAGTGAATGTAATGTTTCCTGGCAGAAAAACTAAGTCCATTTATAAGTAAAATACGGAAAAACAGGATATTTTTTTTACAAAATTTACTTCTGGATACTATCTTATGATCATAAACAAGCTTCTGTCCAAGTTTGGTAGATATCCAGGATAGTTTAAGAAAGTTATTAAAATTTCAAAAACTTTAACCACAGAGTGAATATTTGTAGACGCCGCCGACGACGCCGACGGAATGTAGGATCGCTATGTCTTGCTTTTTCGACAAAAGTCGAAGGCTCGACAAAAATGTAAATTGTTTCCTTAACTGGTTTAACCTAAACCTTCACCACTTCACAACTCCTGCAACAATTGTAAACTTGATTCATTAACTGGTCTAATGAAAAACCTGCCACATCATCACTTTTGCTTATGATTGTCGAGCCTTCGACTTTTGTTGAAAAAGCGAGACATAGCGATCCTACATTACTTCGGCGTCGTCGTCAGCGGCATCCACAAATATTCACCCTGTGGTTAAAGTTTTTGAAATTTTAATAACTTTCTTAAACTATCCTGGATTTCTACCAAACTTGGAAAGAAGCTTGTTTATGATCATAAGATAATATCCAAAAGTAAATTTTGTAAAAAATAATTCCATTTTTTCCGTATTTTACTTATAAATGGACTTAGTTTTTCTGCCAGGAAACATTACATTCACTCTGTGGTTAAAGTTTTTGAAATTTTAATAACTTTCTTAAACTATCCTGGATTTCTACCAAACTTGGAAAGAAGCTTGTTTATGATCATAAGATAGTATCCAGAATTAAATTTTGTAAAAAAAAATTCATTTTTTCCGTATTTTACTTATAAATGGACTTAGTTTTTCTGCCAGTTAACATTACATTCACTCTGTGGTTAAAGTTTTTAAAATTTTAACAACTTTCTTAAACTATCTTGGATTTGTACCAAAATTGGACAGAAGCTTGTTTATGATTAAAAGCTAGTATCTAGAACTTAGAAGGAAATTTTGTTAAAATTTTGTTCCTTTTTTTCCGTATTTTACTTATAAATGGACTTAGTTTTTCTTCCAGTTAACATTACATACAGTCTGCAGTTTAAGTTTTTAAAACATTTATTAGATTCATAAACTATCATGGATTTTTACCAAACTTGGACAGAAGCTACTTACAATCCAAAGATAGTATAGAGAGGAATATTTTTATTAATTTTTTTCCTCATTTTTGTTGAGACTGCGATTAACAGCAAAAGTAGGCGAGACACTGGGTTCCGCGGCACCCTTACAAATTTTTTTTTCTAAGGACTCAAATTGTAATTTAACAAAGTAACTGTACAACTACATCAGATACACTCTTGCATTCTGTCACGATACTCAAACAGACACACCAAGTTCATCTTAAAAGCAAAGCTCATTAAAGTAATACACTGAACATAATTTAAGTGACATTTTTAATTAGTTCTTATATTATCCTAACAATTATTGATCTTCTGGTAATTAGGGAAATATGTCATAAAATTAAGATCTCTCAAAAACTTTTCAAAGAAGTTCTGAAAGCTTTTTACTTTAAATTAAAACAGACTATCTATTGTGTTACCTGCTTCCCTGTACTGTCCAAACACTACATCCTGGGGATCACAAGCAGCTGCTGATCCTATATGTGTACCCTCCTCTCCATAGTTTGTCATGTAAAATGATATTCTTCCTTGACGTTGTGATTCGTACAGAATACGATCCATGGTGTTCAGCAGAGTCATACTGTGATACATCTTCTGGACTGTTTCTTTGTCTAACTACAAAAACATAAACCAGTAACACTACAATTTCACATTTTACCAACACCAAGACTAAAACTTACAATGTAATTTGCTATAATTCTTTAATGTATCTCAAGTGGTTCAGTTTTTTGCAAAAGATAAAGTAAAATGGTCAACAAAGAATATATACATTGTGCAGGTTTGTATTTCCTGTATGCAAAATAATTGTATGGACTGTATTACTGTGGATTCATTTATTTTCAAATTCATGTATTAAATATATCATGATATATACAAATCTTCATGCAATTGGTTTATTCTATTTCAATTTTATGATGAGCAATTTAAAAAAATTACTGTCCACGAGAACTTAGTTTAATTTTAGTATTATTATATAGGTCCAATTTCCTTTGAAATCTTGGAATTGTGAATAAAAAACCAAGCTCTGAAGGGAAAGATTCCATTTCCCCCAAAAATAACCTTGTTTAAAACTAACCTTAGGATCTAAACCTCCTGGTATTATTTCTCCTTTAGCATTCATTACTCGGTAGACAGGTATTCCTTTGAAGTCATCTGGTTTAATAAATTCTAACTTGGTAGAATACTCTGATCGGGATCCTGGAAACTGTGGTCGATCCTTATAAAACAAAAGAGAAAAATAAAATTAATACCATTTTTGGGATTAGATTTCCAATACATGCCAAAATAGCAAAAAATATGTTCTATTTCTATATCGTTTAATATCATCAAAAGATATAATATTCATGAATATAAAAAGAACGAGATGTGGTATGATTGCCAGTTTCACAACTATCCATCAATATGTATCTTTTAAGCATAAAGTAGTAATATGTATTTTTTGGGGTGTCAAAATGTGTATCTTTTTGAGCATAAAGAATTATTATTTATTTATTCTATTTTTTAACACAGACACGGGATACATAAAAGTTACAATCACAAGTGTGAGACAAGATTTTTTTAGTACATATATGCAGTAAAACAATTAACGGTAAGCCATTCATCTGTGATAACAATTGAAAATAATGAAGAATGTGTCCATGAGATACAAGTGCCCCCAGTTGTAAGTATAAGGTAGATTCTGCAATGTTTCCATTTAAAAAGGGACATAACTCAAGGATGGTGAAAGTGACGCCACCCAAATTCAACCTTGATCTCAGTTGCGTTGTAATAGATAAGTATTGTGTATAAGTTTCATAACATTTGACTGAGGCAAAATAATAAAGAGAAATAACTCAAGAACTATGAAAGTGAAGCCACTTTACTTCAAACTTGATCTGTGTTTGGTGGTAATAAGCATTGTGTATAATTTTAATAAAATTTGGTTGAGGCAAACTAAAGTCAGTCAGGGGTACTACTTGTACAAGTAATCTTTATTTACTTGAAGAAGTAAATAGTAATATACTTATGTAAGTAAATTATAATGTTTGAATAATCTCTCCTTAATTTTCTCAAAAATTTACTTGTATAAGTAATTTTTTTTTACAATCCCGAAAAATTCTCAAGTTTTGAGATGTAAAAACATGCCTTTAACAAATTTTCTCAGGTTGGCTCATAATTTTTTTTATAAGAGTTCAATGTTTCATCTCATTAATTCAACAAAGAAACTAATTGCGCAAAGATCTTAAGTATTTGCGCAAGGCCTTCAAAAATTGCCCCTAATGGGGTTTTGTAAATGAGCAGTGTTCTAAAGATAACAGACAAATGAGATTTTCATTGTCCATGAAATTACACTTAAATGATAAGAAACGACATCTGCAAAGGACAGACAATTAAAAATTCTATTAGAGCAAAAAGTCTGAAGAAATTCAAGAAAAGAAGATGGGATGACTTTTTTACTTGTATCTAAGTAAAAAAAATCTGAATGTCTAAGGGACATATCTAAGCCAAAAAATAATTTACCTGTACAAGTAAATAAAATACATTCGTATAAGTATCCTACAAATTTACTTATATAAGTATATTAATATTTACTTCTTCAAGTAAATAAAAATTACTTGTACGAGTAGTACCACTGACTGACTAAATTAGGGATCCGGATGTACGGAAAGATGTACAGACATACAAGGGTAATTTCCTTTCCGCCGCGGTAAGGGCATAAAAAACATATTATATCTGTTAGTTTCTAAATATCTGTTAGTTTCTAATTTTTAATGATTAAAAAATATAACCGGAGTCCATGTGTAAAATGCGACTAATGTAACAACACCAACCACATTTTGACGACTGGAAGACGATGACAGTTGTCTAGCTTGGGAACCTATTATCTTTGTTATTCTTGGTGAGAGAAAACGTCCTAGCAATGCCATTTCGTTTTCTTCGACAGATATGTTGTCCTTCAAAAGAAATACATAGTAAACAACTGTTTAATGGAAAACTCTAGAGAACGTTCACAAGGGAGTACTAGTTTCAGACCAATCACGTAATCTGTTATGATAATTACTCTGTCGGCGTAATCCATATCAAAATTACCATTTTTCACAAACACATAGAAAACTGAAAAGCTACACCAAGGATTTATAGTATTTTTTACTATACAAATCCTTGGCTACACGTATAGAAATAAATATAAAAACAACACGAACCCATAGAAAAACCAGGGGATTGGGGTGGATCTCATGTTATCCGGGAGTTAAACCGTTTTCAAGACGTATTTCGGTAGCCTGCCATCCTGACTCAATCTAATACTTCGTGGAGCAGTGAGCCAGGATCCCAGGCTAGTGTTTCGGTTGTAATGATTCCAGCAAATCTCTAATGACAGTGTTGTTTATGCAATTCCCTGGTTTTATTTAGTGATTTGCCTGCAAGAGAAAATGATAAAACGGAGTAGTACTTAAAAGCAACGTGCTCAAGAAGTCTAACTTAACTTTTTAAGGTATAAAGGTTAAAACTTCGGTAATAAGAGTTTGTTTCCCCCCTGTTTGTTCGTAATTTTTAAACACAGTTTGACCAGGCTGAGTGTTTATTGTCAATACAGTTCATAAGAGTAAATTTTTAGGCAACTTGGAGGCGATTTTAGAGAAGAACTTGCATGTAGTCAACATGGGAACCAATTTAAACGACACTGTGTGACAACTCAGTGCAATTTTGTCAAACCAATCTTAAAAAATACCAAGAAAAAGGGAACTAATAAGGTTTTACACGTTCTTATTTTATTCTGAACATGTTTATCTTTGAAGATGTTATAACTTTATATTGAAAGGGTTTTTGACAAAATTTAGGCTATTGTATGTCCCTTTGAATAAATATATTTGCGGATGTCAATCAAATGATATTATATGGTCTCATATAAAATTTTGGAATATAGCTGACATTTCACAACATTCAATTTTTTGGTAACCGGCAGTAGACATTGAATGTTCATATCAACACTTTACACGACAAATTGCATATCTTGTATACAATTAGTCTGTTTCGAAAATTTACTTCTCAATACTAGCAGAGAATATAATACATCATATATTCTCTGATACCTGGGACTATTATGTCATGTCCCAGCTGATACCAGGTAAAGTTTTCGTTTGATTTTTAATACCAGCTGTTGTTTCCTTGACATTTAGCCCAAAACTTTACTTTGCAATGACAAGGGGAAAAGTAGTACATATTTGATGGAAAGCAGATACTAGTTGCCTTCATTTTCCTTTCAAAATTTTGAGGTTAAGTTAGTCATCATTTTTCAGTATTTTTTTTTATATTTTAACGCTGTGTTTCGTTCTCTCACTTCGTGAAATTGTACACCAGAATATTTAAAGCATCTTGCTGCAAAAATCTATATAAACATTTTGTTTTTAACTTGTTAATTTGCATTTCCTAGTTACAAAGTTTTAAAAAAAACTAATCCTGTACTACTACTTTTTTATTGTTTCGAGTCATTCTCAATTATCATTATTAGTTGTGGTGGAAAGTTACTAATCTGAATGAATAAAGTCGAGGAAAATAGCTTTTCTGGTGTAATCTCCATACTTTTGTTTAGTTTTTTTTTGTATAGTAAATGTAACTACTCACTTTCTCTGAACAAACTTAATCATAAGAATATATGGGATAGTGATTGACCAGATAGTAGTAGTATGAAAAGGCCGATTCTGCCGCAATCACATTTTCAAGGGGAAATCCTAATTAGGACCCCCAGCCCAGACGGCCAAATGCAAACGGACGGCATCCCTATTGAGCATAGGGTAAATACAAGAATGGCATATGTATTCGATGGTAGAAAAGTCGCTCCAGAGGATAGTGGGGATAAGGATACCTTAAAGGGAAGGATGTCACAGATTAAAATAAATAAAGATATGACATCCGAAAGAAATATGATGGATTTCTTTCTGGAGAATGAAGAAGATTTGAAGGATAACACCCCAACCCCCCAAAGGCAGCAGCAGTGCTGCAATGCTCCAAACATAGTGCAGATGGATGAGCATACCGAGCAGTGTCAAAAATGCGGTTCACAATCCACCAAGTCGCGATTTGAGCATCATCAACTAGGGGAGCAGAAGACCACTTGCAATGTTCCGCTCAAGAGGAAGAAGGGTCAGTTCTGCAAGAGCAAGCCCGGGAAGGATGGTCTCTGCTGGAGACATAGCAAGCAACCACGCCAGCAGGAGGAGGAGGAGACCATCCCAGTCGAGGGTAAGATGGTGGTAAAAGAGACCATGAAGACCCTCCGTCAAATAGCTAAGGATGAGGGTCTGAGGGGGGTCAGTAGGAAGAACAAGGAGGCCTTGGTGAAGCTCATCGAGGAGAAAACCACCCATAAATTTGCCCGCCAGGAAGTCTTCAGCAAGAAGCAGCTCAAAGCGCTAGCAAAGAATCGTGGCCTCACCAAGTACTCTCAGCTCAAGAGAGACGATCTGATCCAGCTGGTGGAAGAGGACATCAAAAACGCTCCAGTCGAGGATGAGATCAAGGTCATCGATAGGCGGGAAGCTCTGAATGGCGTATTTGGCACGGTCGTCATCGAACCCGCGAAGCCGCACGATATGACCACTTTTCTGAAGGTAAGTCGGAGCACCATCACCAGCGCCATCTCGAATGCACTCGTTCAAAAGAAGGGATTGAAGGTGCACTTAGTGCTTCTAGCAGAGCTGGTGAAGACCAACCTCGCGACCGGAGAAAATACCTACATCACCCCTACCTTCAGATCACGCACGACAATGATCACGGAATCTGACGACCTCGAATTGGAGATTGCCTTCATGATGGAGAAGGTCAAGGAAAATATGGCAAAGTACATGCGGGAAGGGAGCGGGTGGACTTTCAGCAGCGTCGAGAAGCTAGAAATCCACCTCAACCAATTCAAGCCACTCAAGGGGGGCTCCTTCATACCAACCCCATCGGCTCTCGTGAAAAAGAAGGCGATCGTCAATGTGAAAAATGAGGATGATCGCTGCCTCCAGTGGGCAGTGCTGGCAGCCCTTCACCATGAGGAAGTCGACCAGAAATCCACCAACCGCGTATCGCAGTACAAGAAATGGGAAGAAGAGCTAAAATTCGAAGGCATCGACTTCCCAGTCTCGCTCAGGGCGATCGATAAATTTGAGAGGCAGAATCCCACAATCAACGTCAACGTCTATGGCTTCAACGGCGTAAAGAAGGGTGAGGATGAGGAAGAGGATCTTCAGATTTACCCCCTCAGAATATCTAAGAATACGGGCCCCACCCACGTAGATCTCCTCTTCTTGACTCGCGAAGGTAAGCAGCATTACTGCTGGATCAAGAGCCTCTCACGACTCTTGAGCTCTCAAATCTCTGAGCACGGTCATGAGCTTTTCTTCTGTCGCAGATGCCTTTCCCACTTCTCCAGGCAGAATATCTTGGACGAGCATATGGAATATTGCAGCAAGAAAGATGCAGTCAGGATCGAGATGCCGGAAGAGGGGACCACCATAGCCTTCCATAGTATCAAAAAGATGATGAGAGTCCCCTTCGCGATCTACGCGGATTTCGAGTGCTTTACAGAGAAGCTCGACACCTGCCAGCCGGATCCATCCCACTCCTACACGAATGCCTACCAGCTTCAGCGACCTTCAGGCTTCTGCTATCACGTGAAATATGCTCACGGAGACTACAAGGATCCGGTCGTCTACTGCGGGGAGGATGCGGCAAAGAAATTCGTGCAGTGCGTGGAGGAAGAAGTGCAGGCCATCGCCAAGCTATACAAGGAGAATAAGCCCATGGAGCTGACTGACGACGATAAGGTGAGCTTCGCAGAAAGCACGCACTGCTACATTTGCGGAGACGAATTGGGAGAGGATAAGGTCCGGGACCACGACCATCTCACCGGGAAATATCGCGGCGCAGCGCACAACCAGTGCAATCTGGATTTCCAGCTTCCGAAGCACGTCCCCATCCTCTTCCATAATTTGAGCGGGTACGACGCCCACATCTTTGTCAAGGAGCTTGGCCACACCGAGGGTAAGATCAACTGCATCCCCAATACCGACGAGAAGTACTGTAACAAAATTGGCGTCCATCTATTAAAGTTGTATAGGATTTTACGGATTTTCGCGTATGTCTCATCAAGGGGATATAAGTAGCGCCTTTCATGAATTTATAAGTCAACTGCGATTGTCGGTTCCCTTTAAGGAAACTTGTCCCCCCCCAAATTTGTGTATTGATATTGCTTTAATGGTATCGATACATTACTTTTGTTGTTATGTAGTTATTGTGTAAAGTATGGATAATTATGCTTTCAGTTGTTGCTGAATTTACCTTTATTTTGCATGCTCATGTGTGAAAATCCCAGTTCAAACATGGTTAACTGTTAAACTTTTATAATTCTTGCCTTTGTTTTTATATTCGGAACACCTCTCTTTTGTTCATTTCAATTGAAGTACACAAACGTTTTACCAAACACCCCGAACATAATTTTGGTAATCACCAGTTCCGGTTTTGGTAATTTAGGTATTTTCCTAAATGGTAAATGGTAAACCAAAATGGTAAATGGTAAACCAATTCGGTAATTGGTTTACCTAAGTATAAATACAGCGGAACATTCACTAAGTCTTCAGCTCATATTTTACCCTGGGCAAGTAACTTTCGCTAATTCCAAGCGTTATAATAAAATTAAGTACCAGTTACCAGACCAAGTCGGTAGAACCAGTTACCAAGCAGACGACAGATAACCATGTCTGAGGAGAATAGGTCCGTACATATTTTGGTTTGTTAATTCCTTTACGAGTTACACACGGAAATAACTTATTAAGTTAAACTTTATCTTTTGGCATTGAATTTGATTTACCATTTGCCGATTACCCAACTATAATAGTAAACTTTCTGGGTATATTTTTCCGCTATCCATTTTCTTTCATTTCACGATAGAAGGTTAATAATATATTTATCTATAAGATTATGATATAGTTAAGTTATTTAATATTTATCTGTATTGT